AAAATAGGTACAAGATGCTTTTTTACCCATGCTGCTCACAATCTGTAAATCCCTTGATTTGTATGCAACTTCTTTATGATAAGTGAAATAGCGCTAATATCAATTTTTTTTATTCCCTTTGAAATGTTTAAAAAATGTGTACGATCAATAATTGCTCCTTGGGCTGTTACCACATTTGCTTATTTCCTTTTCATTGTTATTCACTATGTGGTACGTTCAACCCTATTTAGGCCTTTAAGCCGTTTGGGAGCACCATAAATAAATAAAATCTAAATCTAAATGTAGAGCTGTCTACATATGGTGCCGGCAAAATAAAACAAAAGAGCTCCACTTCAAACTTGTTCCTATTCAATTGCACAGTAGTTTTGTTGCGGGGATCAAGTAGCTGATGCATGCTCAAGTTTGGTTTAGACTAATTAAGGTTTGTTACACATTGTTTTACAATTTGAGGTGGCCATTTTTAGGTTTTGTCTGAGGTAAGCCGGGCAGCCGTTTTCTCAAGCATTAATTGTGTATGTACAGGGTTTTAGGAATTGAGGGGCTCGCCCTAAAATCGGCCGGTAATTTGGTGCTGCACAAAATGAGCTCAAACTTCCACCAGACGCATATTTTAGTGGCTCATTTTACCTCTCAATACCCCGAGGTGTAACTGCCTTCCTCCGAAAACTATGAACTGACTCTTCACATTTTTAACGACAAACACCGACATTGATGACCGAGTTATGCGAGGGTTGTACTTGTGGCGCTGTTAGGGTGTACTAAGATGGGGAGGTGTGCCGTCCGGTGGCTGTGTGTGCGTCGCGACGTGCAAGCACGCCCGTGCGGGTGTTGCAAGACAGAGCGTGGCCACCTGACGGCTGACAGAGGCCTGGCGGTCGCAGCTGAGATGCTTTATTCGGCATGAAAGTGGTTGTATTCTTCGTTTGTTTTTGTCTGCTCGGCTGTGAAAAAGTATCACTTCTATTCTATTTCACACCCCCGTGAACAAGCGTGACTTGCGCGAGTGGCAGAAGCTTATATTCAACGTGTAAATGCCGTTTGGCTTCTGCAGATAGCGATACTTACAGCGATACATACATAGTATCGCTTCTTTCAATTTTTTTTCTTGCTGTGCTGTTATAGAGGGATTGTCCATCTCACCTTACATACCGGCATTAAAGGAGCTGTGCAACGATTTTAATGTTAAAAGAATTGGCACCTTCTACTTTTGACATTGTTCATCTTGTCACAAAGGACAGAAAACACACCTCCTTCCTTCAAAATGTTGTGATTCTGCCACGTAATCATGAGGCAAAATTTAGAATATTCCCCGACTTGCAGCCGTGAGCGGCGGCCGTGAGAAGCACGCGGCATGACGTCAATAAAAGTCTTGTAGAAAGGTACGAAGTTGTGCGAATACCTGCTCGATAAAAGGCAACTTTTCTATCAATTTTGTCGTTCCAACATAAATATAAATGCGTCAAAGACCTGGTATCATCGAGAAAACTTTTTTTATACGGAGTTTTAGTGGCGCCATCTATCTGAGGCCAACAAAACTGTCAGCTTTATCTGCTACCGCGAAGCCACCAGAAGCCGGAAGGGGAGGAGGGCAGAGCCAGGCGTGTTAAAAGGCTCTGGCCGGACCCAGATGAGACTTTCCTCCTTTCATTTTATTTCATTTCATTTTATTACGTTAAAGACCTATGAGGGGTGGGGTTAAAAAAATAATCAAACGTAAGTGCTAGTCTTCAGGATGATAGATGATTGGTAACATTTTTGAAGAAGATTGATGGGCAGGTGATGGCAGCAATGTGGTGGGGAAGGCCGTTCCGGTCTGGAGCTGCTCGGGGAAGAATGACGCGGAAAAAGTGACAGTGCGAGTGCGTGGGCGAGCAACCTGGAGAGGATGGACTGGTGCGGTGAGATATGCGTGTGGGAGGTACGATGTAAGGTGAGATACAGAAGGGGGAATTAAATAACTTGTGAAACCAACAGAGGGTGGCAATGCGGCGACAACAAGCGAGACTAAGTGAACCTGATTCAGCTTTCAGGGGTGATACGCTGGTATTGTACGAGTATGAAGAATGAATGAATCTAGTAGCGCGATTTTAGGCTGCTTCCACTGCGTTGACGACGTATACTTGGTTAGGGTCCCAGAAAGCGGATGCATATTCAAGCTTTGATATTACTAGTGACTTGTAGTCAAGTAGTCTTACTTCCTGAGGGGCATAGTTGACATTTCAGGAATCCCAGGGTTTTAGTAGCAGATGATGTAATGTTAGTAATATGCGTACGCAGGGGCTCCGGAAGTCAATTCTGATCGGGGGGATGGGGGTCAAGGCTCACATCCTTGCAGCGCAGATTCCCCCCCCCAACTTTGAAGATTGTATGCGCGGGAAAACCGAAATGGAGGAAGCGACATTTGTTTAGCCGAAATCTTTTCTGAGTAACAAAAAGAGATCTTCAAAATCTCTAGCATGCAAGAGCGTTTCCGTGGCCTCTCCTGTTACACCAAACAAAAGTATGAAAATGATTGACGGATGGCAGAAATGCTTTTCGCATCTAGGCGTCGTGCAGAAACTTCAAGGGGCGCCTCCCATGCTAGGCCAGCTCTGAACCCTCTCCGGCCATTACGGGATCAGTGCGCTTAATTGGCACGGTATTGGCATGGCCGAGCTTGAAAGAGCCGATCCCAAGCAAACCTCGTCAAAGAGAGTGTGCAGTCCCTCCAAGGACATATGCTCCGGACTGCTGTTCGTCGAAGTGCTCTGCCAGAGACCAATTTCCCGCGGCAAGAGGTTTTACGTTTGGGAAGGCTTATCCAGAGCCGAAGGGAGGCCTCCTCCCCCTTTCCGATGACAAGGAATGGTAGAAAGGTGCCTTTCCTAAGCTGCCCCCCTTCCGCTGCCAGTGATTAAGATGTGACCAATACGTGTGCCTCAAGGCTGGCTCAGAAGAAACGTTTACTCCAGCACTTAACAGGGGTATCAGCTTTATTACCAATTCTCGTCCCGACAAAACTTCGCTGTCCTTTCTTATTCTGCTTCAAGCTTGGAAGGCGTGGTAGCATGTTGCTCTGACTACATTAAGGGGGGGTTGTGGGTCAGCCTTCAGCGTCGGGGGAGCATGACCCCCCTGCCCCCCCAGTTCCGGAGCCCCTGTGCGTACACTAAGATAAATCGCTGTAAAGCGTGACACCAAGTTGCTTTATATGATTCGGTTAATTCTACAGGGGTGGTAGTGATTGTATAGGGAAAGAAAAGGGGATTGCGGCGGCGTTGAAAGGACATAACTTTACATTTACTAGTTAAGTGACGTTAACCAACGGTCGCACCATTGCAGCACGTGGTTAAGGTCGTTTTGGAGGGCACATTGGTCCGATATGTTAGTGATGGAATGGTAGATTATGCAGTCACCATATTGTTTGCGTTGCACCAGCACGTTACGCTAGGATGAGTTCTTGCTGGTCACTGATGGCTCTAGAGACAGAGCTTCACAGGAACCCCGCGCGACCCCCATTGACGTCACAGTGCACGTGACTCGGAAGATAGTGAAGGAGTTGAGAGGTGCCGAAAACCTCCATCTTTGTCCATTTTTAATATAAAAACTAGAACATGCCGGCAAAAGCGTTTTTTTGTTCTTTACTTCAGAAAGGTTGAGACACCAACTCTCAAATTATTTAAGCAAAGCACTGAAATTATTGCTCAGCTCCTTTTAGAAAGCAAAGTTTGAATATGATATGATATGCAATGCTTTCCTCTCCACTTTAGTTTCGAAGCTCTTTTCATTATTTTTTCGGCAGCTGTACATTTTGCAGACCTTTAGATATATAGCTTTTGTTGTGGTGTCAATACGTATTTTTTTATAACATGGATTTTCGAAAGCTATATTTTCTTGACTTTTACATTTGCAGACAAAGCTTATAGACGAGGAAATGTCAGAATTTATTTCATCTAGTGAGCATGCAATATATGAAAATAAACACCGAGACTGGAGAGTAAAATGGAGCAACTTCAACCACTGTCTTTATTGAAGAGCAATTCCACTTAGAGAAAGTTGTTTTTTCTGACATGTCACACAGGTTTGTGACATGTGATAAAAGCCAGAAAAGTCGTAGAAAATAGAAGTCTAAGAAGAATGTGTGACGTGTCGCACAGGACATGGCATACATTCTACTTAGACTTCTAATTTTTCTCTGCATCAGTTTTGTCTTTTCCTTTAAAAAAAAGAAAGATGATCGCGTGACACAGCAGAATTTATTCTTGGAGTTGGACGATTCCATTTTGGAACAGAGAGCCATCGTTCAGTGCCCAAAACAAGGAACTTTTCACTTTGCACGTGTTGTAGCCTACGTTGCACCCTGGCAAAAACACCACTGCTCTCTTTTTTTCTTTGCCGTATTTGACATTGTTGTGTGTCCTTCGGCACAGCTAGCAGCCACACAATATTGTAATGCTTCGCAAACACCTCAAAACGAAAAGAAATAGTCACACCAACACTCCCCAAGCGAGCCTCGCTAAACGCTGCCCGACCGGCCTCCTCACCCCGCCGTGACTGGCAGCGCCACCCCAGGCCACTGCAGCAGCTCTCTCCGACACCCAGCTTTTATTATTATTATAATAATGATGATGATGATGATGATGCTTTATTATTGGGGTGTGTTAAAGAGGCCGACATGGTTTCGGCACACCTCCCACTTCTAGCACACTCTAGCGCTGTGTCGCGGAAAACAGACGACGCAGTCGTATGCTTTCGATAGAATGCTGTCGTCTGCTTGCTGCATTTGTAAACATAAGCACGTTTGTGATCAAGGTTGCCTAAAAACCCACATTATGACTACCTTCGTTTATTCAAGTCGTTTAAATATTCTTGAGAAAGCTGCCGATTGATGCAGTTGAATACGTTGGCAGCATGATGTATTCTCTCTCTGCAATGGAAAAAAAAAAAGCTCAGAAGCAAATGCATTGTTGAGTAAAGAGTGTTGGACAATAATTGATGAGGTTGTTCTTTTTCTTTCACAGACAATGCACATTCACGTTAACGAGGCTGCTGCTGCTCAAGCCGCTCGGCAATGAGGTGGCGTTCATCACCATTGCCGTCAAAATGCAGGTGGGTGCTTCGTCTTCCCCGCAGGAGTCGCACTTAACGCTGTTAAAGCACCGGCGGAATTTAACCAAATTATTAAGCTAGTTTATATGTGGAAACAAAACTCCTGCACTCGGTGTCAACCATCTTGCGCTACATTGTCGAGGCAGCGTAGCTTCCGCAGTCCCCTAATGATGTCAGAACTGCTTGAGCCAGCAGCTGAGATGCACATGCTTTCGCAGCAGCATGGGACTGAAACACTGGAAGCTGCACTAGCATTGACAACGCAGCACAAAAGAGTTGACACCGAGTATAGATATAACAAGGCCGTAGTGTGGGTTTTTCAATGTTGCCTGTTAGTGTCCATTTCGGAGCACAGATGTGCTGTGTCGGCATTTGACTTGTAGTCACATCCTCACCGATTAAACATGAATCTCAAGAATCCCGATGGAACAGAGACACAGCACTCATATTCAATATCTGCCTTGTGTTTACCTCTGGTAGGGGACACAGAAAATCCTGCACTATGCCCCTTTTGTTTGGGGAGGTGTTGGTTGGTACTACTCTAAGCAAAGTGCACACGGATGCACCCTAATCTTTGTCTTTTTAAGCAATGGTTCTGTCTTTCGAGAGAAATTATGTCTCTTCCCTTCTCTCCATTCTCATCTCCTTGGGAGCGAGATAGTTTAGATGTTTGGTGTTTTTGCTCTTCCCACACATGTGCATGTTGTGGCTGATTACCAGCTTACCATATTTAATGTGCCATATTTTTTCACCTATAAGTCCCTGAAAATGGCTGTTTTCATGGAAAAGATTGTAGATAAGTCTCACTTTTATGTTTGTACAATCAATGCGGCAAAACTACATTGATAAGCCCATGTGTACTATTGTGATCAGAGAATATGCGTAAGATGGAGCCAGTTTCAATATTCTCTCCAATGAATCGAACGAAAAAATTAACCCGCGAGGCAAATTTGTGCAGTTAAAGGGATACTGAAATTAAAATTAAAATATACCTTTCACGCTCTGAACCAAGTTAAACATGCTCCACAAAATCTGCTAATGAAAATTGCACGGTCGTATTTTGAACGGATGGCTATATTTTTCGTTCCAAACGGTCGATACCAGCGAGTGCCCCAAGAGCAGCCATCGAAAGCATAATCCCTCTTGGTAGATCCAGGGCCTTTAAGGCATTTGTGACACCATGGTTAACTTCACGGGCAAGGCTGGCATGGTTGTGAGCTTGGCCATTTGATGGCATTGTTGCATTACAACCTGGCCGTTCGAAATGCCCGATGACTGCTTCTGCAATGCCAGTGGATGCGAAAAAGTGACCCACCTCCGTTTCAAAGTTCCCACCTCCCCGCTCCCCTCGGGGGTTGATGAGGCGCAAGAGAGAAGGGAAATCTGGTTCAAACAAGTTTAATGGTCTACATGCGCTCGGGGCTTGGGGGTGTGCTTTCTCGGAGCGGTGCTGCTTTTATGGGAGGGGGACTTAAAGACATTTGAAGTAGCTCTGGGAGCATCCACCAGGTGCAATCTGGTGATCCGTTTATTCATGTCAAATAATGTTTAGGTGTCTTTCCAGACAAAAAAAATAGATGTCGCTGTGGTGTGGCCAGAACATGATTGACATTTAGACAGTAAAATAGGCGCTAGAATTTGGTTGCAGTGTCCCTCTAAGGTCCGTTCTTATGAAAACAAACAAATATAAATTGCACTGTCCTGTGAGACTCATCAACTTAAATTTTTGAAAAAGCCGGAACTTGTAGACCAGAAAATATGGTTCACTTATCTTCCAATGTTCTAAAAACCCCATCGATCACGACAGCCTTTGTATCCACTGACATTTAATCGAGAATTCTTCTATTAACGACACAGTTGCACCTTTTCCCCCGATAGCTTAAACGACTATTTTTTTTTTCCTCGCAATTAAACGGCCGCAGAATAACAAGTTAAGATTTCAAAACTGGTCTTCTGCCTAATTGATGCACATGTTCAGAACTAATTACTTTGGCCCCTAGATATGTAAAAAGGGTCGTCCTAAGAACTTGTTGACTCCACTCCACACTCTTAGGGGCCATAAAAAATTGTATTATTATGACTGCAGTTTTTTTTGGATGTCAGCTTTACTTCCAAACAATCTTGCACACATTACTAAAAAAAAAATTGATTCCTACTACAATTTCTCTTGTTTAAAAAGTGTTCAATTAGATTACTTGATTACTCGAGAAGCAAAGTAGTTGGCTGTTACTCGAAAAAGAACCCGTGACGTTTCCGATTACTTCAGATTTTCAAAAGAACAAAATTTTCCGCCACTTTGGATATGGGTCTTTCGTACTGTCCGTTATTGGACTAGAATCGCTGAATTATAAACTATGTATCTTTTTAATCCACCAATTTCGGTGAACCACCCTCCTGTCAGACACTTGGTTCGAGAATTCCTCAATAGGAAACTTGTACAAACAAATGATGCCTTAGAAAAGGGGAGGGAAATAGTAATGGCTACAAGTAGTTTTATTGCTTTCCAAAATTAACCAGATTTCTCTTCTAATTGCTTTCTAGTAGAGTAATAAAATGATTGCAAAATTACTCAAAAGAGTAATTGATTACAAGTAATTTGATTTCCTGTAATGAGTACTGTACAAAGTTAGTACTTTGATCAGTTAGTTTAGGGTCGTCAAACTTTTGACGGAAGGGGGGAGAGGGTGATGTAGGCGATGCTCCCATTGGTCTGAAGCGCTGACGTCAGCATGCATCAACCTCCCCCTCTCTTTCCGGCTCTGACAAACTGACAGACACTGCCAGTTTTTCGTCCAAATGAGCACTTTTATTTCTGTCAGTCACTCACACAGCTGGCGGGGAGCCAGAGAGGAGGAGGCGCCATGCAACACCTCCTAAATAACAAAGCCGTAGAGCTGAATGAGATGATATAAAGGGGCCCTGCAAGGACTTTTTTTTACTGGTTTTAATTTGCACCGAACGTGAGCGCACTGAACGTAGTAACTTAATGAAACTTCTTTTCTCGAATTTCGCTTCATTTTAAAAGCTATAGGCAAATTAAAATTACAAAAACGAGCAAAAAATAACCTCCTTCATGACGTCTTTGGCCGCTCGAGTGGTCGGGAATTAGAGGAGGGGTAGTGAGCTCAGCGAGCGCTCACTCCGTGTCGATGGGTGGAGAGGGCGCCACTAAAGCATGTTCTAAATAGGCTGTATGAAGTGGGCAGCCAGGGCGGCTCGCATTGCATTTGCTGCGCGATTAAAGACTAATTCGACATGACACTTCATTGGCCACAAACGACAGCAAACACGGGGTAAAGATCAGTTCAAAACGGGAGCCACCTCGCGCTGCCATACCGCCAAATGGTGAACAGCAAGCCAAACCTGCGCCGAAGACCTTCGGAACGCTCGGAAGCGGTCGTGTCCTCGAGTCCGTAAACGACCGCAGCGCCGCCGCGTCCATTTGGGACCTTTCTACGTTCGCTGCTCGTCTGTGCTTGATCCCACTAGCCCTTTCTAGTATGCGCCGCCTTTTTTACTGCTTGGCGGTGGGTATGTCGACGGGTCATTTCTTGTTTCCGTACTTTATAAACTGCATTTGTTCGTTTTTCTGATCTAAAATACTGAACAAAAACTACTTCTATAAATAATTCAAACGATTCACGGCACTTATATTTTGTATTTAGACTAAAAAGAAGCTTTTAGTGGATCTGACCTATAGTAAGCCTAGGGCCAGAGACCTCACATTTCGCGCGCTTTCGGCAACGCAGGTTGCCCCCGTAGAAGGAGAAAGTTTCCGCGTCGTCCGGTTAAAATATGACGCACTGATATTTAGTTACTCTCTCCGTGCCCGCTGACTTGCCCGAACCACAAGAGACATGGAAACCGCAAAAAAGGTAGAGGCTTAAATATGATTGCGGGGCCCCTTTAATCAGAGGAGGCCTACCCTGGACAGAAATTTGAAACAAGTGCTGTGTCAGCGCTCTGCTTCGAGTTAAGTATGAGCCAAACGTTGACGCAATCGTTTTTCCAATCTGTGCCCCAGCGTTGCACTTCCCTGGTGATGCCATCTCATTCAGCACTACGGCTTTGTTATCTAGGAGGTGTTGCACCGCAGCACGGTGGAATACAGGTGTGCTCAGTTGCCGCTCTGCCATCGCCAGTTGTTCTTCGCTCTGGGTTTCCGTAGTAGCGGTGTGTGGGCTGTGATGTCTGTGTGGAGTTAAAGCAATGGATGCGGTGCACTCGACGAGTGATATGGATGCAGTTCGTTCCACGAGTGATATGGATGACCGTATCCATGGGCGTCGACATACTCTGACAGGCAGAGTACAGAAAAGGGGCGAAAAAAATTACATGAAGGTGCATTGGTGGATTTTTAGGGAATCTGTTAGCATGACCTTTGGGAAATGCCAAACATGTCCTCCTTTGGGAAATGCTAACACTGGCCCTGTAACAAGGTCAAAAAGAGGCAGTCAAAAAATAAAGAAAGGAAGAGAAAGCCAAAAGAGAAAAGTTACAGGGTCAGCATTAGCGTTTCCCAAAGGGGGACATGTGTGGCGTTTCTAAGGGTCATGCTAACGCATTCCCTATATGCTTTGCCTTTGAGAGACATAAATCTCTTACTGAAGTCTGTTGAACAGGAAGCTCTCAGAACTTTTAGAACTTTATGTGTGCCAGTTAGGTGGCATGTGATTTCATTCTTTTTATAACATGAGCGCTCCTTTAAGGAGGCCAATGACAAGCAGATGACGACTATGCAGTGCACACACGCGCGCTTCAGAAGGAGAGGGGCACAACGCCATACCAATCCTGAGAAGGATCATACCCCGTATTCTGCGCTGTCTCCTGCAAAAACCATGGTTGCTTCCCGCAATACTTGGATAAAAGCGGGAGACCATTGCAGTACTCTGCTCTGCAAGCGGAGCACATGCTACATAGCTCTAGTTCAATGGCCCTCCAACTTTTGGCTGTCACGGACCCCCTGACCCACTTAAAAACCATTCGGGAACCCCAATGCATTCTGCATCAGAAGTCTTGAGCAATGTTTTTTGAGTATTCTTTTTACTTTGCACGGATCCCCCAAAATCTTCTCGAGGACCTGGGAGTCCGCGGACCGCAGTTTGAGAATTGTTGCCCTTGTTGCTTGCAGTGAGAGTCTGTACGAAAAAGGCGGACATGTTCGGACCGCTCATTTTCTGTAGTTGACGGATGTGGCTCGTGGCGTTGCAGAGCTCCAAGAGGACTCTGCGCTCAAACGACATCCTGCTCCCAAACACCGGTGGCCTCCTGGACACAGAGCTGGACCTGTCGTTTTCTTTACAGGTGAGAGCCGGGAGACAGAAGCCCTCGAGGTTTCCGCGTTGCAAGTTTTAAAGCGTAATATACGAGTCTCCAGCATTAACCTTTTGACGGTCGCCGCCGTACATGTACGGAAGCAATTACACATTTGAAAGTGCCCACCTCAAAGCGAAACCACGCATACCGCGGGAAGAGTTGCTATTTGTTATGTCTTTGGTGAGCTATAAACATTATATTAGTACAGTGTTTTGCTTTGCTGGGGATATATTTTGTTTTAAAATTAGACCCATGTCGGCTGCTCCGGTGGTAGTGGCAACTAAAGCGCCAACTTCTCCGATTCAGACTTTTCACGCATCTCAAAAGCGAATTCAGAGGGTGGAGAAGCTCTCTGAAGTACCTCGAATTAAGAATCTGAAAGTGCCGAGATGTTGCGAGATCGGATGCGCCAAAATGAAATCGAATAGAGGAAAGGTGGCCACTTTCGCCGTCAATATTCCCATTTGATGCTTCTAAGCTTGAACAGTTTGCAAGCACTATAAGTGCTCCTGCCAGATAACTAAGAAAAAGCCTGCACATTTCCCTTTTCTTTATTCGATTCCTTTGCAAACAAAACCCCGACTGCTGGGGGACATCTTTTGGGAAAAGAACCTAGACCGTCGAAAGGTTAACCAGGCCGTGCCACTTCATATACCTTGCATGCTAATGCCGTCTCTTGCCATTGTTTTGAACTAGTGGTGCAGTTTGGAAATTCATGCATTTAGGCAGTGTGTAGGCCTCAGAAGTGTATCAAGGTTTTCCAGAAATTGTACTTCCAATTAAGACTGAAAGTTGCAGGAATCTGACAAGGTGAACACTGAGTGTAAACACTGAGCAGGAAGGTGAGGAAACTCCAACCACAGTCAGTCGATTGCTTTTGTATGTTGCTGCATTACCCCTTCGTCAAAAGAACGCCTATGACATGGTAGCATTTTGAGTTGCAAGATTTGCTGCAGAATTGTGAAAGATGTAAAATAAAACCGGGAAAAAATAATATTTGCCGGAGGGAGTTTCGAACCCAGAAAATTCTAAGCTAGAACAAAATGTAAGAAAACACATATATCTCTTGTCTATGGAATGTGCATAATTTTCTGGAAACTTCCAGTTGCATATAACGATCTCGTATCCCTCAATTACTGAGGTGTTTCAACCATATTTGTTTTTAGTACGACTCCCAGCTCCGACTTCACGTGGCCCTCCTAAAGTGCACGAGCACAGTTTATATCGCTCGTATTCCAAACCTCTTTGAGCTTTCTCTGCACGGGGAATTGCACACTTGTGCAATCAAAGCTAGGACAGATGCTACCCCACCGGTTATAAATGTGTCTGCATTGCACTGCCACCAGTCTCATGAAACTTCAGTGCTGGAGGCCCATTACACGTGCTGTCGGAAAAAGGTCGGCTGGCTGATGAAGCAGCAAACTGTACTGTTAACCCTTTTTGTCTTCACTGCTTCAATTTTTTCATAAATTGAGCAGAAGGATCGACCATTAAATTTAGCGAAATCTAGAGGCTGGAATTAGTGTCTCTAGGCCAGTTGTTCTCAAGCATGGATGTTGTCGGGGGCTCTTGGGGACCTGCCGAAGTGATGGGGGACCCCATGCCAGCGAGTGAAGTGGAAGGGGGGGGGGGGGGGGGGGGGGGTTATAAAATAAGACAACTAATTGCAGTGTGAAAAGGGCATCCTTTATTTACTGTTACAAACAGGAGAAGTGAGAAGCATCAAGTAAAAGGGTAGATGTATGGATAGATGGTAATGGCTGATCCTGTTATGACAGGCAGCGACCGGTCTGTGCTATTTAGCCAGGGTCAACAAAGAAGCAATTTTTATTCAAGAAAATGGGGGGGAGGGTTGAAGGTTAAGAGTTGAGGCAAGGGCTTTGCAGACCTCGGCATGTCCGTGGAACCCCATTTGAGAACTACTGCTCTAGGCAATAGAATTAGTTGTGCTCCAAAGTTCTAAAACTTTCCAATTAGTGGAAATTTTGAATATGAGGGGCTCGCAAACATGAAGAATCGGCCGTGTATAGTTTTTTTTTAACAACCTTTTGTGATGCTATTGACTTAGGAGCTAGCCCTAAAATGCATTCAGCGTTGAAATAGGATAATAACATAAAGAGTGAATTGACGTCTGGGAGACATTTGACTTTGGAAGTTTCAAAGCGTAAAAATGTGCAGTGTTCGCCCCAAAAATTCTGAACACGCGAACTGTGTCTTATCTTGTGGGAGTGCTACAGCCAAATTGGCTGCTCTGCAACATAGCATGCGAGGGAGCAGTTCAAGCAGGGAAGGTTGCCCGCTCAAGGCCATATTTGCCATATTGTCTGATCTTGTTGGACTGGCAGTCTACCCTTGTCACCACATAGGTATATACAGTTGGCAACAGGTGAAGAGCTTAGGGTAAGCTCCTTCTACCCCTTTCCACTTCAGGAGAGCAATTGCTGGAAAGGAGGGCGCCCCCCCTCTAGTATTCGCTGTGCCAAAATAGAAAGAAGTGAGAGGAGCTCCCCCCGAACCCATAACCTGTCGCCGACTAAAGGTGATAGCCAAAATGCTTGGTTATTGCATGCGTCGTTAGTTCTGTGGTGATCTTTCAGCTAAATGTTTTGGTATCTGTGCAGCTATGGAAAGAAATATTGAGTTCCTATTGGATGTCTAATAACAGGCAGTTTCGGTAGACTCCTGCACACCATTGACTTAGGGGAGACGATAGGCATAGACCACTCGTTCAGCCTTGACTGAGTGACCCCCCCCACCCCCCCCCCCCCCCCCCACCCCCCGCTTGTGCACAATAAGAGCTGCTGCTTTCATTGAGCAATATGTCACGGAGCCACCGCTTTGGCAGCTGCCAGGATAGTGCTCCAATTAGGTAAGATGCACCCTGTGGGTTCTTGACAAGTTTGGTGACCAATGTACTTATCGTTCATGGAAGCATTGAAAAGGTGTCATACTTGGGCCTGTCAATCCTTGCTCATCTGTAATGATTAGCTTTTGGGACTTGATGATGTTGGGTGGAGCAGGGAGTTGCAAGTGCTCGATTTGTGGACCAATTCGAGGAATGCAGTCCAAATGGCCTTGGCTGGGTAATTTCTTGACACACTCGATCACTTCTTTGAGAGTAGCAGTCTCTTTGCTATGGCAACATATGAAGCTCTGTTCAGTTACGTGACCACATCTATGTTATGGCTTTTTAGCAATTAATTACTGCTAATATAATGCACTCTTTAAATACTTGTTATATGACTTTCTTTAGAAAAGTGAAGTGTAATGCATCTAACGAGGCAAATTATTTCGTTGCTGCTTTCCATGTTCAGAGTTCTTGAAGGCATCTCTATGTGGCTGTTTTAAGTGACCGAATCCAAAATGATTCCAGCAATTATTCCGTTCACTTTGAGTTTGAGTGCAAATGCAACAGATACAAATATAAATGGGTGGGTCTACCTACGTGACACATCCCGGCTTCATTTTCTGAAACGACCTGCTTTCTGTTTTAAAGCTGTTCATTCCAAAGAAACACGTGTCCACTGTAAGCTTTCCCTAGTTGACTAACCGTTTCATTCGCAGTGGCAACACTGCCACACTTGGTGCCCATCCCACCACCAACGCGTTCACCTTGCTGCATGCTTTGCAACGCAGTACCCTCACTTCCTGAAGGGAGCCGGCGGGAGCAACAAGTTGCACGTGACGCTGCAGCGCAGGAAGCGGTACAAGAACCGTGCAATGCTGGGCTACAAGACCATAGCCACAGGCGTCATCAACATGTCGGAGGTGAGGACCGTGTCGTGGTAGCCAAACCTCTTGTGCTGACACGTCCTGCTAAGGGAAAGGAGCAAGCCGGCGGCGGTGCCACAGTTGCCTATTGTTTGTAAAGAGTCTAAGTTGTAGAGAGGGTCCAGCTCACGCAATGGGGAGCGTGTGCAGTTTAATGGCAGACGCCTCTGTCGGAGATTGGTTGCAAGTGCTCACGCGCTGCGTCATTGCGTGGCTAGGCGGAAAGCGGGCAGAAAGACGGAGGCTCTTGCGGACGAGCAATGCAGTTGTCACCTCTAGCTCGTTTTGCAGACGCGGCCCATAAATTACTAGACCCCAATCGAGCAGGTGGAAATTCTGTGCAATACAGGCTCTCTAATTGTTTGCTGCCACCTAGCGGTTGTCGCTGCCTACTCATCAAGAAGCAACTGTGACCTAGTGTGCCCGTCGTTATTACGACGGGATTTAAGGTTCTTACAAATTCTGCGCGTTCTCTCCGTAGCGCAGGACTTGAGTGAACGTAATCCGAGTGCAGTGGCTAAAAAGGACCCATTGATGAAAATCATCTGTTTGCCGCTAAGGTTGCCTTGGTCGGGGCTTGAGTTATGTCTGCTCTTTTCCTATGGTGCATGCATGCACGGACGGACGGGCAAATTTTTAGAAGCAGTTCTGCCGTGGAGCATTCCCCACTTGAACAATGTTGATTCCGAGAGCTGGTTTATGGATTTGTGTTTAACCATGATTGACAGTGCTGAGGCTCGTTGCGTTCCACTACGATGCGTTGCGTAGAGTTCAAATGAGGTGGCGCCACTGTACACATGGTGCCTTGATGCCTCTATTGCCAAACTATACTCCGTTTCACGATAACTTGGCGAACTGTCAAGGCTAGGGCCCCACAACCCAATCAGAGCTTCGGAGCGACGCATGTGACCCAATGTCACGGGAGCATTGGTGTCATCATGCCGAATTCGAGGCGCGAGGCCTGGAGGAATCGGCTATCGTCTGCTAGCCAAGAGTCGTCTGCTCCGAAACAAACTTCGGATGAACATCCACCACAGCAACGTATCTGTCTGATAGAATAGCAAGCACTTCGGGAAAAGTTCATGAGACAACCATACGCTCAATTTAGCCGCAAATTTGTGACGGTGCTTATGCCAGGGCGTAATGTGATGTTTTGAGCGGAAACGGCCGATTACACGGCTGCGAGCGCCGGCAATTGCCAAAGGGCACGGCGCTGCAAGGTGAAAATATCGAGCGGATACGGATGTGGCATCACTTTTTTTAGTTAAAATATATTTAAAACTCATAAATTTGTGCTTATTTATTCTTAATTCTTCATATCTTCTCGTTATAGATGGAATCGCACGAGTTCAATTGCCGTTAAGAAAAAAAGAAGCCTAGTACTACTTTTTCTTACAGAGGGCTTGGTTGCTGTGGCGGTAACGAGGCCCTGGTGGCCTCGGCTATGGAGCGTTATCACGCGCCTCGCTCCGGCGCCCTTATTGGGTCGCGAAGCCGGCTGTCCTAAGTGATTGTGATGCAGTCGGTCGCAGTGACACACAAAAAGGCGAACCAGCCCTGAGTGCGTCTCGCATGCCCAGGTGCTCCAGCGCCCCGTGGGGCGCGAGTTGGAGCTGCTGGGGGAGGAGAAGGAGCGCCCGGAGCCCGTGGCCCGCATCCAGGTGGAAGCCCTGAGCACCCACCCGGTCCAGGAGGAGCCCTGCGACGCCAGGCACAAGGCGCAGGGTCAGGGCCCAGGTGGGGACGTCTGGAAACAACTCGAGGCCGGCTTATACGGCACCGCTAGCTTATGCTGCATTAAGGCTGAACCGCATGTAAGCGATTTAGTGAGTGACGAGACAAGCAATGGGGGGGGGACGACAGCGACGAGAGTCAACGACGAGCGACGAGGATTGCTCACTGCTGCTTTTCGTGACGCTCGGTTTTTGGATTTCTAGAAAATGTCTCTCATTGCCTTGGTCGCTTGCTCCCGTCGCTTTCATGCAGCTTGCTTCGTAGTGCGACGGACCGAGCGACAGCAAAGTGGATCGCCGTCGCTTGTCTCGTCGCTCGCCAAATCGCTTACATGCGGCTTATACTTTATGCTACGAAAACCTCCGTCTGCTTATGCCCCAAGTCACGGGACATCTGTGGTTCAAAAACAAACCGTGGCAATCAGTTCAAAAAATAGTCTTGCATGCGACATTCGAGGTACAGACGTTCCAGTGACTTATGGCGTAACGCAAGAAAAACTAAACAAATGCTCCTTTGTGTGTGAGCCTTTAGACTGTGGGATATTTGCTACCAACACAGGTACCGATAGAGTACCAAAAGGTTGTCTCAACAGCGGCGGCGATCTCAAAGGAGCCGTTCAACCTAGTAGCGCAGTCCCCACATCTCCGCGGCAATATAGACGACGTTTAGGGCTACATTACCGCGGGTCAGTTCGATTAATTATACCTCCGTCGGTGCCAATGATCGTCTACCTTGTCTCACTCTCTCGAATATAGCGGAAGAGAAGACACACGTACCAAAGTAAGGACAGAGTCCAAGAGCATTTATTAGAACACTCCTAAAATGAACTACAATGTCCCCATCCAAAATGCCCCCCGCGCCGGCAAGGTAAGAAAAGGTCCTCACCTGGCCAGACGCGGGTTTCCGGAGAGCCAAAACCGGGAAAGCGTCGGAGAAGTCGCCGACACACGTCCGATCTCTTTCGCGGTCACCCGGACGAGTCCCTTTCCCGAAAGCGGGAAAACAAGAGGCGAAACCTCCTCGCCTGTCAGCAGTGATACGCATCCGAGCGGGGGAATGGAAATCGGTTCCCCCGGGAGAGAGTGAGAGGAGAGCCCCCCAAGCCAGGCGGCCCTCCACCTCGCGAACAGGTCGGAGCTCACGGTGAAGGCAGCCGAGCTTTCCGACCCGCAGCCATTATCGCAGCCATCGGGGAAGGGAGACCAGAAGAATCCCCACAAGACGGAGGAGAAACATGGGAGTTTATTCGTTTCAGTTATCCTTATTCCTCTTTTTAAAACTTTTATTTAGAGGATATGACACCCTATATGTGGAACAAAAGCTAAAATTAGCTTGCAGGAAAAAAAAAAAAAAAAAGTTAAGGAAAAGCATAAAGAAAAAAAAAAGGCTTGAGGTACACTTAAGCATTTCTTATGAATTGTGAATGCGAAAGCATGTAAGCCACTCATCCGCTCCCTTATTTCGTCTGCTGCATACTTTTCGTCACCGGTTAGCGCACGCACTCTCCTGGGCACGCTGACCTTGGACGCTCTGTGTTAACAGCGCACTGACGGACACGCAGTGCAATGGGGTGAGTGGTCATTGAAACTGATGTACAGCGGCCAATGGGAGCCCCGTCGACGCGCATCAGCCAATGGGACTGAAGCCGAAATCTATCAGTTTTACACCACTTCTTTGAGGTCAGGGAATTTAGGTGCTTTTGGCTAGTTTTTTGCTTGGTTTAATAGCTGGGAGCTGGCTTCACTTGGAGAAAGGACTTAAGGTGCCGTTTGGCGTGGCCCGCTTTATGAGACAGTTAATGCTTTTGCATTAAAATATATAGGCATTCAGCAATACACAGGGAACGAAATTGGTCTGCACAAAGTTGCTTGATACATGTGAAAGCAGTGTGATCAAAAGAGATGAGGTATTTGGACTTGCACAATTTCTAACTGAGCGGAATTATGAACACTCAAAATAAATAAAAAAAACTACTCTGCTAAGCCGCGAGATGTTGAAGACCTTGATTGAAGTTCGTGGCAGTAAAAAGTTTTAAGAGGCATGTAGTTCCATTCACTATTAGTGTGAGGAAAGAGGCTATATTTATGCGAGCAAAGATGCAAGTTACAGAAAATTTATGTCTAATCTGCAATTGTTCTTGATGCTAAGGGAGAAGAACACTGCACGAATAAGCCTGTTCACATACTCAGTGCAGCCTCGAGATAGCGCAAGGACAATGCTGCAACAGGACTAGCGTCAGTTTTTTCTCGGCTTTCAGTTAGTGCTGCATTGGATGTGTAAATAGGAGAAGACAAGTTCACATGCAGCGAAGTGCTGTTACTATGTCAATATTGTCGGCAGAACAGCAGGATTGAGCTCTAGGGCGAGACGTATTGTGGCTCGTTACACGGAGCCCCTTGTGTACATGCGTGGCCTTCTGGAACAATTGGCGTACAAGGTACGGCACGTACAACATTCGGACCTCAAATAAGTAACAGGGTTCTCGAATTCACCAGAACGCGACACTTTCAGAAATAACAAAAAGGTGCATCCGCTCCCAGGCATCGAACCTCGGTCCTTTGCATGGGAGCCAAGCACGATCGCCACTCGGCCACGGGCGTGCTTGCAACGTCGATCAACGCACAATGTCTGGTTCATGCCATTGCGTAGGTTGTGTTTATAGCGACTTATAGGCAGTACGCCGTTACGACAGTCATGCCAGAACCACTGGGACATCTGTATGCCCTACACAACACGAGAAGCTATGGTAGGCGCACCTGAATCATTCAACCTTTATGAGTCGGTTGCCTCTTTCACTCGGTCGTTGCTGCTGTTTTCATTGCTGTGGTCACAACCGACAAATCTTCTCTTCCTTTTGAAACTTCGGTAGTCATCGCGCCGAGCGCCAACTATGTGCAATGGCGGAAGCCACGAGAGACGGGCAGAAGTCCCAAAAAGACCTGTTCCAGCCAGTTCGGCGTTTTCCCGCTAGGTGCCGTTCGTTTTGCTGGAGTTGCAAATAGTGCTAAGTTAATGCAGTGTCTATGTGTTGAGTTAGCGTTGTCCTGCATGTTTAATCGGGCCTTTAGACTTGACTGGTTCGGCAGTGCTTGCGGGTGTGTGGCGTCGGTGCTTTTCGCATTGTACTTGGACATGGCATTGAAGAGCATCAAACTTTACCGTTTAATTGTAATCCCCAAACGACCACTTTTTACCAGTGTCGTGCCATGTACACTGCGCGGCACCATTAAAGCTAACACGACGCCTGTGCTTTGTCTTGCCTTTTACTCGGATGGAAAATTTACAAGCGCCAAACTTTACTACAGAGGTTACTCCCCTGAATGAGGGCATTCTGCAATTTTAATAGATTTTGTGGCAACCTTTTGGTTTCAACAGAAAAGAAGAAAAAGCAGCGGCCGCCTGTTCATGTGCAGTATCTCACTCTCTGCCTGTTCTTTGAAGTCCTTGAGTGTGTTTGTAGCAAGTGGCTGAATGCGCAATGGCACACTGTGCTTGAAAAAAAATTATGTCTATACTTTGCATAAAGTCAATTGAAGCAGAATGTATCACGCATTTGTGTTCATTTGTTTTAAGGTGCCTAAATCTGTTTGGCTCCTGGGGTTTGCCTATTGAGGGTTGGTGCCACTAAGAGTCACATCATGGTGTCAATATGGACCATGTGACCACGGGATGTCACTGCGTCACAATGTAATGTCACTGCATCACACTTTAGTGTCACACAATTTAATGCCATATACTCAGCGGCACATGATGTCGTTGTCATGTGACACCACATTATCACTGTCACATTGTGGGGCCACATGACACCAATGCCACCATCACGTCGTGGTGTGACGTGACCTAAATTCAAAGCAAAGTTTTCTTGCTTTACTTAGCGAGAAACTTCCTTCTAAGTTTAGGACTTTGCCAAAGTATGTTTTTATAAGAATTCTTTGCAAAGCTCTGGGCTTGGGGACTAGCACTAAAATGCATTCTGCTTTAAAACTGTTGTGCAGACGCTGAACGCTCTGGCGACAACACAGATGATGACGAGGACTCCTCGTCTAACGATGATGCGAGCGACAGCGCGCCGGAGGAGGCTGGCCACACCGACGCCCTCATGCGCCGGCGACGATCCTCTCAGATGCGCAAGGTTTGTTCATTCATATATTAATTTCCAACCAATAAGCTTTCAAGAAATATGTGGCGATGTCAGAAAGGCTGTTAATTTCACGGAAATGTTATAAGTGCATTGGCATTCCTTCTTCCTTTGAAGAAGGAAGAAGGAATGCCAATCTGAAGCAAGGCGCTTTTCGGCATAACCATTACTAATGTCCACAGAAGTCGCCGACCAATTATTCGGACTTCGCAGGGATTGAAAAAACATCCGAATAATAGAGCAATCCGAAAAACCAGCAGATAGAAAAACTTGCCTTTATTACTTCCAAGTGGGCTTAAAAAAGCCGTAAATAGCGCCTTGCTTCAGATTATGCCTGCGTGCCTTGTTTCAGGTTACGCCTCCGTTTGCGTTCGGCCACTTTCTGTTAGCTTGAGAATCGCTGCCTTCTTTTCTAGCGTTATGGTCGAGTACTTTCTGTGCTTCTTAACGAAACATTGCGGCGGCAGAAGAACAGATGGGGCCATGACGTCCAGGCCAGTGTTGTCCGAACAAGATAGAGGCGCAATTCCACGAGCACAAAATGGTGACTGGCAATACGAAAGTGGGGCTGAAGCGTGAAGGGATGGAAGGAAACAAAGCAAAATGATAATAATGATGATGATGACATGCAGCTAAATGGAAAAAAAAAAAGGGGCTAGCATAGCGTTACCTAGCGGTAGGACTCGGGAGTACTCAAGTAGCGCTGCCAAACTAAGGTAATCCATTTGCAGCCAACATAGAATCCAAAATGGCCGCCTCTCGGTGGTGTTTCCCGCTGATCGCTCGCGACTGTTTTGTCCAAATAATCAAACCTTCGGACTTCTAGCTGTCCGAAACATCGGTCGTGAATATGCACTATTTCTATGGGGTAAGTCACGGTTCCTCCTTTAGGTCCGAAATATCGAACAAGTCCAAATTATCGGAGTTCAAAGAAACGGTCGGCGACTGTAATCCCCGTTGACATTGAATGAATTTTTATTACACTCACGAGAATTGCTTTTCGTCTGCTATCGGTGCATGACCGGGATGTTCCTGTTTGCGGTACTTTAAAAAGCCCTCATGTTCTGCTGCCATAGAGTTTTCCCCAGACATTCTTGAAATCTGGACATCTGACAATTTCCAGGATGTTGAGGGTGGAGCACCCGCAACAATTTAAAGGACACATGCAAAGGAAAAAAAACATTTTTTTTAGACAGCTTAGATGGAAAAAGGATGTCATAAAACGATTTTACAACGAAGAAAAAAAATTTTTAAAGCTATATTTACGGCGCTATACGAATTTGTAGTTGGCGCTCGCGGGAGCCGCCGCTGGTCACGTGGTAGGCCCGCGCGCCGCCGCGCTGCGTCGCCGCCGCACGCTGAGCGTTGTGCGAACGCCGCTTCAACGCGTTTCTCCACGCTGCCGTCGCCGCCGCCGCACAAGTTCGTCTGCTTCGGGGCGCCGCCGCCGTCGTCTGGCCGGCGCACAGGTCTATCACGTCTGCTTGCGCTTTTTCAGGAGTTTCCTTTGGGCTCTTAAAGTTACTTATTCATCTTAGTTTTTTGTTATACTTGAAACGAAGATGAATAAGTTACTTTTAGAGGCCATAGGAAGCTTCCGAAAGAACGCAAGCACCACGTGATAAATAAAGACCAGTCACGTGATAAACACGGACCACTTTTCCGCGGTGCCCGCGGGCGCCAACTACAAATTCGTTTTGCGCCGTAAATATAGCTCTAAAAATTTTTTTTCTTCCTTGTAAAATCGTTTTATGGCGTCCTTTTTCCATCTAAGCCGTTTAAAAAAAATGTTTTTTTCCTTTGCATGTGTCCTTTAAGGCGTCGTGCCTTTACCAAATCGGTGTCGTTTTGTCCATCGGGGGCAAAATATAAAGGTGGGTTGGACATAATAGGGGGGTGGGCAGCAAGCCAGACTGGTGGACGGCAAAACCACTGCCGCCAACTGTGGGGAGAACCCTGAGCTGGCACCAGGAACGAGCAACGCGTTGTCAGCGTTGCGTTCATAAATTTACTCTTCCTGCATTGGTGCCTTGAATGGCCCAACAATGCTAGAGCTCATCTTTCAAGCTTTGTCACTCACTTCTAGACAGACCGTTTTTACGGGCTACCCACAGCGTGACAGTTGAGTCCATTTCTGTTGCTGGAGTGAGTAAATCTTGGAAGTTCTAACTGGGAAAAACTTTGACATGGTTTGTTTTACCGCGGGGAATACGGGAACGTCATTTTGGTAGACAGTCTGTTTTTGGCTCTTCCACGAAATCGAGGCTGGCATGCACAAAAGAAACTGCAAGGCCCGAGATTGCGTCATCGGGGCAGACCAGGAACGGCCAAACAACTGACGAGAAACTATTTTCCTGAATGTTGCTGGTCGATTGATTGTATGTGCTTAATTTGGGTGTTTTCTGCCCACATATATGTAGGGTTAAAGTAAAAGATAATTGTATTGTCCGAGGAAATATCGCAAGATTAGTACGGTTGCTGGAACGTGTCTCCGGCTGGTGTGTTTAGCATCTTATTTCTCCCATGCATTGCGAGGGGCCCTAGAGCGGCAACAAATGATGTCACAGGAGCTTAGTTCCAGTTTTACTTCAATAATAGCCGTTAGTCAAGTCCGAGTAGTGGATTCTTAGTTTGAAACAAATTCAAAGCAAATAGCAGTTCTTGCCGAATACTTCCTAATCGAATATTGAATAGCTTCTCCAAGCCTTTCACTACCATGCACAATGCTTAAAAGTAAATTTAACTGAATTCGTGAAGGTTGTTCCCAACATTCCACTTGTCTACTTTTAAGCTCAATTAATTTTAGTACAGCTACATCTATGACCTGTGACCAACAAAATTATCTCAACTATCCTAATCAAGGGGATTTATAAGTCTGCTCGCTATATGCAAATATTCTTTCTCCAGCCTTAAATTTTACAAAAGAAACAAAACAAGAACGAATGATGAACGATGTCAAAACATGGCTGCCTAACGCATACTCTTCTATAATCGTGGTGGGTTAGCCCCGTTGAATAGACTTCTCATTGAGCACCTGTGCACTGCAGAAAAGCAATACCTGCGGAGCCTGCACGCTGTGCGGGTATTGCTTCCCCGCAGTGCTCAGGTACTATGTGAGAAGCCCAGTCATTGGGGCTGACTCGCTGCAATCAATACTTCGAAAAGTATGAATATCGCAGTTCATTTCAAAGCGAATATTGAATAGCATATGATAAGGGCGAAACTACTATTGGAAAATTCGAAGATTTACACCACACTCATAGGTGTAAGTTGTTTGACTGCACCAGCTATGTAATATTTCCCCTCCTTAACATGACAAGTGCGGTTACCAAAGGACAGAAGTGTTATTCTTGTTTAAAATTTAAAGAAACCAGGAGGACATTTTCCTCCTGTGGCTAACCAGTGTCCACAATGATCTCTTCACATTGCTAAAGTGCACAGCATGTATCCCTTTAATGGACCATTTCTCGAGCATTCGGTCGTTGCAAGGCATTCGGGGATCAGAATGGTTCGTGAAGGGGTTGTACTCAGCCCTCGATTTTACTCCAGGAAGTTTCTATTTGTTGAGTTGTAGCTGACTCATGGGCTTGCAATTCTCCTTGCAGAGGAACATCAAGCAGAAGTTCATCAACCTGTTGAAGAAGTTCAGGGTCCCAGATGCCGAGGTGAGACAGATACCAGGAGTATGCTTTTGTAAAATGAACTGTGCAAAAACAAACTGGGGCCATCTAAACTTGTGCTACGAAAATCGAAGAGAGGCATGGCTTTTTGGCCGAACTTAGTCTGTGTTGTCTCACTTTAGAGAAGTCTTTCAGAAGTTGTACTAAGATATTGAGGTGAGCTAGTTGGATATGCATGATATAAAAATTAAATAGCGCAAAGGTTAGACAAAGGACTAAACATGTAGACAGGACAATCGCTATTTAGCGCTTGTCCTGTCTACATGTTCTGTCCTTTGTGCTTTGTCTAACCTTTGCGCTATTTAATTTTTATATCTTTCAGAAGTCTGAGAAAAAAAGAGGACTTATTGATACCTGATTTACATGGTACGATCTTGCTTACGATTTCGTAATTGCAACGTCACTCGTGCAGCAAAAGAGAAATGTGATAGAAGCTGCAGTACCCGACGCTGCTGCTGCAAATTTGCGAGCAGAATCGCAACACGTAAGCTAGGCTTGAGGTTCGTTTATTGTTTATTTTATTCCCTACATCGCTTCTCGAGGTGACATAGATATTTAAATAAATAAATTAATAGAGAGAGCAGATTCGTTTTACTTAGGAAGACGAAAAAGAAATCTCTTCTGGGACTTCTGTTTCGAGACAGCACTTGTGAGAGCGGGTACGGTTGTGTGCACGATTCATATCCGTGCATAGGTTTTTTTTTTTGTTTTTTTTTGTTATTTATTTATTGATTATACCCTAGGAGCCAAAGTGTTACAGGGGAGATGGGCACTTGGGACCATGAACACAATTAAAGATTGTTACATTGGCTCAGAACATTATTACTAATTAGCTAGTGCAGCCTTAAACTTATCAGTATCTCTAATTGTTGCTATAGAAGGGTTCTACAGTCAAACCCATTTATAACGAACAGCAGGAAACGCAACCCTCAGTTCGATATAGCAAGTAGTTTGATATAGCAAAAAACATCTACAACAAACTTCCACGATGAGGTCGTTGTGAGGCGAGAGCTTCTCTTTCCTTCTCATATCTCCACTTCCGCCTCGTAACAACGTGCTAAAATGTTTTTTTCATTTTTTTCTATCTGTGCAGAGTGTATTTTTTAGCTTCTGAATCGCTTGTCTTTGCTTAATTTTGTTCGCAACTTGAGCTTTTGGAATTTTCTTTTTTTTTTACTTGTTTTTTTGGGGGAAGAACAGGCTAGAAGACAAACGTTTGCGGGTTTTCGGAAGCCTTCCAAGGAGAAAAAGTTTGATATAGCCAGTATGTTGTTCGTCATAAAACATACTTTTTACATGCATTTTTATTTACATTTTCCGTGAGTTCGATATTGACAATAATTCGCTGTACGTCGGTTCATTCTAAACGGGTTTCACTGTAATCGTAAGAGGTTTTCGGGATGAAAGAACTGTAAAAAGGGGTAGTGTTACGTGCAAGTGTGCTGGCTCTGCAGCTATTGTTAAGGCGTGACGATACGTACATGGGATCATTGATTGGTAGAACTTTTAGACTGGAACTATCTTAATAAATTTTATGAAATAGACACGGGCGAGAGACCATACACTGTGCAGAAAGAAGGGATAATAAGACATTAGATTTCATCGACGTGGCAGTTTACATACGATGGAAAAAAGAGGATATGAAACGTGCTGATCGGTTTTGTCTTGCCGTACATTGCTGCGTATAAATCGACCTCTTTAGAAATTGGTATCTCAAATTAGGGTAGCTCAAAAAGAGGATCTAAAAAAAAATTATTAATTTTTCTTTTTTATATATTTTTTTTGGTTAGATTTTTGGTGGTTGACTTGTATTCGGAGTTGACCTATACGCGGCAATATACGATACGTCTTTCATCGCAAGCTTGCTAGTCTCATTTCTTCTGGTCGGTGTTTTTCTGCAGGCGTTTGATGCGGAGCACTACCCGGAGGGCTTGGAACAGGAGCTGATGCACAAGAACTCCAGGGACCTGGAGGACCTGCTCCTGGACGAGCTGGACGACCTGTCGGACAGCGGACCTGAGGGAGACAACATGAGCCTGTCCTCCACCCCAAAGCCCAGCCTCAGGTCCGTTCGCCCGTTCGGCGGCTGTCAGCCGAATTGTGCCGCTTGGGACACGTCTCCCACCGGCATGTTTCGCGTCCTATGCAGTCGCTGACCAATTTTTCGGACACCGATAATTCGGACTCGTACGATATTTTGTACCTAAAGGAGGAACCATGACCTACCCAATCGAAATACTGCCTATTCACGACCAATGTTTTGGACAGCTTGAAGTCTGAAAGTTAGATTTTTCGGAGAAAATGGTCGCGAGCGATCAGCAGGAAACACCACCGAGAAGCGGCCATTTTGGATTCTATGTTGGCTGCACGTGGATTGGCTTGGTTTGGCAGCGCTGCCTTAATACTGCTAAGTCCTACGCTAGGTGACACTGTATGGCTTTTTTTCTCTAGCTGCGTGTGATTATCATCATCATTGTTACCATTTTGCTTTGTTCTTTTGGGTTGCAGCCGTAGACTTGCGCCTCTCATCTCAACTCGGTGGATCGTGTTTTCAGACTACGCTGGCTTGGACGTCATTACCCCCCCTGTTCTTCCGCCGCTGCGATGTGTCGCTAAGAAGCGCAGAAAGCATTCGACCATAACGCTCGAAAAGAAGGCAGTGATTCTCGAGCTAATAGAAAGTGGCCGAACGGAAACGGAGGTGTAACCTGAAACAAGGCATGCAAGCGTATACGGAATCAAGACACTATTTACAGCTCTTTCAAGCTCGCTTAGACGTAATAAGGGCTAGTGTTTTATTCTGCTGATTTTTTGGACTGCTCTATTACTTGGATGTTTTTTCGGTCCCTGCAAAGTCAAAAAAATTTGGTTGGTGACTGTACTGCCCGTGCTTCAAAAGTGGTCCCGATGTGGGACTACTTTAGAATATGATGTCACAAAAGCCGGAGTGTCATGCTTTTGGATGTCTTTTTAGGACGTGGTAAGCACACTTGTCTGAGACAAGTTCCAAGCGCCATAGTCGCGCGAAATCTCTTTCAAGCGGCCAGGCCGAAATGCTGAGCCATCGCCGTGCTCTGGGCGGTGGAGAACGTTCCCTTGGATGGCAGGTGCTCAAAGTCTATCATTGCGTCCGGGTTGCCAATTTGTGGCGCGTTCGATGTCGAGGACAGAAGTGGTGCAACCGACTCCGAGCTTCGGCAAAAGTGTTCCGTTTAATCCGGGTGCCTTCGGGCTCGGGCTGACGAGTGGTGCCGTCGTCTTAGTAGCGATGCCGATCGTTTTGACCACCACAGTAGTCTCTGCGTGGGCGTGACTTCCGCGCATAGCTCTCGGCGGGTGGGTTTTATTTGCAATCACGCTCTGCTGGAGATCTTTGAAATGGGGAGTGCATACGTGGGTGCTCCCATTCGGTGTTCGGGTACGATATCTCACTTACGCATTACCCTCTGTTGCAGGCCTTTCTTTTCCTCGTCAACTTTGGTGCCGCTGGAAGCAGAAAAGGTGAGGTTTTGCGCGGACACTCTAGAATTTTCTGGCGGAACCTCATCGTCACCAAGCGAATTGTTTTTCTTGAACTGCATTTGTATATTTTTTTCAGCCTTTTTTTGTTTAGCAATAGGCTTAAAAAATTAACCCCCTTATGTAATGCCCTACTGGAGCCTTGAGGTATAGTAAATTAAATAAAATGAGAATGTAACGATGCAGCTTCGAGTATAAAGATTAGTTCATTATTTCCAATATTCGTTGTAAAAGTAGGCCCAAAAATTGGTGATACCATATTTATTCGAATATAAGGCGAGGTTTTTTTTAAAAATCCGTTGTCTCAAAGTCATACCCCGCCTTATATTCGAAGCTCAGTATACCAATATGACGATTTTTTTTTCTTTTTCTTGGGTCCTTCAACTGCCCCCTCGCCTTATAACCGTGACCGCCTTATATTTGAATAAATATGGTAATGAATTTGTAATCATGTTGGTACAGAAGCTACTGAAATGTGTGCAACGTTAAGGTATTAAAAATCACTATTGCGCCTCAAGCCCTGTTGTGAACGTGCATCTAGCCCTTGCAGCATAAAGAACAGAAAACAAAAAAACCTGAGGGATGCTTAAGCTTCGCCTTTAAGAGTGGAACACGTTTTTGGGCCCCGTTCGCAAAGCCTTCTCATATAAACCCGCACTTATTCCCAAGCCATGCAAGCGTATGTGCATTGTCTACTCCGCAGCGTCGCATGTCACGCAACATCACATGGTGACACATGGCTGTAATGCCATGACCCTATCGACCCGTCCAATTTAGTGGAAAATTTTCCACCAAATTTGCTGGGTAAATTTTCTGCTAAATTTGCCTGGGAAACTTTTTGCTAAACTTGGCGAAAAGTTTTCTCTATTTTTGGCTGGAAAATTTTCCTGTTAAAATTGTAGGAAGATTTCCCTTTAAATTTAGCAGGTCGATAGGGTCACGTCGTCACAGCCACGTGTGTCGTCACACGCGTGACGTCGTGCATCGGTACGCGCGTTGCATCATGGGATTTTTAATCCCACCAATGCGGACGTTGGATTTTTCGCGACACGAGCTTCTGAACGTTGTCGCGTTAAAATAATGCTAAAACTAATCATTTGTTTAACTTGTTTTAGCCACTGGCCGCGAGCTATAGGTTGCTGGTATCAATGTTCTCTAAATATCTGGTCACTTGAGCTTGGTCCACCCCACTGTGAACAACAGCAAAGTTGTGTAATGAGAACATAATATTTTTTTAATCCAGTTTGTTACTTGTTGCTTGACTCCCGTTTCAGACAGGTTTTTGACCAGTCGAGCGATCTTGACAGGAGATTGACTTGTGCTGCATTACTTGCAGTCCCTGCGGCACAGCGACGAGAGCCTTCAGCGGGCGGAATCGGACAGTGCCCAGGTGAGTCCATTTGGCTTTTCACCGTAGCCAAGAAAAAATTGTATAATGGAGTGTTTTTACAGCAGAGCTGTTAAGGGCTAGATTCCCCAGGATTCTGTCCGTATATGTTGACACAAACCTACCTGGACGGCTACCGCCACCTATAAGCGACGGCGGCAAGCACACAACCAGCATGGTTGCTGCCGTCGCTCGTAGATGGCGGCAACCTTTCCAACTATCATAGAAGAATGGATAGTTGGGCGCGTTGGTGGGAATTCGGGAAACAGCGTGAAAAATGGACGACGACGAAGAAGAAGCACACAGTGTATTGAGTACAGCTCCGCTGGTCTTCCTCCTTCTCGAGAGTGGACAGGCTGAACGATTTTTCTCTACTCCTTTTTGCACACAGGGAGAGCCGACGTCCATATTTTAAGTGCACCACAACCATTCCTTGGCAAGCTCTATCACGCTTGCTGCGAGATTGGGAGTAGGCCTGAGTGACTCCGCAATACGACTCCGTGATATGTCTCCCGTGACCCCTCCGTCTCTCTCTAGCTGCGTGAAAATTCCCGTAATGGTAGGGAAGCTGCACCAATTTGCCCAATTGTGCTAATTGATTTCGTACCTTTGTACTGGACCAAATTTCTAACTTCCCAGGCGAAAATTTTCAACTGGGACCAATTGGTCCCAGTTGCAACTGGTCCCAGTTGGAGTTGTCCAACTGATCCCAGTTGGAGTTGGTCCCAGCTGGAGTTGGTCCCAGTTACAACTGGTCCCAGTTGGAGTTGGTCCCAGTTACCGCTGGTACCAACTCCAGCAACAATGAAACACGGCACAAAATAGAAGTTTGACAAGACTTTATTGTCAAAAACTTGGAGAATGAAACTAAACAATAGGTTTGGTGACGTACACGCTCCGGGTTTAGCCACTTGCTTGCGACGGTTGAATCGCTTTTTCAGAGGTGGTATTCGTGAGATGAAGGAAGATCGGCCGCTGGCGTCTGTTAGTGAAGACGTCCTCAGCTTCTCTCCCCATCACGTAAAGAAAGGTGCTTACCCGTGATCCCGCGTTGCGCAGGTGAAGTCCTGATAGGATGCAGTAGCGCTCCCACCTTGCAATCTCTGTCACAACAGTCGAACATTTTCGAGGTAGACCTCCCACCATTTTCGCCATTGTGCTCTCCGCGGCGTTTTCTTCCGTCCGGTCTTTCCTGGGTGTCCTCCGATCGCTGAACTGCATTTTTCCATCCTCGAAGTTCACCGCCGCCACCATGGTGTGTGTACAGTTAGGTCCAAAGAAGTGCAGTTGTAGTTTTGGCATTTTCATAACGATGCCAACTTAGGCGATGGCGACCCTTCTCTACCGCGTCCATCCGACTCCGGATGGATGGATGAATACGGCTGAGCCCTTTGGATCGGGCGGTAGCTTACGCCACCTAGCCATTTTGTTTTACATTTAAGCTTAGAATATTTAAATGTGAAATCTATATTCACTCCGCAGTGCAAAGAAAATGAGGCTATGAAACCCCCTTGCCATCAGTAAATAAGAAAATACCTAGTTTTCTCTCGATTTCTGCCACCATTCACTTAATCTTTGCTTGGTAATCTCCGGTGTCAGCATAGGCAGCGCCATCTGTCGACAGCACGTACCACTAATCCGCACCCGCGTGCCACGGCGGCCGGCTAGCTCTGATTGGCCAAAAGAAAAAAAAAAAATATTGTAGGTGTTTAAATAAATGTTTTAATATAGTTTAATGATGCACTAAATGTTCATTAGGTGAACACATTTTGCCACTAATTATATTTTCCAATTAAAAAATATTTAGTTAATTAAAATTTTTATATTATTTTTATAAATATACCGTAATATCCCGAGTTATCGCCCACCCCCCCTACCGCCTGAAATTCGTTAAAAAAGTGGGGTGGGCCATGTCTCGGTGGGTGAGCACAAACACTTGAAAAAATGCGGAAAAAACCGCCTATTTTTCTCTGCGTATCTAGCGCTGATGCACAAGAGATACATCAAACTCAAAACTCGATTTAGTTTCATTGTTTTATAGAAAAAAATGCTCAATAAAGAATATTTTACTATAGCGAAGTCCGTTGCTTGCATACGCGCTAGAAACACCGCCGATCTGCATATAGCGCGAACGTTTGTTCCGTGAAAGAATGTCACCATTATGTTCTCCTAGTTAGTAAAAAAAAAGAAAGAAAGAAAAGTCTACAAGAAAATAGAAAAACCGACCAGGCGCAACGAGCGAGCGAGCGAGCGGACCAAAGAAGCGACCAAGAGCAATGCTGGGAAAGCGGGAAAGCCGGCGGTCGCGTTGGCAAATACTTTGGCGTCGGGCCAAGTCGGGCGCCTTGTCAATTGCAAGCTCTTGCGCAACTTGTTTGGTGCGTACATACGTGCGTCCGTGCACGGCGGGCTATCAATGCACGGTTGGGACGCTCTGCAAACGTCTGTGTAGGACGTTTTAGCAAAGCTTTATTTACGCTTTGGCTTTGCCTGAAATATTGCACAACCGCGGTCGCGACGGGCGGGAAGCAGGAGCGGGTTCGCGGTGACGTTACTTCGGCGGAGAAAGACTTTGACCTAACACTCCGCGGTTACGTTAACAAACTCTTCTTTTGTTATCTCCATCGTTTTCTTTTCGCACGAATACACGACCACTTTGGGGTCGCTCACGGAGGAAATGCGTAAACAAAAAGAAGTGTCTTTCCCTCCTTCGTTTTACTTTGTCACGGACGTCCTCCAACTGTAAGGTCCGCGGCCGCGTCATTCGGGTAGGATGAGTGTTCGCGGATCGCAGAGTCCGCCCTGGGGTATTTGAAGGGGTGGGCGATGACTCGGTGTTTTTTCGGAAATCGATATTGGCCTCAAAAATGGGGTGGGCGATGGCTCGGGGATGGGCGATGACTCGGGATATTACGGTATAAACATACCCAGTATTTAATAATTTCCCTATTTGTATAAATCTAAAAATGTAAGTGTTTTTAGTTTTCTTCATTAGGAAAGGTCAATACACTCCCAACTTGTCAAAATTGTTGCCCCATGTGAAGCTGGGATCGGGAAAGGCATTTGAAGTCCGACTGGGAATCGCTCCAACCAGTTACTTCCCTAACTGGTCCCAGTTCACTCCATTCCCAACTGGGATTCAAACCAGTTGACTCCCAACGGGGAATGGTTCAAACCAGTTGACTCCCAATTGGGAATGGTTCAAACCAGTTGACCCCTCAGCTGGTCCCAGTTGGACTCCTATTGGTCCCAGTTGATTCCCAGTTGGTACCAGTTAGACCCTGTTGAAACCAGTTGAGGTGCCAACTGGTCCCAGTTAGAAATTTTCGCCTGGGTTGGGATGCATTAAAAAACTAAAAAACGTGAATTTAAGCAGGAGGAAAAAGGACACACCTACGACACAGACAAGCGCAGTTTTGCATCTGTTTTATAGAAAACATAATTTGGGAGAACTTCGCAGTGTTTAACGTTATGCAAAAGCTCTAATCGAAAAATCTGCTAACACCCGTCAAGTTCGGCGGATTTCGTGGACTTGGTACGTCCCGAACTTGGGTGGCCATTGTAGTAGTACAGTATAGACCTTTTCTGTGTACTCTCGTCCCCAGCCACCTAATAGGCATATCCGGTATGGGCGACGAAAAAATAATCCAACGTTTGAACCTGCAAATTGTAAAATAATAAAAGGGAGGCAAAAAGAGAAAGTGTGACGGTTACGCTTATATCCTAAATGCCTTCTATTGGCGTGGCAAAGGCAAAACAATGTTTTTGCCCATACTGGAAGTGACGTCAATTCAAGATGGCGGCGCACTTGCAGAAAAGGTCTATAGACCACTTACAACGTAACCGCTTATAGTGCAGGACCGGGTATAACGCGGTTTTTTTAAACCACCGGTTCGCCTCCCATAGAACTCCATGTAATTACATACCGCTTAAAACGCAGGTGCGCGAAGGGAAATACCGGTTATAGTGCGGTTTCTGGCACAGCCCGCCGACCGCGCCGACGACCGGAGCAGCGAGCACGCTTCCCTGTGCGACATAGATAATGGCGCTGACGGCGCGAGCCGCAAGCGTTGCGCAAGCGGCACTCGCGGGGCAAGGAGGTTGCTCGAAGAAGCGGGAGAAGCGAAGAGAGAGGCTTCAGTTGCCCTAGCGACGGAGGAACGCACGCATGTGTCGTTCACGTGCGTGCGTCCCTCCGCCGCGTTGGCAACCAACAACTCCAACAACCGCAATGACAGATCAATCGCAGGTCAAGGAGAAGTGTTCACGCGCGTTGCATGAGCTCTCCTCCCCCACCACCATCTTTCGCAACGCTTAGAAGAAGAAGAAGAGCGCCCAGTGCGTACACACTATTGGCTCTCTCCTTTCCCCCCCAACGTCTATTACAACGCTTCTCCTCCTCCTCTGGTTGCGGGCCGGCTGCTTCTATCCGCAAACATGGCGTCGGTTGTGGTCGACGTCGTGATCGTTGTCGTAGACGGCGTTCATCTCATCGTTCCGCGTAAAAGCGCTGTCCTTGACTGTGAATTTTCGTTGTGTGCCGCTATGATAACCCAGCACATACTAGAAGGGAAGATCCACCTACTCGTGCGGCGATGTCGTGGCGGCGCTTTCAAGACGGCAGAAACGCCCGTGTCGTCGTGTTTGTTTACTTTGACTACAGTGGTGATTTCTAAGCATTTGTGTCCTCGAACATCGCCCGGATTTCTTATTTGGCGCATTTCATGCGTGTGCTCAAGTTCAAGGTATTACTGGCGCGTACCGTATGAAGGATGCGAATTTTCACGCGTTTTCATCTCCGGAGAAAAGTGATTAGGGGATTAGGGTTACAATCCTGAACGCTCGCAACGTCCGTCCGCAATCCGCGACGCCACTAAAAGGCTGCGCCAGGCAAAAGCCGCTCATTTCTTTCAAAATGTGTGACACACATGAGAGAGAAATGTACTAGTCTGGTGAAAATAAAGACTTTCCTCAAACTAAGCTTTATTTTTCATCTAACATAAAATAAAATCTTTTACAGAGGTAAGTTTTCTCATGGCATGTATTTTGGCCTGAAAAATTGATGTTTCGGTTATAACGCGGTACCGCTTATAGTGCAGATTTTCGCGACTCCCGCGACATACGTTATATGCGGTCTACACTGTAACTCCGCTGCATCAAGGCCCTTTTGCGAGGGGTCCTTCACTCCCATTGGCTGACGTAAGTGATCGCGTTGCCATAGCGACAACCAATGACATTCTTCTTGGAAGTCACGGTGTGAATCTAGGTACACAAATGATTGCTGCGAAATTTACCAACCAAGAGGGGTCTTGCGTACTACAGTGATTTTTTTCTGGTATGACCGAAATGCAACTGCATTTTTTGTTTTATTGAAGTGGCACCCGAGCCTAGAAATCATCTTGGAAGAAAAAATATGTGGAGTTGCCTCAATTGCCAGCAGCTGCAACATAATTGGCAGCGTTGCTAACTAGCCGAAAAAATCCGATAGTATCTGGTGTGGGTGTAGGTCACCTTTGTGCTCATGAAGTGGTGCAGTCGACTTCCGTTAGTTCGACCTTGACGGGACAGGCAAAATTGGGTCGAATGATCCAAAAGTCAAATTAATAGATGCGTGCGAAATTCTGAATATCCAGCACTTTAGATCAGGTAGGCTAACATTTTTACAATAAGCCACCGCACACCGCCCCATGGCGGTGGCAGCGGTTGTGTATGTCCTTTGCGTGTTCAACGCGGGGGCTGTAGCAGTGACCGGCGGCACGCGCCGCCAGTGCCGGCACCGTTGCAACAGTGCTGCAGAGCAGCGCTCCACAGCCCGGGGCACCGGAAGCATATCTGATGTGTGGGGGCGACGTCTGGGGGCTCATGTCGCATCGTGTAGTTCACCTCTTTCTCTCTCACATATGTATATCAACGACCACTGATGGTGGGAGGGGAGAAGGGGGGAGGAAAGGGGGAGGGGAGGAACGGCTTTGAGTGGGGGACCATGCCCCCACCTGTATGGGACCTGTGGGGGCGACTGCCTCCACTGCACCCCCGCTACAGTTCCGGAGCCCCTGTCCATAGTGGTGTTGCAACGGTCGCTGGTCCACAGCAATGTTGCAATGATTGCCTTGGTTGGTGCGCCAGTGCCACCAGCAACCGCTGCAACACCACTGCTTGTTCTCCACAGCAGTGTTGCAGTGGTTGTTTTGTGTTGAGACCTTGCCTTGTCCATTGTCTCAAAATGTGCTCTCTTTTTTCTCCCTTTTTGCTTTTCGGCACGTGCTTCAAAATTTGAATATGTTTTTCTTTTCGCCAATGGGTGCGGCTGATCGCTCTTGTAACTTGCCCACCATGTAAACTCAAAAAAAAAAAAAAAAAAAGGCTGTTTTTTTGCGTCATGCAGGGCCAGTCGTGCTTGTAGTGTAGAGCGCAAGACACACTTCAACAATCTAGAAGTTGTCCTTTCTGATAGATATTAAGACAGAGTTCTACAATCAATATTGGGGGGGCCGGAGTAAGTTCAATGCTTGCATATTTGTGACAAGAAATGGAAGGTTAAAATGCGCACTAAGCTGCGGAGACAAGCCACTGCATAAAACAGTGCTTACTCACAACTGATGGTTTGTTGAAAGAACTGATAAAATGGAAGCCATTTAGAAGTAATTATAATCATTGGTAGAGCAAAATCCTCTATTAAAGCAGTTTTTTTTTTTTTAAACCCACGGGTGTTTGTTTGAGGCAGGTTAGGTTTGTTTATGTCTAGAGTAGGGTGCCTCAATGTTGTTCTGAATATCTGAATCTGAATATCGTGTTCGTAATTCCCCGGAGATAGAACAAAGCGCGAGAAAACATGAAAACTTTCGACCAGTTGGTGTGTCCTGAGAGGATCTTTCGGCTGCCGAGCTCGAGGGCTGCGTGTGCAATTGCAATCCTGCCAGGTATATTCTCCGCACTGGTACCGGTCGTGGTGTCTTTTTCTGCCCTTTTTCAAAGTGCGCGTGCATTGCTTTGACAGAAGCTGAAGTTGCGCAAGAGCAGAGTTTCCAAAAACTTCTTTCGTGACGTCACGCTCCGGGAAGGAGGGGCTTCGGCGGTACTTCGAAAATGATTTTCTGCAGCCTCCGTGCATTAAATAAAAAGATATTGAATTTCAACATTCGAAATCCTGGAGGTCAAATGAAGACGATTTAAGTGTGTTTCCTCAAATAGAAAAAAAAAAACGCTTCAGCTTCCCTTTAAGGTGATGTAATTTTTTGTTGTGGCCGATGCTGATGGCACGGGCTCACGAGGAAAATGCAAAGAAATTGATGCCGCCGACCTAAGTCAGTGCTGAAAGCTTGTGCCGGCAAACAATCCTTTATGCACTCCGGAGCAAATCATTGCAACAAAAATGGTTTGGTGTGTTCAATCTTATCACCTTGTTAGTTGATAACATTCGAAAGATGTGACCTGCCAATTTCACTCAGTCAGTTACTATTCGCCAACTGCGACACCCTATAGATGGCGGGGTGGTAGTTCCAAGGCGGTGGAAGAGACTGGGACAGATTCTCCAGGATCTCTTTTGCACCTGCTTGCCGACGCTGGTCGGCGTGCTAAACATAGTTTATTTTCCTACAAAGGCAAAGTGGTCGGGGCAGGGGCGCATTACGGGTGACAGATGTTGATGGGCATTGAGAAAGCGAGCATATTGATATTTAAAAGTTAAGAAAACCTCGACTTGCAAAGCTTCTTGGAGGGGGAGCGTGCTTTGAGCACTGGCCACGTCGCTGTCTGTGGCAAAATATTTTTGAGGGTGATGAAGATATTGTGGTGTTTGCGCTTTGCCTGGCCATCGGTGGTCTAAGAAGTGAGCTGCGCGCGGTGACCGTCAAGCTCCGGAAGAGCAGCCTTCACGGTACAGTCTAAGCTTGTTATAACAGACCTGGATTTTGACCAAGATTTCGGTCTGTTGTAAGAGCAATATGTTGTATACAGATATGAAGTTGAGTCAATGTTATATGGAGGAAAACCAACCGAACTTCACAAATTGGTATGTCATATCCACGTATCTGTTGTAACCAAGTCTGTTGTAATGAGCGTAGACTGTATTGGTGTCTTCATGTCACATGCTCGCAACTTGCTGCTCACCATCGTGGTTTTACTGCATTGCAACAGATGATCAATCTGCACTGTGGTTATTGATAAAAAGTTTTAGAACAGCATGACTGCAGGCTGCTGTACGGTGTAGCATTGCAACCGGAAGCTCGTGCAGCACATTTGAAGCGTAATTTTCATTGTGCATGCCATGTTCACGTCAACCTGTGGCAGCACTATAATAAAACTGCCTTTTAGCGTCATTGGCGTGTTAAGAGGTTTTATTTATTGCTCTATCAAAAATAAATATTTTAATACACCGTTGATTTGTGTACCGCGTTATTTGCAACGTTGCGACCCGCCTCGCCAAAACTGCCCGTTCTAAGCTCTTGTCATGAACGGCTGGCTAACGCAGGCACGCTTAAAAGGCTTCGAGCATTTCTTTATTTGACTTTGTAATTACCTGGAAGCAAGTAGTAACCTAAACGTATTCTGTCTTTTGAAATGTGCTTGGAGCCAATGGTCATGTTCCTTGTAATGGCCTTAAAACGCGGACCCGTTCCCGACGTCTACTGCTTGACATATCGTTGCGCGACCTGTTTTCTCCCATTTAGGGCAAAGAAGAGACTTTTCATAGACTGTACGCTAGAGCTCTAGACTATTAGCGGGAGGGTTTGCCGTCACGTCGAGCCCAGATTGAGCTGGTGACCTCAAGGCCAGAAATCCGCAGCGTATACGATATACGAAAAGTCCCCAATGAAATTAGAGATCCCGGTCTCTTCGTGCAATGATGTTGTGAGGCAGTACGGAACAATTTTTTTTTAATGCGCTCACTGTTTTTCCTTAAGACTGCTTCATGCACAAACATGCCGTCCAGAACCATGCGGTAATACCATCACCAAGGCACCAAGGCCGACAGTCCCTGCCACTGCCTCTGTGCCGCCGCCGCCTTCCCCGCTCCTCTGGCTCTTCGTACGTCTGTGAGAGGGCGAGCGGCGGGCTGGAGTTGCGAATAGGGGGCAGACAGATGAGAGACTCTCACTAATACACCATAGAGGCTTTCCTCCAAACGTCCCGGCATGCTGTAGCTACCCAGAGGGCCAAAATCAAGTGTTTGGCATCCGTCTTTTCAGGACACAGAGCCCGAAGAAGGAGCGAGTCCGCCCCACAGCGCGGAAGAGCGCGTCCACAAGGTCGTCGGCACCGCCCCGGCAGTGCCTACTCCCAGGGGGGCGCCGAGGGACTCGGACAGCAGCGTGAGTGTTGGCCGACGTTTGTTTGACGCGCCAGAGAAACGCTCAACTTGGCACGGGCTTGGCAGTCCTAGGGGCCTAACTTGGGCCTAATACGGTTTTGCCCTAAGGTGCTAGTTAGTGCCAGTGTATGTTTCTTTGGCATTTCTCGAGCTTTTCTCTGGCTCTCCACATAATTGCCAAAGTGCCAGACGTGAGCCAGAGGTGCCACGTACGAACTGAAGAGCCAGCGGGGAAGCCTAAATCTGGCACTTGCTTGACATTTGAGGTCCAAAGTTGCCAGAAGAAAACCGAACAGTCATAAGTGAATCCTAGCTATTTCATTTGTTGATCGATTTAGGCCCAGAGACGCCAGGTGACAGCCAAACAACCTGCAGTGAACCCTAACTTTGGCACTTGTTTGTCGAATTGAAGCCAAGACACCCAGACTCTGGCCAAAGGACAAGTTTAGCTCTACCCTGGCTTCTTCAGACCTTCTTAAAGTCCTAAATTCCCAGACAGAAACAAAATTTTGGCCTGAAGAACCTAAATCTCAGAATACAAAAATTCTCTAAAAAATGTTTTGAGACATTTATTTTTTTATTTTTAGCAAGGGCAATATGAATTCAACCCACTTCGAATAAGTCTCCAAAAATCGCTTTTGCAACCTTTGACACTGTCACCAGCCACGTCACGAGACGTCGCAGATGCCACATTGTGACCTACTTGGTGATGTTCCGCGATATTATCTGTGTCACCACGGCACGTGATGTTTGGTCACGTCGTGCGATGCATTGTGGCACTGATCACGTGAGCATTGTCTGTTTTATGTATCGTACGTCTGGTCCGCTCACAAAAGCTTGTAAATTCAGGCTCGTGTATAGACACCGAGCACAGCTAGGAACGTGCTGCACATTTCTTGTCTTCCAATTAATTGGTTGAGTAAACCCAAACGTCGCGCCGTTTTGTTTCTGTTATGCGAGAGTTTCTTTTTTTCATGCAAAATACGTATGTGAATACAATTTAACTTATTTTGTTTCGCCGAAATACAATTGAGGTGGGTCGGAGGGTCTTATGGCATGTCTCTGATTGTCTTCGGCATACCTTTACACGTTGCTGCACTTTCATAAATACCTCAAAACCCCGTACGGATGCCCTTTTCTGAGAGATCGCCGATCCCCTTTTTTCTGGCTATACATCCGTAACGTAACAATTCCGAAACGTCGACCACCCCCCAATTCCCGACGGAGCAACCACGCGATTTGCGGAATCGGTACGTGCGATTAGCGAGCTCGGAGCAGGTTTCCGCATATTGATCACACCACACAACCCGAGTTTGCCGAGTTTGCGAGCTGCTTGCGAAATGTTGGTTACCGTGGCGAGCAAGTTTGTAGCGGGTTCCTGTATGTTCATCGTACCGTGAAACACGAATCTGCTGCGGTGTTTATCGGTAATTTTGACATGAAACATTCTTTGGCTAGGTGTTCGACATTTCGAGAAGCCCAGATAAATGCGTGGCCGCGAGGCTCGGCACAGATTGGTCGGCGGGGGGAGGGAAGGAATGAGGTGCTTGACACCGATTGGCTTATGGGGAGGTCACGTGACCAGAGGGGTAGGCGAGGAGGAGCTCGACCACCTGCGTGCACCGAGGGAGAGGAGCTTGCGAGTACGGAAGGCTCTAAAAAATCGCCAGGTTTATCAGCCGAATTAGCGGTAGTATCGCTTCATTCCAGGAACAACCATCGAGTGTACAGACGGTACGCATTAAACTATCTGACAAAGAGCGCCGCGAACGTAGGCATCTGGCGTCCGGAATTGGGGAGTATTGCCGAACGTTTGTGATGCTAAAATATTTCCCGTATGCAACGCAACTGCCTATCAATTCGCCATAAATGTTCGATAAACTTTTGCCGTCTCATTGTTGAGGAGTGCCCACCCAATATTTTTGGCCTTTCGTCGCTTCGAAACGGACGAGCATTCGTGCAGAATGTTACGTTACGGGTTTACGACCGGCGACCACAGTGGTGCGCACGCGTGCCTTGCCCTTGCAGCCCTGGGTCCTGGACCAGTTGGGGCAGCTGTTTGCGGGCGACGAGGCGGTGCCCGACCGCCTGCTGCTGGTGGAGGCTCCCTGGCTGGCGACGGCACTGCAGAGGGCGGCCCTGCCGGGCGTCCTGTCGCTGGCGCACGGCGCAGATCTGAAGGCGGCCTTGGCCGCGCTCGTGTCCAGGATACAGAAGTTGTGAGTGCCCTCGCGACGTTTCCTTGCAGTCGTCCACGGGGCGAGAGCGGTGGTGGAGGGGCTCCGGTCGTCCCGCCTCTGGCACAAGCTTCATATTTTCGACGGCACTTGGGCGTCTTGCGCGCCCGGACCGTGCGCTCGCGGTCATAGTGGGGCGAAAGGCACGGAGCGTGCGTTGGGCGTTCGAAAGATGCCCTCCACTTCTCATTCTGCGAGTGACCGTACCTTTTCTAGAGCCACCGAGTATGGCAGGGTTAGCTGTGCGAGTAGCAACATTACACGTAAAGATCTTGTTTAGCCCGTTTATAACAAAGCCCATGGGATTCAGAAATAACTTGGCTATACAGTAAAACTTCGTTATAACAAAATGGGATATAACAAACTAATGGATATAACGAAGCAATCATAATTCCCCTTGCTTGCTAATAGGGAAGAAATGGACATTGGCTATAACAAACTAATGGTTATAACGAAATAATTATGATCGCTCCTTCAACTTTGTTATAACGAGGTTTTACTGTATCTCCACTTTTTTACTATATCTAGGCTCTACAAAAAATGAAAAAAGATTGGATGGGCAGATTTGTTTATTAACAGTGCAGAAACTGGCTCGAGGATTGTGGCCTTGAGGCAATCAGACTGAGAACCAAAGTTCCGGTCGAGTGTGGAACTCGCAAAGTATGTATGAAACGTGTCTACCACTGGGACGGCTGCTATGGAGGTCACCACCTGCGGAACGCACCCACCGTCGTTACAATTGGAGTTTGAGGAGCCATCATCCAGGTTTTTTTTGAGACACTCTCGGCGAGTTGTCCAAAGCACCGATATCGTTGTCTGCAGAACCATGGTCCGTGTGATCTGGTCCAGGCGGGGAGGCACGAGGTCGACCTCATTGGCAGACTGCCAAAGCTGCTCGAGGGCCTGCTGCTGCACCATCGGTTGCTGCTTTGTCTGGTAGGCCCCTCATCGGAGCCACTGGTCCGCAAGAAGACTTCTTTCTGGAAGCGGAGAACAGTGGGCAGCTCGACATTTCTCCAGGCTCTGCTTGCAAAGAAGATCACCTTCACCAGCAGGACCTTCGGTTTGGCGGACTCGTCGGTGGTGGGGACGTCGATGAGAAGGTGCTCTATTACTCGGCACCGTTTGCGACGACCCCTCGATTCATAGGCCATAGCTTGGCAGGGGTGTTGGGACAGGAACAACACCTTGATGGCTTCGAGGCATCCGTTCGTGTGGTTTGCAATTGTCCGGCAACAACAGCACCTTGCGTTTCTTTTCTATACCGTATCTTTGTCAAAATCGTTGAGACGTTTGCCGAAGAGGTCTCGTGTCATCCTTGTTGTCTGTGTATGTCACGGGCATGGACGATGAAGCTTTGTGGTTTTCCGCCTTGCCGATGGCCAGGGGGCTTATCCAAGCCATCCGCGTTGGGACGGAACGGCACTGTGACCCGGTTCTTGCCGTTCTTCCCTTTCACATGCTTATTTGTCCTGGCTGGGTGAGCCTTTGCTGGCGGGTGTTTAAAAAACAATCCGGTCTCGTCAGCATTGTAGATGTTCCGGTCCATGCACGTTCCAAAGGTGGTCCAGGTTCTTGTCCATCCATCGTTGGAGCGCTTGAGTGTCGACAGACTCAACTTTCCCAAGAATGCTCTTGCAGGTGGTTCGAAGTCCTTTTGGCCGAGAGTGATCGTCCACGAACCATGTGTAGAGTGCAGCCTCTACGTTGCCGGTAGTTGCCTTCCGGATCCTTTCCTTGTTCTCGCTACCAACGTCGTTGTCAAGAACAGCATCAATTTCGCTTTCATTCTTGATAATCGTCGAGAGCGTGGACCGAACTACCTTGTACTCCCGCGCAACGTCTGTTTTCTTGACGTTTTGACGGATTTCGTCCAAAATGGTACGCTTGACTCTCGGCAGCAGCACTTTCTTCTTTCCGGTCGATGACCCAAGGCTTGCAAGATTTGACATCACCGAAAAATTGGGGATCGGGGGAAGTGAGGCGGTGGTCCAAAGTGATTCTCTCAAAATGTACTAATGCAAGTCTGTTGCTCAAAAGTTGTCAGTGGGAAATCAGGGTCGCAAAAAATCGAAACGGCAAAACGGGAGAAAGCAGAATGACGTCAGTGTTGAGTGAAAACCTGGGGAAGACGACACGAAAATGAAAAGAAAAGCATGATGTGATCACGCGATCGCCAGGTGGCACAGCCGGCGTGAATGTATGTCTTCAGAAACATGAGCGAACTGACTCTAGAGTTGGCCTGCAGTTCCGCAAAAGCGTAGTTAAAGGACACACGCAAAGAAAAAAAGCTTTTTTATTAAACAGGCTAGATGGAAAAAGAATATTATAAAACGAATTTACAACGAAGAAAAAAAAAATTAGAGCTATATTTACGGCGCAAAACAAATTTGTAGTTGACACCCGCGGGAGCCGCCGCTGGTCACGTGGTAGGCCCGCGCGCCGCCGCGTTGTGTCATTGCCGTGCTATGTCACCGCCGCCGCAAAGTGACGCCGCCGTTGCACACTGAGCGTTGTGCGACACCGCTTCAACGCGTTTTTCCACGCCGCCGTCGCCGCCGCTGTGCAAGTTCGTCTGCTTCGGCGCGTTGCCGCCGTCATCTGACCAGCACACAGGTCTATTACGTTTGCTTGCGCTTTTTCAAGAGTTTCCTTTGGGTTCTAAAAGTTACTTATTAATTTTAGTTTTTTGTTATACTTCAGACAAAGATGACTAAGTTACTTTTAGACGCCATACGAAGCTTCCGAAAGAGCGCAAGCACCGCGGGATAAATAAGGGCCAGTCACGTGATAAATAAGGACCACTTTTCCGCAGCGCCCGCGGGCGCCAACTACAAATTTGTATAGCGCAGTCAATATAGCTCTAAAAATTTTTTTCTTCATTGTAAAATTGTTTTATGACATCCTTTTTCCACCTAAGCTGTTTAAAAAAATGTTTTTTTCCTTTGCATGTGTCCTTTAAGAGTTGAGTGTGCCTTGCAAGCGTGGCTAGCGTTGCTTGCCTCCGCTTACTCCAGCAAACAAACAAGGCAGGGCAGAAAAAAAAAACTCCGCTTCACATAAACTTAAGCATGCACATTTTTCCAAAGTTCCTTCTTGGGGACATAAGTGCTTTTTTTCCCTTTTTTTAACAACGAGGAAGAAATGTTGCAAACTGAAGCACTACAATTCAAACAAGTCCCTTGCAAGCATCTTTATGCGAACAAAATGTATTAGCAGACGCAACCACAGTATCTTTCGTAATATGTTTATTTTAATGTTACGTCCGTAACAAGTTAAGATTCTTTCGGTTTTCTTTCATTCGCTTAGTACTGATTTTGCAACTACTATGCATGTTCCCTCAAAGACGGAACAACAGAAACGAACCTCTACAACTAGGGGTATGCGAATACCGAATAGTAGTTACCAAATCGAATACCGAATCGAATTAAGAAAAAAAAGCTGAATATCAAATCGAATATTGAATAGTGATTTTATTTGTAGGAATTTTTTAGAGTGTGCTGTGAGTGAGATTATTATACGTGCAGAGTATGCGCCTGGTGCAGAATATACATCTTGTATGGAGCAAAAGCTCAAATGTATAGAAGCTGTGGTGAAAGAGAAAAGAAAAGCTCCTGCTGATGGATGTTGGGCTCTAAAGATCCAATTTTATGGCACAAACATAATCTATCTACCCTAAGCGTCATGGAAAACTCAGTTACAGCCATGCATGCTTTTTTTTTTTTTCTTGTTAAAAGCACGACCTAACACCGCGACATGTCATTTTTTATATTTATATATTTAGAAATTTTGCAATATTTGGTCTCAATTTTAAGGGAGAAAAAGGGCACCCGTAATTTTATCTTATATATATATCAGGGTGTCGAACCGGAACCGAACCGAACCGAAAACAGGAACCGAACCGGTATTTTTTCCGGAACGGAACCCGAACCGTTATATTGTTATCGCGATGAACCCGAACCGGAACTGAACCGGAAACAAAAATAATGGTTACCGGCTCATGTCAAAACGGTTCGGCCACGCGCTGTTGACAATGAATGTGCTATCAATGCCATTTGTTTTTTAAGTGCCGTCAACTGACACACACCTCGCTTACATATTTTTCTTCTCCACTCAGTCTTAGGAATATAAACGCTGCATCCATGAATCTTGACAAACGCTGCATCCATGAATCTTGACATAGGAACCAGTATTGCGCTGGTCGTGGCTTGCACGGAAGAAAAAGAATTGGAAGGCTGTGCAAAAAAAAAAAAAATCGCGTCACGGGATTTTATTTTCCTACAATCTCGTAAATCCTAAATGCTGCTGTGTGCTCATTTCATAACACATTTCTAGAACGCGCGAGTTCTTGAAGCTTGCTTCCATCGGAATGAGAAAAGAAAAGGCTGTGGAGTTTGATAATAATGCATCCGGTTTCGTATAGGCACTTAGAAGCTAACATATTTGTGAGACAGCGAACTCTTCTATTTTAATATTTATCCTATTACGTCCTTCTGGCGTTGCGTTCGGTGAAGTGTTTTTCATATTCCGTATCTTGTTTAATGAAAACTTCTTCAAGGGTCTAATTTGAGTTACCGAAGGCTAGTTCAAATAGAGAAAGCTGTATTTTCTCCCCACTGTTCCTTCAATTGCTTACACGCCGAGGTGGCGGGATAGTTAGCGAGTTCTACTTGTGAGTTTGTAAGGAGGTCTCGGATTTTACAGCTACTGCGTCGGACCCAATTAGATGAAGTCCGAATGCGTAAACGTCGGTGAGGTAACCTTTGAGTGCACATAAAGAAACCATTCCTGGTAGAAATCCCTGAGCCTTACACTACGATGTATCCCGTTTCGTATGTGCTGATTTCAGATGTTTTATTTGTAATTTATTTTGATGTTGCAATTTGTCATTTATAATTTCCGAACCGGTTCGCGAACCGGTTCAGCGCCCCGAACTGGTTCGCGGATCGAGTTAATCAAACCGGAACTGAACCGGAACAAAATTAATTTACCTGAACCTGAACCGAACCCGTATTTTTTTCGGTTCGACACACTGATATATATATAAACAGATGGCTGTTAAACCTGAGTAAAGAGGCTTAAACAATATAATCTGCATAGATAATCTGAAGTAAGAAAAAAAGAAACATGTGGTTAGGTGGCGCGAGTCACCATCCAACTGCCGCCATGCATCCATTCCTCCGTCTTAGAGAGCCTAGATTTAAAAGAGGGCGCAAGCGAACCTGAGACCTCGGAGACTGCTCCCGCGCAGATTGGTCGTAAGTGCGCTTGTATTGCGTTGTCGTGTGGAATGAAGATGAGTGCGAGCAAACGGAAGAGCGACAATGCCTTCCCGATCGACGCTTTCGTCTTTTCGTCACCTTCTCAGAGTTAGTAATTCAAATGCGGCTACCGAATGGTTGAAAACTCTCTCAAATCTAGGCACACCATTTTTCCGTTCCGTTCCGTTCGGAATTTGCGGTTCTAAAAGAAAGATGACGACAATGCGGCTGGTTTCATCGGTGTGGTTAACATAGTTTTCTTTTTGTGATCTTGCAGTCGCCAATTTCTGTGAGTGTGGCAAGTGTGTTCTATATCGGCGCTTCAGTTTGAAACGAGGGGCTTTACTCGTGAAAAGAATTAGGCATGGCGCGGAATTCCGGCCTCCCAACAATTCCTCTCTGGAAGCGGTGCAAACGGGATGTTTCGATTGTGATTCAAGGTTAGATTGTGTCCCGATCATGAGTAAATCTATGTGCTATAAAGTTTCTGGCATTGGTTTCTTTTTTCTAACCTGTGCATTAGATTTTTGTGGAATGGTAGGACCAAGAGGTGTTTCTCGCATGGTGTGTCTAACATCATGGTGCTAACATCGGGAGAAAAAACGGCTTTTTTGTCAGCTCCGCGCCGACCGCGCGTCTTTGGCCGAATATATAGAATATTCGAGTGCCCGAATACTAGGAATTCGATTTCCGAATCGAATTATTCGGGAACTTGCTATTTGATTTGAATTTGTATATTCGAGTATTCGCTCACCCTTATCTAAAACAAGACTGCCCCCGGCCGAAACGGGGCGTCCTGTCACCCTAAAGTATCCCGACTCCTTGCTGTCAAACTATTGAAGCTGCAGCTTTACGAGTGTTGAATGACACTCCCCTTGCCTGTTGAAACTGAGGTCGTTGCGTGACACCCCTTTGTCTGTTAAAGTGTTGGTGTTGCACGATAACCCCTTCATCTGTTGAAGCGACAACTGCACGAGTGTTCGCAACACCCTCTTCGTCTGCCGAAGCTGCAAAGGTTGTATGGCACTCCCGTTCGTTTATTTATTTACCGTATTTACTCGCATATAAATCGCATCAAAATTTATATTTGCGTAGAGGGGGCCAATGTTCTAAGAATCATTTGAGTAATTATACAAAACCGTCGTCTGCCGAAGCTGTGAGTGTTGCACAATACCCACATTGTCCGTTGATAGTGTGAGTGTTGCGCGACAACCCCGTTGTCCGTGGAGGCCAGGGGTGCTGCGTGACACCCGCCCTTGTATTCCAGCTGCAACTGCAACTCTCGGGCCCCTCTAACGGTGCGAGTGGGGCTGCTGGGCTCGGACCCATTCCTGCACTCTGTGGTGCGTCTCTACGTGGAGCACTTTTCGACCAAGCCCCCCGAGTGGCAGGCCTACCTGCGCTTCTTTTTCGTCCCCACAGGTGGGTGCGACCACGGCCAGGCGGTAACTAATGCACCCGTGCGGCTAATCTTTTATGATCGGGCGGCAGCTTGCTCCACCTATGGTGTGTGGTTTCACAAAACATGTTTTCTAAGGATGTGTGAATGGTGATTTTTGAGTTCTAAGCGAATACGGAGCGAATAGTTTTTTTGTACTAGATAATTGAACTGAATCAAATAATTTTGAAGCGACGCGAAATAGTTTGTGGTTGTCAGTACAGTCATGGTAAAAAACCCTCCAGACCAGGGAGAAAAAAGAGAAAAAGAAATGTTCAGCCTTTCTACTCTCGTGAAGAAGGAAGACCAGCGAAGCTGTACTCGATACACTGTGTGCTTCTTCGTCGTCGTCTGTTTTTCGCGCTGTTTCCTACGATGAATTCTCGCCAACGCGCCCAACTATACGTTCTTCTATATAGCTGGAAGGGTTGCCACCATCTACGAGCGGTGGCGGAACCCATACTGGTTGTGTGCTTGCCGCCATCGCTTATTGGGGAGGAGGAGCAACTGTGATGCTTCAGGCGGTTAACTTTAGAACTACACGGATGGGGACAACAAATACAATGACTCAGCGCTCGGCCGACATAACTGTACGTGGCGTCAGCGTTTGACTGGAGTTTGTGTTCTCCGGTGAGGGGGAGGAGAGGCTCTTTTGTAATCACTCCGGCCTGCATGAACAATGCAGCATGCACGGTGCCCAGCTCAGCGCAAAAGCCAAAGTGAGTCAAGCTCGCCTTTTCTGACGACTGCTTTCCGGGTAGATTCGGCACTTAACGTCACTTCGTCAGTTGTTAGTATTTTTTACATTGCACTGTGCCCCGCACTCTATTGTAGAGGATGGCATGGACATGCCCATAAGGCCTGGTAGCATGTGCACAGGCCTTGTGTTGAGTAAACACCGAGGTGTGGGGACAACAAACAGGTCAGAGTGCCCCCTATAGTTTGGTCTCCTGCCCAATAGATGATAGTAGCTGTCCAATTAGGTTTGTGTCGACATACACGCACACGATCCTGGGAAGCCTAGCCCATAACAGCTCCGCTGTAAAAAAGGACAGACACAACAGGGTTTGAAGGGTAATTGTTCACCAGGTTGCCATATGGATGGCTACACATACAAAGCAGATATTTGATAATTTCTTTACTTAGGCCTACTGATCATAGCAGGTATATCGCGCATGAAACGTTTGCGAAATGTATGACATAAGTTTATTTATCTCTCAGAAATGTTGTTTATCATGGACTGTTTAGAGACAGCACATTGTCAACTCAAAACAAAATTAAGTTTGTTCACCAGGCCAAGAACTCGTCTCATGCGGGCTGTTAAGCAGGGGACATATGAGCGGTGAAAACGGGCATCGCACAAGAGTTTTCGTAACTGTGCAGACGCTGTGTTGTGTACCTATGCCATGCCGCCACGTCACAGCGTCCGTGCAAGTTGCTATGGAAATTTCCTCATGTTGCCCGTCCTCGTAGCTCATGCGTGCTCTGGTTTAGCCCCGTTGAGTGCGCCTCTCATCAAGCACCGGTGCACTGCAGAAAAGCAACATCTGCGGAAGCAAGCTCTGCGGGTGTTGCCTTTCTGCAGTGCATTAATGCTCGGAAAGAAGCGCACTTGACGGGGCCACGAGAACAAGAAGTATGGATAGTGGAACAACCAAAGTTTTGAAATTTATTTGAATTAACCAGAAGTATGAAATATCAGAGATAGGGAAAAAAATGCTGAGTGATTTGTGCAGACACTTTGGTGTTAGCTATCTTTAGCTATTAGAAATGCAATCAACAAGAGATTCATGAGTAGATTTGTTGCTCCTATTTGTATTGCTGCTTGTGTTCCAGCCTTGGTTGATAAACTAATGTTTTACTCATTTTTTTTTTTTTTTTTTTAGTTTGAATAAAGGTATGTTTTGCAGCACGTCAAACTTGGAATTGCTTAGAAAATATTCAAAGTTGCCATATAGCCCTATTTGATTCGAACTTCAAATCTAATATGGCATTATTCACTTCGATATTCGAAAGTTTTGAATATTCGCACAACCCTAATGTTTTCACTTACGGCGAACCGTGTTCAGCCATGATAAACAGCTTGCACCACTTTTTCTTGTACAGTAATCCCTCGTTATAAAGAGGTTAACGAAACTGCTAAAAAATTCGTAATAAGTAGTAATTTGATAAAAGCGATAGAGCCAAAAAAACAGTGCCAGCAGCCTTGGAGGTGGATGGGAACACTGCAGAACACTCTGACGGTATATTTAATCAAACAAGCCTTCGTTAGGAACATCTTGTGGCAGCTTTACGAAATAAAAAAATAATTAAGTGGGGTTTGCCAATCATTTTATCTGAACATCAGTTCTCCTCAAACTGCTTCAGGCTTCGCAAGAACACTATCACAGCCGCTGTACTCTACCGTATTTACTCGCATAATGAACACACTTTTTTTCCCGAAAAATTGACACATATTTGGGGGGGGGGGGGGGGGGGGGGGCCTCATTACACGGGGTAAAATTTTTGCATTTAAACACTTTGTGCAGATGTCATATTAGGTGCCAATATAACATGGCAAGGTACTGTGGCACGTCTCCACTGATGGAGGTGCACCTACGGCTGGTCGGGGGCGTGCCACAATAACCATGCTTTATAAATTGCACATCTTTTTAGGGTGCTTTCAGGGTGCCTTTTGCCGAAAGAAAAGTGCCCTACGAAGCTCACTCAGCAGGAAAAGCAACACAACCACAACCATCCTTAGGCGATATATATTGCTAGTATCTGGCGGGCACAGTGGGGTATAATCCGCGGCTATGTGTATAAGAACTCATACAAAGTCCAACTCCCGACCTCTGAAGCCTGCTCGCATGGATCAAGTTTCGTTCACGGAGACAGGAACTCGTATAAAGTGCAACCGCCGACCGCCAAAGCCCGCTCGCACAGATCAAGTTTAGTTCACGGAGAGGCTACCAGACACTCTCAGCCTACAGCGCAAGGTGCACCTCACTGTGCCGTTCCATTACGGATTAAATAAACATATTTACCCGAAGTATGTGAAATTAGGCCTAACCACTTTCACGATTTCACTGTCCGAAAGCAGACCTAAGGCGACGGCTTGTTTGTTGACATCAATGCATCCGATAGTAGAAGAATATCCGGGGCTCGGCAATTCTTCGACCCAAGCATCTTCAAGAGTGCGCGACATTCGGTTTCACGGTTGATCACTTCCGTAACTACGGCAACTACGCACTTGCAGCCGTAACGTTAGACACTGTGAGCGTGGCGTGAGCGGCCTGGTCTGGCTTGACTTGGCTTGGCCGCTTGGCAGCAAAAGAAAACTGGCTTGGTGGCTTACTAAATTGGATGCAATTCGAGACTCGCGGGTCCAAAAATTAGAGGTGCGTTGATTACGGGAGGGGAAAAAAAAAAGTCAATATTGATGCCTGTTGTGGGGGGTGCGTTTATTATGCGAGTGCGTTTATTATGCGAGTGCATTTCTTATGCGAGTGCATTTATTATGCGAGTAAATACGGTACTTTGTTTCGAAGCAGCCGTAGGATGTTTCGTGTCTCCCCAGTCGTCGGCGTTTCCCGAGGTGCCTCTCCGACGTTGCTTCGTGTTTACCCTGGCTGCTCGCAAGGTCTACGATCGCAGCATCCATGGCAGGAGCAGCAACGGGAACAAACGCATTGAAAAACGCAAAAAATCAAAGTTGTCGTCGGTGGCTTCGCCAACATGTTTTCACATACTCCTGTAGAGATTGTTGGAGCCCTGGGAATCATGTGCCGGCTCAGCAAGCATGCTCGCGAGAGAATATCCGGCGTGCACAAAGCAGTTGGCAATCTTTCAGATTCGGGTTGCGGGCAAGCTTTCTCCTGCATGAGAAACTTCTCGAACACGTCCAATGTGCCTTGTTTGTTCTGCAAAATCGCAGAATGTGTCAAAGAGCCAATGCCGGAATGTCAAATTCTTAGCCGATTTCGGACTTAGGCCGGCCACTTTTCTCGACGTCCCAGATCTAAGCGACTTTCGGTAAACACTTCCAATCTCCCATACGACGCACAGGTGCGTTCAGTACGCCGCAAGCGCACCCGTGCTGGCACGCACGTCGGGGGCTCCCGGAGGGTTGATTTTCTCCGGGCTCCACTGCTCCCTTGACCCGATTCCAACAGGAGTTCGGCAGCGTCAGCCGTGTGTGCCGTGATTAGTGTCGGAACGTGAATGCTGCTTCCACTGCCCCCTGCCCGGAGGCAGCGCTTTGCGCACTCTGCCCTCAGTCACCCGTTAACTTTGTTTTCTTGTTTGCTGTTTTCCCAGTTTGCCATTGGTTGGAGAAGGGAAGGGGAATGCTAAAGTCTCCGTGCACCTCCGTGTTGGCTTGCGTGCTTTCGGCACTGTGGCCTTCGTGATGAACGTAGAATAATCTGGTTAAAATTGCGTGCATTTTGGTCGGGACTCCGTTGAACTTCAATAAAAGGGATAATTCGAAAACCGTTATAACGAGGGATTACTGTAGTTTGTTTGTAGGCAGTTTCTGGTGAAGGTTTAGGTATTGGTGGAATACACAAGCGTGACCAGTGGCTCTGTCGCCGACACAACTGAAAAATTATGATAGGAACTTGTTTGAGTCGCAGAAATCTGCTCTTACTCATTTCTTTTTTTTCCTCAGTGTCACATGACTGCATTCACTGAGGCCATTTTGGCTGCCGACAAGGTGACTTCTCGAACGCGGACTCATTTTAACTCCAAGTAAAGACTGGTATCTGTGAAAATCGAGTACTAGCCAATGGTTTTTTTTTATGTCACCAAGCTGCAGGGGCAGTTGATCGCAATGCAAGGGAACTGAAGCGTGCTGGAGAACAGTACCGTCACGCTTCGAAATAAAAAGGGGCGAACGTTCCCAGCGTGAATTCTGGCGAGATTTCAAGATGGGAGTGTTGTCACGTAAAATTGCCCCATACTCAGCGTCAACCTTTCTGCATGTCGTTGTTGGGGCTATCATAGTTTCTAAGTGTTGCATCCCTGCACTGTTGCACAAGCTCATCTCTTTTCCTTGTGCCTAGTCCATGTCAGCACACCCAAGGTCAGCGCGCCCAAGAGAGCGCATGCGCTGACCGGCGACGAAAAGTATGCAGCAGACGACAAAGGGAGCGGACGAGCGGCTTGCATGCTTTCGCATTCACCTTTCGTAAGGAGTGCTTAGGTGTACCTCTAGCCTTTTTTATGCCATTCGTTCTAAAAAGAAACCCAACCACTGGGAAACATCTTTTGAGGGAAAAGAAAGCTCGACAAAGGGTCAAAAGTGTTTTATGTGCGTGTTTGCTCGTGCAGGCCCCGGCAGCAGCCCCGTGGCACGCTACCTGAGCAGCGTGGACAACTGCTATGCGTCGCTGTTTGGCGACTCCAGCTGGCGGGAGCTGGTGGAGCGGGGATCCCCGGAGGCCCCCGAACTGGCGGATCGCGTGGCGGACTACCTGTCAGGGGCGCACAGCTGCCTGCAGCTGCCCGTCGCGGAGGCCATGGTCACCTACAAGGGACACAGGTGCGCCCGGAACTGTACTGTCATTTCAACCAATTTCGCTACTTGTGCGACTGGGCTTTCTTTTTGTTTTAAGGGGGGATGCAAGCTTCAAAGTTGGAAAAACACAAAAATATTTTTACTGCGCTGGGTTCCCATTTGTCGCGAAATTTAATAAATGTGCCGTGGAAACCGTCAAAATGCAACAGAAAACACGAAAATTTGAAGAATTTCTTGTTGCAAACAGAGCAGCCAAGCATGGCAGTCTTGGGCGCTTTTGAAAGGCCGTTTTCTCCCCCTCGAATGGAAATCATGACATTTCTGTACCGCCATCGGAGGGCACACAAAACATTGAAATCCTGAACGCACTGCCGTCATGCTCATTGGCTTTATTCAACATGTGTTCTGAGCCTGCTTTTATTGACCATGGGTTTAGTTGCCCGGGCAACTGTGCCGCGCATTCCGCTTGCCCGGGCGAAGAGTGACCCTGCTCCCATGCTTTCCTCTTCGCCCGCCCTTTTTCCACCTCGCATGTCATCTGCTCGCGCTGGTGTGAAGCTGTTGCTCGCTTGCGAAGAGCTTTTGCGTGCCTTGTTCTCTGCGATCTTGCTTTTGCTAGTCGGAGCTTTTTTTGTCCGAATTTTGAAACTACACGATTGCAAGAAGTTGTTCTAAAAAAAAATCGTGACCCATTCCACTCTGTGAAGGTGGATTACCAGCGAAGCTGTTTAGCAAATGATACAGACCCACCCCGAGGAGCCGGAGTAAATTAGACATGCACGACGGGACCACCACCTTTGTAGAGTGGAAGGAAAGGAAACTAGGCATGCAAGCTCTTGGAACGACAACAGAGAGAGGGTGGTGCAAGCGTATATATGGCCGACGCGGGTCGCACCGCGGCAAATCTTTAAGAAAGCTTTATTGTCTACCTGAGAGCCTACTGATCTTGAAACTGGTGTCTATTGATAGCTATTCTACTGAATAGAACAATCGCTATATTACCCAAGCATCTAGGAGAGTGCAGTGAATGATATTCCACATGCCGCACGTCCCGGCGTCTACGATAACTGTTCCAAAGCAAAAGCCTAAAACATATGTCATCTTGCATGCACGTTCGTCAATGCTTTATTGTGGTTATTTACTTTGACTCTTTTAAATGGGGAAGGCGTGCGCGTGCATGCGTGCGGCGGTGCGAGCGTAGAGTTTTTAGTCACTGCACACGAAAAATTCACGGAACCCTAGCCATAAACAGCTTCACTATAAAAAACATTTCAAAGCAGTTGGACTTCAGCCATCAAGAGTGGTGTTCTATATCCAACCCTATCAATAAGAATACAAACTTGCACATTCTCACTTTGCACCAAAGTGTGTGATTTCATGCAAAGAAGGAATTGAAAAGAACCCCGAGTGTGGTCAAACGATGCGCATTCGGTATAAACCAAAGCCTTAGCGACCACATATCAGAATTTCACAACTGCCAAATGCCTGACAGGGACTGATCATACTCATTTTCTGATAGTCAATCTTTCTGTTATTTACCTTTCAATGACTTAATGTCATAAAAAGCTAAAATCCATTCTTCATTCTTTGGTCTAGGACCAATTAAAAAAAATATGTTAATGAACAACATTAAAACAATGTTTATCACATTTTAAAAAAAAACATATTTTCAAATCACTTTAGTTCATTTTTGAGACACGAGTCAAGGATTTTTTAAAGCTGTCAAAAAGATTTAATAATGACTTGTCTATTTTCTATTCTCATTTGTTCATGCAATTAGGAACTGTTGCTGATTTTCACTGGCCGAGGACTCCTAAACCAGATCTGTTCAAGCTTTTTTTGTTTTGTTGTACTTAAATTAGTACTTTTAGTGTTTTTTTCATGTAAATATGTCTCCTGGACATTTATGGTAACTTTTAAGGCAGTGCTTCATGATATGAGGCAAGGCCACCACCTCTTAACTTCTTTTTCGATTTCCTCAAAACATGTTTTTTTGTCATCTTTGCTTGCTTGTGCAGGGGATATCTTGAAAACTATTCAAGGCTTGCAAACATTCCGTGACTTGAGGGATGACGTCACTTTCGACAGAAGCTTTTTTTTTTTCTTAATAGCTCAAATCCTCCAAATGCTTTTGTAGCATATCCACCAAAATATCAGTTTGATACCTCGAGAACTTTTTGGTACCATATTTTTTCTTGTTTGAACCTGGTGGAGAGCCTGCAGGGCTTACAAAAAAAAATAGAAGGCTGCTTGAACTAGTGCACTTGCAGACGTGTGCCAAGGGTAAAAATATTCTTTGCGATTTTTTTTTTTTACCCAACTCAAAAACTTTGTTTTTGTTTTTTGTCACATGGTTGCAAAATGCACATCTAGTATGCAAACATATAATTCCATAATAAATTAAAATGTGATTAACTTGAAAAAATAAGAATGTCATGCCCTGCCCTTAGTTGAAGGATCACAATGAAACAACCTGAATAAAAAAAGACGGGTTTCTAAGGAGCCCGCTCCACAAGCTAAACAGAATAGTAAAAAGACAGTTCTGAGAAAGCAATGTCCAAAGTATTAGGCTGTTTGTAGCACACTAAAAGTTGCCAGGGTTGCAGTCTTCGGTGTCCTTTCAGCGCGGTGTCGCTTGGCCCTCTGACCCTTAGCCTGATGTGCTTATGATGCCCTCTTCATGCACATGGCAACTTTTTCTGCTGTCCTGCACAGTGCGGGGTGACCAGGCTTGATGCGAAGGGAGGAGCAAAACTCCACATCGGCGTGAAAAGTGCCGCAGCAAATGGCCTCACTGACTGCGGTCTCTGCAGCAATCAAAGATTCATTCTCATCCTTGGGAAGCACTGACCATATTATGGAGTGTAGACTCTCAGCGGCGTTTTGCGCCTTCTTCCCCTACACCGGTCGAGAAGACGAGGCTCGGACGACCACTAGTATACAGGGGGAAGAGAACCTGCAACATGCCTTGCCAGATGGTATTTGTAAGGTTGCGGAGCGGCTCACTCTTGGCTTCTGCGACTCGATGTTTACACCAGCTTGCAGGCCCTGGTGGGCACAGTTCATGGTGGGGTTCTTCATCAGTTGAGCTGATATAAGGCTGCCGACTCTATGTTTACACCAGCTTGCAGGGCCTGATGGGCACAATTCATGGTGGAATTCTTCAGCAGTTGAGCTGATAGGATAAAAGGCTGCCATGACACCTCTGTGCATTTCGTCAACCTCAGATTGACCTTAAAGCCATGTCATAATAGCTCGTCAGCTTTTTGACGAGGTTCTTTGTCGGCCCACCCTTTCCTGCTAGGGGCTGGCCTTTCTTGCCCTTGGTGACTAGGGCACAAAAAAGGCTGACCCAATCCTTTTTTTGACACGATTCCCACAGTCTTCCTTTGCGATTTCAGTGAAACCATAGGTCTTGTCATCGGAAAGTGCCAGGTAGATTTGGCTGTCGCCATCACAAACAATGTTTGTGTACCACTGGTCATTCTCGGCAAGTGAACGTAAACAGCAACAATGCTGCCTCACCCTCTGTATGTCCGGAGTTCACGTTGGTGTTCTTTTGACATTCTAATTCGTGGGATTTCTTACGCTCTTTGTATTTCTTGTCACCCTCTTTTGGGTTCACGGAGCAGCCTTGGCATCGGTTGGACAAAACGAGATTCGATCACCAGGCCAGTAAAGGACTCGATCACGGTGCCGGCACCAATGTGGGGTGGGTGGCAACGCATCATCCAAGTGCCATCCTAGACTACAGTTACATTTTTTGTGAAGTGAGGGTTCATTTCTGCATATACCTTACAAACAGCCTCAACTCCATCGGAAATTATGCTCGCTGACGCGGCATTAACGGTGCCTGAACTTGGCCTTCAGATGTTTTGTGGAATGTTTTCTGGTGCAGGCCTCGGTGAGAGGCATTCATTGTAGACCGAAAGTCTGTCAACGTCATTGACCCCTTGCCGATGCTCTTGATTGTTTGCATCGACCCAAGGTTTGTTTCGTAGACGACCTCCTTTTCGCAGCGACATCCGACAATCAAAACGGCGCCGCACGTTCCGCAAGTCTGGATCATCTTTGCCGCCAGTCCGTTGCCTTGTACCTGGTATTGTTCTAAGCACCGGCTGAAGACATTGCTCACACAGTGTCGTCCATCGCTGCGTCTCGAACAACTTAAAAATTTTCACTCGCTTCCGTGCTCGCCGGTTTCTCGCTTTCGGCAAACAGCTTCATCTTCCGCTTCGTTGCTGGCACGGAACTAAGCAACGCTGGTCTCGCAGGCCGCTTCTGGTAATGCGAAGTGTGGCTGCAAACGTGCAAGAACTACCGTATTTGCAGGAATATAACGCAACCACAAATATAACGCGAGGGCAGGTTTTGATGCCCTCAAAAAGAAAAAAAAATATTATTACTATTATAACGCGAACCAAGGCCGCGTCAGTTTCTCGCACTCGGGGGCATAGCAGATGTGAAAAGTCAGTGGAAATAGAAGAAATGTCAGTTTATGTTTTGACTGCACTCATCCTCACTGCTCAGGTCCTTCCGTTTACAATCCACTTGGCGACTACGCTGATAAGCAGCAGCACGGCACCTGCTTGTCTGGTAGTTCCTTTTTCTTCCGTGCGAGCTCCTCGGCAGCCCACAACCCAAACAAGGCATGAAGCAGAAGCACCAACACACAAACACCAGATCACACTGGAGCAGAAACTAAACAATGCGCAGGCAGAAAAAAAGACTGCTGAATCCGATACACGATCACACTTCTTTTTCTGGTCCCTCTTCATAAACAAATGCCTCGTGTTGCACGATTGCGTAAACGCGGTTGGTGGTCTTAGCCAGTCTTAGCTTGGCTTGTGTTGACTTGACTTGGCCTGGCTTGGCTTGGCTCGAATTGGCCAGTGCCCGCATTCCCGCACTGAGTTTCTGCGGCGTGCGCAGAGTCTCTGCGGCGTGCGCACGTTGTACAAACACAAAAGCGATAAAAATGTTCATGTTTTCTATTCGCCCCTTCACATGGCCCAATAGCTAATAATTTCCTTCCACACCCCCACCTCTTTTCCCGCCGAATATTTTGCATTGAGCCGGAGGGATGGCTTTCTCCTGTGGCTTTCTCCAGACTCGCGCGCCTCGTGGCTGAACTCGATTCCGAATATAATGCAAGGTGCGTTTTGGAGCACGTAATTTCGAAAAAAAACTCGCGTTATATTCGTGCAGATACGGTATATGACCCGTGCTCGTAGATGGCATCTCTTTCGCAAACACAACTGCATCCGAAGTGCTGGGGAAGGCGACGACTTCAGCATCGCGCCGCCCGTCAACAGAGGACTTACTTTTGGAAGCCAGCAGACGAGTCTTATTTTTACGTATCGACGATTTCCGCTTGCGGCTGCCGAAGGTGTGCGCTGTCTTTTAGTTTTTTTTAAAAGATTGTTGAACCATGATCGTCGGGGCGGCGCAAAGACGGAACATACAAGCGACAAATATGGAGCTTTTTCAGTGCCAACATGCTCGCGATGCAGGACCATGGCAAGTGAATTGCAGACGATAGTCCCCAGCGTGCTGGTTGCTAGGGGCAACGGTGAAGCGAACCAGTGGCAAGGCGCGCTTTGCTCATGTGGCGCGGAAGGCCAACCAGGAGTTGCCATTTCCCTCGGCGAGACCTTGAAATGTGTACTCTTCATGCGTTTGTTTCTCCTTGGAGCGGGCAGCCGGTGTGGGAACTATGAAGGCGACGAAGCACACTTTCCATCAACACCACGATGGCGGCGCTCCGTGGTGCTGTGCCGGAGATATGGTGCTTCAAAAAATGCCATTTCTTCGTGAACTTGCACAAATATTTCGTCACCTTTGGTTATGTAACTGTGTTTTTATGGCACTTTGCAATGGTTTTCAGCGGGAAAACTTCGAAAACGCACAAAAAGTGAACCATGGAAGTAGAAAATTTGACTTTCAAAAAAACGATCTTTTCGTAATTTTTCGCGAGTTGAAAGCCCTTATATTGCATTTTCTGTAAGGACTGTGACGCAATACTGGGTTTGAATGTTGCACTTGAGCAACTGGGTATGTGTCACGGGGGCGCGTCTGAGCTTTTGCATTAGAAGCATGGATTTCCTACCTTTTATGCATAATTTATGCAGTCTGTGTTGACGTTTTTGTTTAAAAACTATTAAATAAGGAAAACGCATATTTCAAGGCTGAAATTGCAGGATATGACATATTTGTTGTGTTGCTGAGTATCTTGCTCCTTCCTGCAGCATGGAGGTACTATTTGAGCATTTCTAAAGGCCAGTCCAGATATGACAATAATCGATTAGAACAATGAGATTTTTTTATTCTTTTTTTTTTTACTATTGTTATAGGGTCTATTTAACTATGCTTTATGTGCGGGTTGCGTCCGGTGCATTCTGGGCACATCACCATCTTTGGGTCCAATTGCAGACACCGTGCCCACGCGAAGTGACTCCAGGACCAGTCGCACTACGCCACGACTTTGGTGGTACCGGAATTCGCAGTGCCAGTATGGTGTCGAGCGTGATGATCAGCCGCTGTGCCAAGTCGTAGTCGAAGGAGAAAAAAAGGAGAGCAAGCACACACAGTGCGAGAAAGCACAATTGCTCTCTGTAAGAAGGCAACGGGAATGGCTTGCGCGCATCAACCCGAAAGACCTCGACAAAGACGTCGACGAATACCAAGTGTGTTCAAGGCTTTTCGTCTCGGGAAAGTATCGGCACCGTTTGCGTCAGCGGTAAGATCTGCACAAAGTTTCGTCCGTTGCTCGTCGCTGCTGCTCATTGCGACGTGCGTCGCTTGCATGTGGTTTCGACGGACCGAGCGACAGTTGTGTTGCTTCGTGTGGAAGAATCCCTCATATGTGGTTCACTGCTCAGGCAAAAAGAGTTGCATTTTTTTTGCACTCCCATATGGCTCTTTTTTCATAGACTCCAAACAATGCGACAGGACCCGCTGTCGCTCGGTACGTTAAAAACACATGCAAGCGATGCACCTGCAATGAGCGGCGACGGGCGAAGTTTAGTGAAAATCTTACCGCTGATGTCTGACGGAAGGAAACGGTCCTGACACTTATGCGAAGAGCGACCGTGCTTTCTCGCACTCGTGTGTTCGGACTCTCGAAGAAACGAGAGTCCGCAAGCTTGCTGTTCTCTTTTTTACAGCAGAGCTGTTAAGGGCTAGGTTCCCCAGGATCGTGTCCGCCAGCAAAGAATTGATGACACCGAATTCTGTACAGCTACCGCCATCTATGAGCGGCGGTGGCAACAAGACAACTAGTTGCCGCCTTCGCTCATAAATGGTGGCAACCTTTCTTTGGAGGAAAAAGAGCGGGAGCGGAATGAGTGGCGACGTGCACAGCAGCGTGAATGGTTCCGCAACCGCCGCGAAGCCGCTATCACCTAAAGTTCCACTATGTCGAGTGCTTCAGATTCCCTTGGGAAAGAAGAGCAGATCACTCGCCTAGAAAGCCACCGATGAGAACAGAAGCTACAGCTTCGCTGCCCTTCCTTCTTCACCAGAGTGGAAGAGATGAAAGTTTTTCTTCTTTGTCTGTGACTTTATGCGGCAGCCGACCGCTGCAAATTCCGGGGTCACCGAAACCAAAGAAAGATTCGTGGCGTTGTGCGCCTGCTCGGCCGTCTGCTTTTGGACCCAAAGATGGCGATGTACCCTGAATGCACCGCGCGCAACCTGCACATCAGCCGCAGGTGTATACTTCCTATAAGTTCATTGCACTGTGGAATAATTAATACAGTCCAAGTTGTAAATCACTAGATTGCCGTGTCTGGACTTTACAGTCACATATTACAACTCTCAACATCCAAATTAATGAGATTTGAATTAACAATCTTTCACTCTGAATAATTCAGAAAGGTTCTTAACTTTCCAAGTTAAATTCTAAGGTAAAATTAAATGCAATGACCTTAGAATTGCTGTTAAAAGTTTTGAAGGTTTGCACTTGTCTGGTATAGTCCCAAAAGAGTTTCTGCAAAGGTTTTTTCATCAGCGTGGCTTCTCTTTTTGTTCCCAGCTCTGACGATGAGTCCACGCAGGTGTTCATCCCTTTCATCAGTGTAAGTTGATCTTTCGTAGTCCCCCAAAGTTTGCTTAAAAGTGAATACATGCAGAGCTTGTTTTGTTGAGACAAACCTATTTTGCAGGATGTCAAGATAGGCGTCATGGATGGAGTCTCGTCCTCAGGTACTGTTGGAAATTCCTGTGTCAGTCTGACTAGAGGAAGACAATATGCTGAAGCCTTATGGTACAGTTATTTTACAGGTTACTTATTTTATGACATGATTAGAGCTGGAATTTCTGGGACATGTCTCGATCTTTAGAAATTAGATATATATCAAGCGATTTCCATCTGGTTTGTATCAACCTTGTTGTCCCGAATTTGCATTGAGTGTTCCGAAAGATAACACATCGTCCCGATCATCCAGATTTTTTGTTACCCGTAAATTTCCGTAAGAACACCCACTTAAGGGTCTTTAAATAACAGAAAATTGCAAAACCAGTAATTTTAAAAAAGTCACAGTTTTGAATTTTTTTGGTTTAGAATATTGCCCCCCAAAATATGATTGCGCAATTCAATATTTAGTTATTTCTAAAATAGAGAAAATTTCATGTCTCCAGGAGCTGGATTTAAAGTATAGGAGAAACTTTGAACAGAATGGTATCCTAAAGCTTTACGATTTGTCCTATTTGTGACTCCAGCGAACTATAGAGGGCGCGCTGCTCAGGCAAAATGGCTGACGAAAGGAGGTCGTTTTCGTTGTTCAGCACGCGGACCTCCACAAATTCCTGCACAGCAGCGTAAAATAGCTGTTACATATGAAAGCAAAGCGTCATATGTAGCCATATGACGCTTTGCTTGTGTTATTCCACCGTGTCATTCCTACGCACTTCTCAGTGCGTAGGAATGACACGGTGGAATCATAAAAATAATTACTGGAAACATTGTTTGTTTCTATGCTGCCTACGAGAACCAAGCAGTGATAGCAGACGACAGAGTCGGAACGACCTCCTCTCCTGACTTTCTCAGCGCTGCTGCTACGCGGCGTCAATTTCGCTGGAGTCACGAATACCCAATAGATAAAGAGCAATTAGCTGCAACTTAAGGTAATTGTCATCCCATTTATTTCCTGTTTGCAATTGTGATTTATTTTTAATAACTAACATACCCTGGGAATTCCTCTATGTAGATAAGAGAAAAGGTTTTTAGTGAGAAATTTATTAATTACCCTAACAACCTGTAAGAAGTTACCTAATTAGGATTATATATTTTGTTGTATCTTTTGTTAGAGAAAAGGTATTTTAAATCTGATTTCAGGTTTAAAATCGGCATATGTTATTAAATAAGAAAAACATTTTAAGAGCCCTCAACCCCCTTCAAGTGAAGAGATAAATGGTAAAAAATATGGGGCAAGCAATGATTAAAACTGCAGCAGCAAAATTTTGTAAAAAAATTAATGATAAACATTGGGGCACCTGCTACAAACCATGTAAAAGGGGAACTGATACCACAGATCATGAACACGGCAAGTTCGCGATCTCTCGGGGGCAGGTGTTCATACGGGATTTTACAGTAAGTGACCCATGATTTAGCGGACTTGCCTGTACACCATCTGCCTTTTACCCATTGATAATATTTTTTGCGTCGGCAAGGAGCGAGCATGGCATTCCTTCGCCAACGCTCCACCATTTCTAAGATTGTGATGTACTACGCAGAAATCCACATCTTTGTAGAGGTGGAGATATTGTTCTCCGAGTTCAGGGATTTGTTAACATAGAAAAGGCACAGACTAAGTGGACAGACAATTGAGGTGTTGCTCGGTGATGAAAAGGAGATTAAAAATTTCAACGCTAATAAAAGCACTTTGAGCGTGTTTAGAAATGCGGACATTGTCCCGAAAAGTGTCCCAACTTTTTTGCAGTAATATTTTTGTCCTGGCATTCCCAGCTCTAGACATGATATAGCTTTTTCCTAGTGTTAAATAATGCTGTAATAGGTCAAGCGTGCGTACTTGATATTTCACTCACATTTGTTTTTTTAATGTTCTTTGTTTTGTTTGGTTTAATAAGTTTGCTTAGGTATTTGAGCAGCTGTAGCAAGCTGTTTCTTCAATTTCGTGCTAGATTAAGGCTAAAATATTTTGTGCAAGACCAGTATAAGAAGTAAACGAGCGAGCAAAAATTATTTTAGCATATGCAGATAGACTGGCAATTGTGTGGTGAACATTCGAACATGCAAGTTTAAGATCCTTCTGTATGTTGTTTGTACAGCATACCATCTAACAACGCAACCTTTCAGAGCGGCGAAAAGGAGTAAGTTGATGGGGACGTAGGATCAAGCAAGCGCCTTCATTCCAAATCAGTGTCGCATTTTACGCAAAAGTGGCTTTAGAAGCTCTAGATACTGGTGCTGCTCTTTCCACCAAAACCTTGCGTGCCTTTTGTCAGTGCTCAGAGAGTGAAGGCACGGAGGGAAGGTACGTTTCGGGCCTACAACTCCTCCACGCTCTCTCTAGCCAATGAGAAGCTCACAAAATGGCTTCTACTTTGAAGTCACTGCGATGTTTCCTTCCAAATAAAAGTGATTTCAGAGCTAGCGCCGGAGGCAGGATGGCCGAAGGACCTCCTTGCCGTTCTCCTGGCAGTGACCATAGCAGAGGAAATAGCTCGCAACTTGAAAAGTGGCTCATGATGTGAATGCAGTGTTAACTTTTCTCTTTTGGAGGGGGATTAAATTTTGGGACGTCCATGTTGTAAAGGCACAACCACGTGGACTTGTTTTTCACTCTTCGTCGGCGTCCGCGTGTCTCCGCGTTGGCGACAACTGACGAAAGAAAGGCCAGCCAACACCATGGAGATGCGTGCCGTTGGGCGTTGTATAGTGTTGGGAGATTGACTAGGCCTAAACGATCGAACAACCGGCGACTACCGCATGTCTACAATGTATTAGTGCTGTACAAAGAAGTCTATATAAATCTCGGAAACCTCTCCTTTTAATTTTACGTTAAAGAAAATTACTCGTCAATTGCCGAGACTGCTGTACACTTAATCTCACGCGTCTGGCGAGCATCCGCTCGTAGACCGACTTGGATGTTCCAGGGGGCGCGCCCTGCCTCTCTTCCGCCCCAAGTGACTGCGATTGGTCGCTTCCTGGCGAGCCACTTCCGGCGCAACGCCGAGATGTGGCAAAGGCAAACGTCGGCGCCTCGCGTGCGTCGCCCTGTCGCGCGTGATTTCAAGTGACGCGCTCCAACACCGGAAGATGCCCACACGGCCAAGACGCGTGAAAAACGCCTAGTGCAGTTGGGGCTTAAAGTGGCAGGAAAAAATAAGCTTTTTCTTACAGAAGTGGAGTGTTTCTTTATTACATGTGACTATATTATGGTACCTGGAAGGCATCTCCAACTCGCATGGTTACCGCATCCAAAAAAAATGGGTCTCGATTGCTCGTCGTACAGTCGCCGTCCGCGATCCTGGCTGTGTCCCAGCGGTGACGGTGGAAGTGGCAGACTCCTTTCGCTGCAGGTCGCTTTCCTGTTCGACAGTCCACGGAAGTTTCGGCAGCCAGGAGTTGGGACGCCGCAACGACGGCGACGCTTACGTTTGCTCATCCTTTTTGCCGGAACTTCTACTACCAGCCACCAGGATCGCGCCACCTGACGACACGACGCTCCGGCTCTTGGGACGTCAGTCGTTACCAGTTCGGGGGACCCCTTTCGATGCGTGGGCGGGATAGGACGCGAATTGCACCAGTCCAGTCAGAGATGCGCTCCAGGCACCGTAACTATGCGCAGGAAAATGTGACGCACTGCGTAACATCGTTAACAGAAACGAGCGATAAAAGGTTTTACCAGTTTTTTTTTGTTTTCTTGGAATTGAAGGACTCTCGTTGGAACTATAAGTGCAGTGGAAAGTGCCGATTCGGGTCACTAATGCAAGCGGTGAAATCTGACGTCGGCCAATAACCTCTATAGTCGAATCTCGTTAATTCAAACTTTCGGGGGACTGAAAATTAGTTTGAATAAAGCAAAGTTGGAATTACCAGGAGTTTTCTCCCATAGACATATAGGACAGGACCTGCACGTTAGTTTGAATTATCCCCAAGTTTGAATTAAGAGAGTTTTAATTAGCGAAATTTGACTTTTTTATGCAAATAAATTGTGAAAGAAGAAAAAATGCCATTGTCACATTTGCGATAACAAAGTTGCGCAATGTGCAAGCAAAAAGAGAAAAGAAAAAAGTTTGCAGAAGGTGAAATGACGAAGCCTGGTTGTTACGCAGTGGACCTGGAGGAAGCCCTGCCGGGAAGCTCCCCTCCCGGGGGACCGATGGAGCGTGAGAGCACCACCCCTCCCAGCTCGCCCAGCATGAGCAGCGCGGGACTGGCGCCGGCGGGGTGCGTGTCCACATCCGTTTGTCTCGCACGCTTAAAAACTCGTTCTTCGCGCATCTGCGTCTGAGCGTAACCCAGCACATCTCGAGCGCTTGTAACCGCTCGCGACGAGTGAACACACTAACACCATCTGTCGGCCGGCCCCAGAACGCTCCCGATCCGAGTGTGGCTGGACTGAAGGTTTTGCATTATTCGCGAAATCAAATCCATCCACTAACCATGAGAAATGATCATAGAGGTCAATTTAGTTTCGAGCACACGTCGAAAGAGAGTCGGGTAAAATGTATGCGGGTCTCTCGTCGTCAATGGTCGCGAGAGTTTGCGACGCAGTCGCTGAAATACACGCATGAACCAGCCTTAAGGGTGCACTTGAGTGCTTTTTGTACAAGCTTGGTTTGGATGTCTTATTGTTGGGCTTTAGTCTATAAAAATGACCAGTTCTAGATGGCAAGACATCCTAGGAAACTCGCAGTGATAGAAATACATGGGCACTATTTTCTCTCGGGGCAGGGGGGGGGGTCTATTCTCTGGTACCCACCCCCCAATAAAATTTGACCAACGAGAATAGTTAATTGCATGAAGATCCCAAGCGTTACTATTGTTGCTGTTGTTAGGCGCATTGCTCATTATATTTCAACAAAAGCGTCAAAGCTTCGGTGTAGGAGACGTAGTACGACAATTATTGTTTGAAAACGCCATCCAGAGGTGCCCCCTGGTGTCTGCTCCAAGGCATCTCACAATCTTTGATGAGACTTTTAATAGGGAAATTGGCCACCCATGAGTGTACTCTTGTTTTTTTTTAGGACGCTCGGAGCCCTCAGTTTGAGTTATCACTCTAAATAGACGATTTCAGAATCAACTTGACTGCCACTTTAAAGGGGCCGTGCAACGATATTGGGTGGGAATGTCTTTTACATTACGTGAGCTTGCTGGTACTAGTGGGACCCAAGTACACTCGCACACAATGCCACTGACCAAGGCCCTCCTTTGTCACCACATAATTTTGAGGATAAAGGCAACTACTGTTGAGTCAGATTATAATGAACCCGGGTATTCCTAAACACTATCTAAATACTAAACAGTCAAAACATCCCCTTGAAAATCTTACAAAAAATATTGGAAGCACTCACCCCGCTTTCACTGAAAACTTGGTTAATCTAGGTATGGGTACTTGTCCGGTCACCATTGGGTGCTTAACGTATAATTCGCAGAATTCCTAAGTTTGGCAGATTTTAATAGTGGGCGCTTCCGCGGCATTTTACGGTATTTTACGGTAGGTGCCTTGTGCGTCTGTATCGTACTTCACCACCAGGGACATTTGACACATGGAACCGTGCTCCGTTGCGCGGTATGCGTGCACCAAGGATGAACGACTATGGTTGCGCAGTCGCGCTTTAAATTCCTTGTTTACCTTTGTTTACCTTTTTCTCTCTTCCTTTTTGCTTTGCCATTGTTTTATTTTTTTTTCTGTTCTTGGATTTTGTGCCCGATTTTTTGTTGTTGCTTGCTTGCCTTTTTTTATAAATGAAGAAAAAGATTCACTCTCGCGGTGAGTGTGTCAGATTTGAGAGCCAATGTTTGGTAGAGGGCGCCGTTCGCACACCCTTCTCGTCTTTTCTGGAAGGCCTGTTGCACGTTCTGAGCTTAGCAGTCTTTGTTAGCATGATCAAGCTTATATAATCTTATTATTTTCGTGTACCATCGGTTGCGCTGTTGACGTTGCGGCCACGCGAGCTCCGAGTCGCTGCGAGGTGCACGCACGAGCGGCGATACCTGCGATTGCAGCCAACTATACTTTAACAAGGTTCAGTATTCAGTGGTTCTTGGACGCTTCATTCGGTAAGCGCCCGTTTGTCACGATCTCACTATTATAGAGGCGCACGGAAATTTCAACTGGATCTCAAGTTGGCATACTTTTGTATATTGAGCTTTTTACAATCCTATGAATTTGGTATATCCGGGTTCAACCGTAAAACCAGACGTTTTCTTTGTCTGTCCTTCGCAAAACTCGATGACAAAGTTGTGGGGACTGCATTATTGGCTTTGTCAACAATGCAATCTCCAAACCTTGCAATCCTCGTGGTGACAGTATTTTAATGCAGCTCACACAGGGGACACGAGCACTGCGTGAGCATTTGATTCAAGCTCTGGACGATCGACTCTTCGACATGCATTCGAGTAGCAGTCCGTGCCCAGTTGCTCCGACTACGGGAAGTGCTGAACCTTAACAATGTGTGGAACTCGGCATGCCTCGTGCTTTGCCATCCCCAGCTCGGGGCTGTGATCAACACTGGCAACACATAGTCGGCATCCGGTCGTGGGGCCACTTGTTCTGGTTGCGAGTTGAGAAAGTAAATGCGGCTAGTTTTTACAGCGGAGCTGTTAAAAGCTAGTTTCATGAGGATCGTGTCTCCCGCAAAGAAATGTCGACACAAAACTCTGGACAGCTACCGCCATCTATGAGCTACAACAGCAACCAGAGAACCAGCTTGCCGGCCTCGCTCGTAGATGGTGGCAACCTTTCCAGCCTTTCCACTCTGGTTTTCACCAGAGTGGAAAGGCTAAATTTCTCTACGCATCGTCCTAGATGTCGTCCTAGAAGTCGTCCTTAAGGTCGTCCTAGACGTTGTTCTTGAGGTCGTCTTTGAGGTTGTCCGAGAGATTGTCCTTGAGGTCATCCTAGATGTCATCCTTGAGGTCGTCCTAGAAGTTGTCTTTGAGGTGGTCGTAGACGTTGTCCTCGAGGCCTTCCTAGAATTCGTCCTTGAAGTTGTCCTTAAAGTTGTCCTAGACTTTGTCCCTCAGGTCGTCCTAGGCGTCATCCTAGAGTCGTCCCTGAGGTTGTCCTCGAGGTCGTCTTTGAGGTCGTCCTTAAGGTCGTCCAAGAAGTCGTGCTTGAGGTCGTCCCATCATAGTACAGCTTCGCTGGTCTTCCTTCTTCACCAGAGTAGAAAGGCTGAAAAATTTTTGACAATTTTTTTTGCGACTTTTATGGAAAAACTAATTAGCACACGTTACAAGTCACACTAGAACCTGCGCCAATCACGGTGCAGGTTCTAGTGTGCTGCAATGGTGGCCACCAGACATTTTAGAGAGACGTTTCATTATAGCGCGACCAATCACGGTGCAGGCTCTAGTGCGCCACACAAGTGGCCGCCGAAGAGCATGCGGCATTGCGCAATGTCGGGGGGAGAGAGACGCCGCGCATGGCGAGAGTATACACGACTCGGGAAAGAGGTGGCAGCGGTGGAGAGAAGTATAAAGTGGGCCGTACATCATTGCATTTGAAGATTGTTAGTCTATGCTCGATCCGTCAGAACCTAGCCATAGACAGCTTCGCTGTAAAAATTGCAACATCTTCGTGGGTCCAAGAGGGACAAAGGACAAACATAAATCTCCAAACACAGCTAAGTGACTGGTGAGCGTCTGAAAAAATCCGCCTGGTCCGGGTATCGAACCCGGGACCTCTCCATTACACGGGAGGTCCCGGGTTTGATACCCGGACCAGGCGGATTTTTTCAGACGCTCACCAGTCACTTAGCTGTGTTTGGAGATGTATGTTTGGTCTTTGTCCCTCTTGTTCCCCTTCTCCAGGGATTATTTTCTTCGTGGGTGCTGCACACGGTCGTGGCTACTTGTGTCGGAAACCCACGCGACTGCGCGGCTTTTGCCGCTGACATTGGCTAGGTGGCACAAGTTCAGCGGTGCTTGTGTTTACATGCATTTGTACGTCCAGGGGCTGTCCATCAGGGGGCCCTCAAGGAGAGGCCATGGATCTCCAGCTGGACTACTGGACTCTGGGACCATCAGCCAGGAAGGGGGCAGAGCCTTCCAAGCTCACGCTCAAGGCCTGGTTCCGCTCCGTCCAGGCAAGGCTACATTCATGCAGTCGTAGAAAGATGGTGGGGAAAGGGGGTGTTGAGTTCAAAGAATTGCACATATATAAAATGCAACAAGCATTTGGGAGACCAGTTGTTCAAATAGGTTTCGGTTCGTAATTGTCATTGATTTACAATGGAAAAACCCGTGACTGATTTTATATGATTATCTTTCTCTTTTGCATTGCTGAAAAACATACACGCAAACGCTACTACAGCTTTTGCGGTGATCTTCGTTCGGAGCGTGAATACCGTGAAATCCTGTAAGGATGCCCACCCAAAATGATGAGATAATTGGTGAAAAACGTGGGCTCGGCTATCTGTGGAGATGCGACAGCCAAAGTTTATAAAAAAAGTTGTGATAAAACACCGGGGCATCCGCTGAAACCATGTGAAACGGGAACTGATACCGCCGATCGCGGACATGACAAATTTGCGTTTCACGATGCGATAAACACGCAGGAATTCGCTACAAACTCCTGTGCCACGGTCAAAGATATTGTGGACGCGGCCATTTCGCTTCTCGAGTGTGAAGGACACGTGGGCACCCGCCACAAACTCGCATGTCGTAGAGAAGCGGTGGAAGCTTGGGAACAACTTCAGAGCGTTTGGCTGCATTGAATGCATATTTATCGTTCATACGCCGAATTTTTGGTAAAAGTTCATACAGGACCCCTTCCAATGCTTTAGCTAGTAAATTTAGAATATAAAAACTTTCTGAAATGTACTGTCAAAATTCTTTATTGCATGATCCCTAGCAAAAGGCGCATTTGACAAATACCATATGTAGGGGAGCGGGTTATACGCAAATTTCGGCTGGCAGTGCGGCTTCACAGCAATGCTCAAGGAGTTGTAGGGATAAGTTCCCTGGAGTCCCTCTCCTCCGGTTTCTCCTAGGGACTTTTTTTACCCCACCTTCTCCTTTTTTCGGGTAGCCATCTTTGCATTGCTTTTGCGGAATGAGCAGCTGAGCGGAGCCAGCGATTCAACGGCAACGCGCAAGGTGTCGTTGCCGTCGAACGCGTGTTGCTATTGACGGCAACGATTTTCGCGGTTTCAAATCTTCACGGCAAAGGCTCAGACTGTCATCTGATCTGTTGCCAAAGAAATCATAAACCAAGTGGCAGACCAGAACTATGGCTGTTATGATGTCAACAAGTCGTGCGGGTGAGAATGGAGGAATGACGGCCTGCAGACTCAAGCCACGGCTGAAGATTGTTCCGCAGTTCGAAGACTAGGTTTAAAATGCGCTGACAAAGTTCACCGAGGAGAGAAGAGGTCGCGGTCACATCGTACTGACAGAGATCCAATGTGACCACGACCTTTCCAGATGAGATGGTGCGGAACAGTTTGAAAAAGTGCTGCATCAGCAATCACCATGACAGCAAGGATTAGTACGCTGCCTGTGACAATGAAGGCACCTCAGATAGCTGCAGTGACTGCAGCGACGAGCGTATTGAAAATAAATATAGGTTTCTAGCGAGACCTGGACATTCCTTTACAAGGTTATTGGAAATAATATGCATTTTTTTTTTTATTTTTTTTCCCTTTCAAGAGTAGTAAGTTGGTGGTGCGGGTTATATGCAGGGGCGGGTTATGCGCACAAAAATAGGTAAGTGCTAGTAAAAGGGTTCAGTAGAGTTACTGCAGCTTTTTCTCGATCTCCTGATAGTAGTTTAGAAGTTCTTGCATCTTGCTTTTCGCCATTTTCTTTAGGCTGTTTGACCTGACAGTGTAGGTGATGTCACCTGTTGCCTCTGCTCTCTAGGTGTCTGTAGTCGTCGTGACCCAGCCACAATCGCTGAAAATTGCACTTCCCGGGCATCGTGCACAACTTAAACTATGTTCACCATGTGTAGTGTAAAACAAACGTGGAGCAAGCAAACCAGGAGTATGGGAATGGGAATATTGCAACTACCTTTTCGGTTGCTGCATAACTCAATTCATGTGTGATTAATGATGTCACTCGACATGTTAGCAAGAGGGTCACCTGTGCTACAAGTTGACATTGCGACCAATTTGTATAAACTGGCCCAGGCATGTACTCCATGAATCTAGCTGTAATTCTAGTCAAACAAATTCATGAACAGAGTCAATATTTTAAACGGAAGCAATTTAGTGTTGATATTTTTGTTGTTGTTGTTGTTTTTCTGGTAAAGTTGCTGGATGGAACGACAAATCCTAATATTTTCCGCAATGTTTTTTTTATTTCATTTTTGTACCTCAAAATAACTATTGTAAATTGCTAGAGTGGTTGATCATTTGCGAAGTAGCTTCTAAACAATCGCATCTGCCTCAATGTCAGCAAGGAAAACTTGAATTCCATTGAATCTACGGATATAAACAAGGCTAGACAATAATCATACGATGAAACATATCTAGATTTAACATGTTCAAAAATATACATATTCCCGTCGTCGTCGTTATCTCCACCACCACCACCATCATCACCACCACCATTATCATAGATAGAGGCCTCATAACAGCCCCAGCCCAGGGCCCCCAAATGCCTTAATCCGGCACTGTTGATGCAGCTGTGTGATGCTATCTTTGACTTTGTGTCGTGGCTTGCCGCCCGGCCACCGCTTGTGTATGGTTGCGTTCGTTCGCAACGCGATCTCCGACTGCGTTGTGGCTTGCTGACCCGCCTCCGCTTGTGTACTTTCATTTACGTTTTGTAGCTTCACTCCTTGAATGGTGTTTCACTGAGTGATCTTTTATTTCGTCAGTTTTTTTATCAGTCACATGTGTGGATTTTTTCTTGTTGCAATAAAAATAACCTTTCCATAAATGTTTGTTGAAAAAATGAAATTTCTAGGGGTGTGCGAATACTCAAATTTACGAATTCGAATTGAATAGCATGTTTCCGAATAATTCAATTCGTGAATCGAATTCCCAGTATTCGGTCACTCGAATATTCTATATATTCGGCCCAAAACGCGCGGTCGGCGCGGAGCTGACAAAAAAGGTGTTTTTTCTCCCGATGTTAGCGCCGTGATGTTCGACAGGCCATGCGAGAAACACCTGTTGGTCCTACCATTCCACAAATATCTAACATACAGGTTAGAATAAAGAAAAGTAACAAACTCCACAAACTTCATAGCACGCAGATTTAGTCATGATTGGGACGCAATCTAACCTTGAATCACAACTGAAACATCCCAAACTTCCCAACAATTCCAGAGAGGAATTGTTGGGAAGCCGGAATTCCGTGCCATGCCTAATTCTTTTCACGAGTAAAGCCCTTTGTTTCAAATTGAAGCACCGATATAGAACACACTTGCCACACTCGGAGAAATCAGCGACTGTAAGATTACAAAAAGAAACCACGTTTACCACGCCAATGAAACCAGCCGCATGTCGCGGGAGTCGCGAAAATCCGCACTATAAACGGTACCGCGCTATAACCAAAACATAAATTTTTCAGGCCAAAATACATGCCATGAGACAACTTACCTTTGTAAAAGAATTTATTGTATGTTAGATGAAAAATAAAGCTTAGTTTGAGGAAAGTCTTTATTTCACCAGACTAGTACCCTTCTCTCTCAAGTGTGTCACACATTTTGAAAGAAATGAGCGACTTTTGCCTGGCGCAGCCTTTTAACGGCGTCGCGGGTTGCGGACGGACGTTGCGAGCGTTCAGGATTGCAAACCCTAATCACTTTTCTCCGGCGATGAAAACGCGTGAAAATTCGCATCCTTTATATGGTACGTGCCAGTAATACCTTCAACTTGAGCACAGGCATGAAATGCTCCAAATAAGAAATCCGGGCGATGTTCGAAAACACAAATGCTTAGAAAGCACCACTGTAGTCGAAGTAAACAAACACAACGACACGGGCGTTTCTTTCTGCCGTCTTGAGAGTGCCGCCACAACACCGCCGCATGAGTAGGTGGATCTTCCCTTCTAGTACGTGCTGGGTTATAACAACGACACACAACGAAAATTCACAGTCAAGGATAGCGCTCTTACGCGGAACGATGAGCTTCTACCATGCCGTCTACATCGACGATCAAAACCGACGCCATGTTTGCGGATAGAAGCAGCCGGCCGGCCGGCCCGCCACCGGCATGCAACGCGCGCGAACACTTCTCCTCGACCTGCGATTGGTCTGTCGTTGCGGTTGTTTTTCAACGCAGCGGAGGGGCGCACGCACATGAACGACACGTGCGTGCGTCCCTCTCTCTTCGCTTCTCCCCGCTTCTTCGAGCAACCTCGTTACCCCGCGAGTGCCGCTTGCGGCTCGCGCCGTTATCGCCGTTATCTAGTGTCACACAGGGAAGTGTGCTCTCTGCGTCGGTCAGTCGGCGCGGTCGCCGGGCTGTTCCGAAAACCGCACTATAACCGGTATTTCCCTTCGCACGCCTACATTTTAAGCGGTATTTAATTACATGGGGGTATATCGGAGGCGAACCGGTGGTTTAAAAAAGCCGCGTTATACCCGGTCCTGCACTATAAGCAGTTACATTGTAAGTAGTCTAAACTGTATTCGTCGCAAGCTGCAAATTCTGATTCGGAACGGAACGGAAAAATAGTGTGCCTAGATTTTAGAGGGTTTCCAACCGTTCGATAGCCGCGTTTGAATTAGAAACAGCGAGAAAGTGACGAAAAGGCGAAAGTGTCGATCGGGCAGGCGTCGTCGCTCTTTCATTTGCTCGCTTTCTTTCCAAGCGACTACACAACACATGCGCACTTATTGCCAATCTGCACAGGAGCCGTCTTCGTGGTTTGAGGTTTGCTTGCTCATTCTTTAATCTAGGCGCTCTAAAGCAGGATAGATGAACGGAGGAATGGATGCATAGCGGCAGTTGGACGGTGACTTGCACCACCTAACCACGTGTTTTTTAATTACTTCAGATTATATTGTTTAAGCCTGTTTACTCAGATTTAACAGCTGTCTGGTTATTTATATAAAATAAAATCCCGGGTGCCCTTGTTCTCCCTTAAAATTGAGACGAAATATCGCACAATGCCCCTTTTCTGAGGTATGAGTATAAAAGGAAAAAGAACATGTCGTGGTGTTAGGTCGTGCTTCTAAAGAGAAAAAAGGAACACATGGCTGTAACTTTTTGTTTTTTGTGACGCTTAGGGTAGATAGATTGTGTTTGCGCCATAAAATTGGATCTTTATTGCCCAACATCCATCAAAAGCTGCTTTTCTTTTTTTTTTTTTTCTTTCACCAGAACTTTTATACATTTGGAATTTTGTTTTGTACGAGATGCATATTCTGCACCAGGCGCATACTCTGCATATATAATAATCTCATTCGCAGCACATCTTGAAAAATTCCTACAAATAAAATCACTACGGTAAAATCCCGAGAGATGCCCCACCCCCGAAAGATAGCCCTCTACTAGTAATAGTAGTGTTGTGTATACCGTAAAAACCCAAATATAAGAGGTTTTCTTTTTAAATTTTGCTATGTAAAATTTGCGGCTCATATTATACGTAGGTCCTAACAATTTTCAGCTTCGATGAGGCGCGATCTAACGCTGTTTGACGTAGTTTCGGTTTCGAAGCAATAAGGCACTCAAAACAGCTATCATCATCATTAAAATCACAATGTTCGAGGCACCACCATCCGTCAACAGTGAGGCTCGGCAATGGCGTCGGCACGAAGACCAAGGAGGTTAGAAGCACTAGGAGAGGGCAGGGGGGTAAAGGTGGTGAGGAGGAGCGGCAAATCCTGTGCGCCGACATCCTGGGTCCCGAGTGAAAGATCGCGAAAGAGAGCAACAGAGCACGAGAGAAAGAAACCAATGTGGCCAGCTGAAGGACGACAGTCACAATGGTAATCGCGAAGACTGAAAACTCTCAGCAATATAAACGGTGATAAATTAGCGTTGTAAACTAAATATAGCTATTCTGACACTTATAAAAAGCGGTATATTCATTACGCTGCATTACCTTCCCTTTTGTCAAAATCTCTGAAATCTGGTGGTTGCGCGGTTTCGTATACCTGGGGCGCGACCATCCACGAAGGCGGTGATCTCAGTTGTCTGGTTTAGTTTAGTGTCAACGGAAGGCCGTACATCTGCACGCAATGCAAAAAGAAAGCTTCGAAAGGAACGCGAGTATCTTTCCACCGGTAAGTTTGTGGATTGTTGAAGTTCATGAAACTGCTCTGATGATATAATTATATTCGTGAAATCGAAGGCAGTTGGTAACCATGTGGGACCCCGAGGGTCTGCCTGCATGCTCCGCCGCTTGCGGCAGCCAGAATGCATGGGGAAATGGCGGACCTTCTCCTCTAGAGTTAGTATGTATGATCTCTATGAGGAGAGGGCACGTTGCTATATTTGTGAAGCCTAGTCATAAAAAGTTTAAACGATGTTGTGGCCAACGTGACCGTAGATCTCTCTGGCTATTGGTGCGCGTGACATGTCACATGTGAGATGGATGGTTGATTGTAGGACTTCTTGCAGGCTTGCACGCGCTCCGTCCGGTAGCTTTTATCAGATCGAAGGCTAGCCTGTGGTGTATTCTAGTAGCTTGTAGCTAGACGAAGGCTAGCTACGGTCACGTGATGTGGTCACGTTGGCGTGGTAAGTGAGGAGAGTAAGGAGAAAAATGAGAAAGAGGCGAAGCGTCTAGGGAGCATGGCTTTTGGAGGCTACACGGCTGTCGTCATGCCCTCTCCTACGCTTCTATCCTCCTTGGCGAAGACGATAATCGACTGCCTTCAAAAGAAAAGTACTTTTGGTTGCGGAAGGCACCGGCAACAGGGCAACTGGACGACAATTCGCCGTAAATGAGGGCAGCATCCGCGGATGGAGACGACAAAAGCAAGCTCTGTTTGCGTGCAACGGAACGAGAAGAAGTTTTAGGAGCCCAAAGAATGGCGTGTTCGTTGACGTCGAGGCAAGTCTCAGCGGAACGGCACCTCGCCGTAAACACCGAGCTGCTGCATGAGAACTTTGGTGAGCCGTCATCGGGTTACTCGCTTTATGCGCCGTGCCAAGATTTTACCGCGTCGGCGCTCGCTCGTCGCTCGTTCTTTCAAGTGCGGGATTTCAAATGCGCTCGACGGCACTGAAGACTACTGCCTTTGGGAGGAGGCGTCGGACAAGGAGTCTGATGGACGTGATGACAGTGATTAAGGTTCAGTTATGACGCAAATAAGGAATATTTTCGTAATCCTGATTTTGTTTCGTATTATACGCGGATAATTTTTTTTTTTTTTCGCAGTCCTCAAATTATGTTTTGTATTATTCGCGGGTTTTTACGGTACTCTTCTACTGGTCCGTCGTTCGTTTGTGCTGTATTCTCATTCCAGCAAGCTTCGAAGGGACACAACCTAAAAATAGCAATATTTTAAAACTTTTCTTGATTGTACACCAAAAGTTAGCCCACTTCATATTTTCACCCGATTTGCTCTTGATGTTAGGTGGGCTATCTCTCGGGATTTCACGGTATTCAATATTTGATTCAATATTCAGCTTTTTTTTTCTTAATTTGATTCGATAACTACTATTTGGTATTCGCACACCCCTAGAAATTTCAGTTGCGTTTTGATTTAGCATTGTTGTTTAATTCACATCAAATAGAAAATATTTGTTTTTCAAAAATGTTCTTACTTCAAACTACTATTCATATTCGAAAATATTGAATTCAATTCAATTCTTAACTTTTATTATTCGATTTGTTTTGAAAGATTTTGATAAGAAAACTTCCTTATTGAAATTATGAAATTTTTGTTACGTACACATGAAAGAAATATTATATTTTATTATCGTAAAAATGAAATTCATTATTGCACAAGAAAAAACAACTGACAATCATTGGTAAATTTAAGAATTTTGAAGCACGGCTAAAAATTGCAGGGCTTTCAAGGTCTGGAAAATGCCGTTTTCGAATTCAAGGGTTTTCAAGGATGCGTACGAATCCTGTCTATCTATAAAACGTCATTTATTTTTACGATCAAATGACAGATAGCTTTATTACACATGGACTTGAATTTAACATCAATCTGGATGCTCAAAAATTATCATATTCTTGAGCCATTCACAGCAATTCAAACTACGTTCTTCATCACTTAGCATATTGTTGCTGTCTCTCATCTCCCGTATTAAAAAGATATTCCAAAAATATTTAAGTTTGATTTGCAGGTAACATTTAAAATTAATGCTCCGTTTGCAGTAAAAAGAAGAAAAGGTATTCACACATTTTTAAGAATGGGTCTAGCGATGAGTTGTCAGCCGTGGCTGGAGCAGAAAGCGTGTTGGTGAGAGTGCTCTCTCTGTCTGTGTGCACAGGTCTGGAGGTTGGCAAACACCAGTGAGGCCCTGGGTCCCAGCCTCACACTCAACTATGTCACCAAGGAAAAGAAGCAGAAGAGTAGGTGCCACCACGCTCTTCCCGAACCGACGACGGCCGCATTCTTGCGTTGGGATGTGCCAATAATGTGATCGATTCGTTGTGAAAGTAGGCACGAAAATTCGCACCCAGAAACCAGCATGAGCCGCTCAAACATGTATGGCGCTAGAGTACAAAAACACATGATTGCATTCCTCTAGCCCTTTACAAATATGACGTTTTCTACCTGTCACTCTAAGCCCTACTAAAAAAAAAAAATTGAGCAATCTCGTGTTAATCTATAGTACAGTCGGAGCGTTTGGGCAGGAGGACAGACCGTGATGCTCCAAGCAGTTAACTTTAGAACTACACGGATGGGTGACAACAAATACAATGACTCGGCGCTCGGCCGACATAACCGAATGCGGCGTCAGCGTTTGGTTGGAGTTTGTATTCTCCGGTGAGGGGGAGGAGGGGCTCTTTTGTTTCCACTCGGGCCTGCATGCACAATGCAGCATGCACATGCCAAGCTCGGCACAAAAGCCGAAGTGGGTCAGGCTCGCATTCTCTGACGACTGCTTTCAGGATAGATCCGGCACTTGACGTCACTTCGTCGGTTGTTAGTATTTTTTACATTGCACTGTGCCCTGCGCTCTATTGTAGAAGATGGCATGGACATGCCCATAAGGCCTGTGGGCATGTGCACAGGCCTTGTGTCGGTTAAACATCGAGGTGTGGGGACAACGAACAGGTCAGAGCACCCCCTATAGTTCGATCTCCTGCCCAATAGCTGCGACAAGTCAAGGTGCGGCGCACCCACTTCACGAGAATGCGCGCAAGAACGACATTCCTGCTTTCACATTCACAACTCATAAGAAGTGCCTAGGTGTACCTCGAGCCTCTTTCCGGAGAGCGTGTGCAGTGGGCACCTGGTATTACAAAAACACTAACTATAGAGCGGGTTGTTAGGGCTGTTGCATAGCTCAGTGGTAATGCCTCCGCTTCACGTGGAGCCGATTCAGGTTCAATTTCCGCGGGTGGCTGGCAATATTTTTTGAGGATTTGGCAACATCTATAACAGACCCTGCAATGCCAACTACAACATCAACCACTACAACTACTACATCAACTTCATGAACAACTACACCTACAACATCAGCAACGGACATCATTTCCAGTGGTGGCCAACCCTATAGCAGCTATTGCTATAAAAAGCAAAATCAAGATGGCAACTTGATAAGGTTAATATACAATTGGAGGAATAATGTTGGCTGGGCAAAACCTGTTTGTTGAGCCATTTATTGAAAGCAAGGCACAAAAAGTGCCTAGTCTTCTAGGTCAGTGCAAACCCCGTTGTGTACGCTCATGCTCTTTTTCAGATAAGTATACAAACACTTTACTTACACAATCCTTGCCTCTTGTCTTGATCTCAAATGCTTCGTCTACATTTCTGGAAAGTTGCTCTGTACCTTGGCAAAAACCTGATGTCGTGATATTTTGGGGTGTTACGTTGCCTGCCGTTCTTTCGGTGCTTATACAGCGGAGCTGTTATGGCTGGTTTCTTCAGTTTCGTGTCCGTGGACAAATAAATCTCGACACAAAACTCTGGACAGCTACTGCCATCTATGAGCGACTGTGGCAACCTTTCCAGCCTTTCTACTGTGGTTTTCACCAAAGTGGAAAGGCTGAATTTCTCTAGGCGTCGTCGTTGAGGTCGTCCTCGAGGTCGTTTTAGAAGTCATCTTTAAGGTCACACTCGAGGTCGTCCTAGAAGTTGTCATTGAGGTCGTCCCAGAGTTTGTCCTCAAGGTCGTCCTAGAACTCGTCCTTGAAGTTGTCGTAGACGTCGCCCTTGAGGTCGTCTCCTAGGCGTCGTCCCTGAGGTCGTCCTAGGCATTGTCCTCTAGGCGTTGTCCTTGAGGTCGTGCAAGAAGTCGTGCCACCACAGTACATACTCTTAGAAAAAAGGGTATGGATAGTCCTCCCTTAGGGGAGGAACGGTCTTGTAACCTATGTTCCTTTAGAAAGGGAGAAACTTCTGTCCCTGAAGCAGGGGAGCAAAGTTCCTCCGTCGCTTGCGTCTCAATATGGCGGCCCCGAACCGAGGAAATCGAGCCCAATAAGGCTTGACGAGGACGCTACGTTTCTTGTACGGGACGAGAGCAGCAGCAAATGAAAGCGTAACACGAGCTTTCCGCAAACTGTGTTTATTTTCGAAGCCAGATTCCCCCCACAGGTACAGAAACTTGCGTTTCGAAAGCAGTTACTCAGTCTTCTCGTCGACAGCACTGCGATGTTAAACGGAGACAACCGATACCCAGTTACTTCGGGCACTTTGCGTCTTACCTTTGGTGTTCCTCGAGTCCCAATTCCTTCGTCAACCGCACATCACGGAGAAGGGCAAACTCAATCCGCGAAACCAAAAGCCGCTCTCGAAAGAACAAACTCGAAGCACTCGAAGCCTCTGTTTATCGCGTAGCGTGAAAGAAGGTTAAATCGCTAGCCACCAGATGGCAGGGTCAAGCTGAGTAATTGCAAGTGGCTAGGCTAGGTGGCGCTAGGTACCACCCAATTCATGTTCTACAAAAAATAATTTGCTTCTCTCAGGCCACTACTGCGCTTGGGGATCCTTTACTGTACACACACTACGCTTATTACAAGCACCGGGTGAACATACATTGAGCACATACATGGCACACACATATATCAATACAACGGAACACTACACCCGTGCTCTGCGTTTCCCTCTTTTATACTCGTTGTTTTGAACGTACGGAACTTTTCGGTGACTCCCTAAGCAATAAAAAATATTCCCAGCATGTTGATTTTTTCCCAGCAATGTCATGCCTCTGAGAGTATTTTGAATGGCTCAGGGGATGAATCTCTTACTAAAAAGTAAACGCTCGATCATGCCGTAATTATTTGAAAGCCAATAAATCAAGCCGCTCCAATGCGGTTTGAAGCCATGAGTTTGTTTCCTCACACGGCACGTCGTAGCCCGTATTTCTATTGGTTTTTCTATTTGTGCTGTTCGCGCAAAGCTGCAATTGCCGTCTTGAATTAATCTCTGTAGAGTGGATATTCACTCAGCTGGAAGTGATGCTTCACGGGCTGAGAAATTGCTTTTCGATCAACGTGAATGCAGTCAAAGCCGCGACTTGCGGCAGGTGTTAAATGTACGGAGCTACGCTGGCTACGCCGTGGCGAGCCCGAAAACGTCTAGCGCTCATCCCAGCGCGCCACGGAGGGCAGTTTCTCCAGGAACCGTAGTATATTTAAACAACAAAATAAAGGGTAGCTTTTTTTTTTTTTTTTCGATTTTCCCTACTATTGTTTTTTAATGCCGAAATTCTATACTGTAAATATACGTACTTTCTGTCACGATTTCATACTGTTTAGTCCTTGCCCCAGAGCGCAATCGCTCTCGGGGACGAGACAATTCCGACAGTCACATTGGCCACTGTACGATAGGAGCTTCTACTGTTCAGACCAGCGTTCCAACATGACTATACGCACGTTGATCGATTGCACGTAATCCCTCGAATGGCATTAAACCTTTTAATATAAAGCGGAATGTCAACCTGCGACACCCCGCCCCCTCCGATCACGGCCCGACCAGCGGCATCAATGCCCAACAGTTTACGATCTCATCTTCTTGTTACACCACTGATACGCGAACACACGGTCACATCGGCGATAATTCCAGTCTTCTGTTCACAACCCACAACACTGCCATCACAATATTGCAGCTATGTTTCTGACACGCACAAACACAAAACCACAATGAACGCCGGTTGCACTGGGCATCGGAAAACAGAACCGAGCTCAGGGGGGAAGGCACCCAGGCAGCCGGCAGCAAAACCTGCCTGTCTTGGACGCAGTTCCTGCGGTTTCCATAACGTCGAAAACGTCGACACAGCTCCTCGTGGTTTCGCTATACTGTAGTTCCGCATGAGTCCCGCAATCCGGAGACGGCCATCCCCCAGTGTACGTGGCACTGCTGGCACTGCTCCGGAACTTCGCTGTTTCTAGCGGCTTCGTTTGCTCGTTTGATAAAATTAGTGATAAAAACGTCAATGCAACCAAAATGTTCTGCACGTTTAGACTAGAAGACGGAATTACAGACGGCCTTCGCTGCCGCTGAAGCTCAATCAACTCAGCAGCTATTTATTAAACAACGTGCGCGACCTGCTCGAAAAACGAAACCGAAAGACGATGAGTCGGGAGGGCGAAAGCTTTCTCCCGTCTGCCTGGAGAAGAAGAAAAACGTCTCGTTTCTCCCTTTTTCTCGTGTCCGCTTGGGGGCGCGTCGGTAGAAGGGAGGAAGACGCGCCGTTGCTACTTTTTTCCTCCATTTTTTTTTTGGAGTGCAGCTCCGCTGGTCTTGCTTCTTCACCGGAGTGGAAAAGCTGAAAGTTTTTCTAAAGTTCCCACTTGTTCTTGCACCTACTGCCATTGTCCTGACGACGTAACGTCCGAAAGTGTACCCGTAGAGTGTGTGTGTGTTATGGCGGTTTGGCCGAGGGCTGGCCGGGTCGTCTTGAACGCAGCTTCCTTCCTCTCCCTCCTTAATCGATATAACTTTGACGGATGTGAAACCGATTATTATTAATTATCGTTACTTTGCAGTCATGCGCCTGGGCAAGAAGAAAGAGCGGGAGTCCGACCGCGACGCCCGCTGTCAGCTGGTGGAAGGAGTGCACCGGCTGATCTGCTCCTGCAGAAACCTCCAGGCGCCACTCAAGGGTGAGCAGTCTTTCGTTTGCCCCTCGACCCAGTTGTTCGACATTTCTTGCCAGTTGCAGCGCCACACGGGCAGAGTGGACCTGTTGGTGCTTTGGCCGCACAGCATAGAGTGGCGGTTTGCCAGCACGGATTCTTGCGAGATGTAACAGACGTCCAGTGAACCTGTCCTAAATGTCAAGGTGGTTAAGTAGGAACATCAGCCGACTCGGTGGCTCCGAGGCAGCGCCGGCCAACGGATCCCCAGGTGGCAGGTTCGAATCCCGACCGAGGTCCCGCAATCTGACGGAGGCTCATTGCGTAGAAGGTTTTCAGTTGCTCACCAAAACGTCACCGGGAAAGTCGAGATTAATCCTGTCCACAGGCCCTTTGTTGGTTTGGCATGTAGAATGCCCAGATTTGACTTTTAAAGGCCGACAACCAGACTCGAGATTCTGCAAGGCAGAAAATCCTCCTCACCACGGGGGAGGAGGAAACAGGCAGCGGTGGACAGGGTAGAAGGGGGGAGAGGAGAAAGCGAGAGAAAAGTGGAAAGCACGAACTGGTCGTCGGTCTTTAAGCACTGCTACACGAGCTACTTATATTGTGATGATGTAGCAGAGTGTTTCTCCACATTCAAATAACAACAGGGATCTGAAAGGTTGGTTCCTAAGGTTCATTGGCCTGCTTGTGCAGACATGTTAGTAAACCTTTTTTCTCGTTGGCCATGGTACCTCTGGAGAGCCCAATACTAGAATGACTGAAAACATCAGGATGTCCAGTTCTTTGGGAAGTTTAAGGGTTTTGGGTAATTCTTGTTGCTTTGATGCGATAGGATACAATATTCTCTCTAACTCTGAGAGAAAGTCAGGTTGTCACAGTGCCGGTGGCCCGTACCTCTTGGTATGTGACATCTAAGCTGAAAAATCAATACCTACATTGTGTGGCCAAATTTCAAGATAACTGGAGTTCAATCTAATTATCCCAGTTGTTGATGAATGTCACGTAAAGTATTTTTAGTAAACATATTCTTATGGAAAGGGGCGAACCTATATCGAGTGATTGTAGCAGCCGAGTTCTGTAATCCTCTTCTGTCGGTAAAAATGAGCTTCAATTGAAGTTTATTTTTACCGACGTGCTGTTTCAACACTACTTCTCTGGCCTTAGTGCATACTGCTCCCATAATGCTATGCACACCTAGGGCACTATTGGGCGGTTGCGTCCAGAAATTCACTTTCAACAGCCGGATCACAGTAGATTGTATGTAACACTTGACCGAGCAATAGGGAGCTCTGAAATTAATAGGCTTTTCTAGCAACAGGAGTCGCATTAAATCGGGTTCGTAGAATTCTGTCGTTTGTGGAATCTAGAGAAATGCTGTAAGTGAGCTTAGCTAGATAAAACACTACTAGACACACCGTGCTTTGTGTACATTATATTTGTCATCTCGGTCAAGTCATGTAGCCACTATTGCCCATTGCAACATAAAAAGGTGAAGAACCCTGTGCTTGCTGCAAAATTGGTGGTTCCCTCCTTCCAGCATCTGCTCTGCTAAAGTGGAAAGGGTGTAGGCCTTTGTGGTAGGGGCTTTTCCTGCTATTCATAACCTGCAACAGACCATAGACCAACCTTGCGTTATGCAGCAAGAACCTATCGTAATGCCGTCCCATCTTCAAGCTTCTCGTGTACCAACTGGACTTGTACCTCGCTTGACTTCCTTTTCGAAAGCAGTAGAGAAAAATAATGGCCACTAGGCTCCTCTTTACAGCCTCCTTTTAAGGGTGTTGTTGCACTGTTGCGGAGGGGACGGTACGGAGGAAGAGCAGGGGCATATCTTCCTCTCCGTACCTTCCCCTCCTCCTCCTCGAGAGCTGCAGTCTAATTGGGCGTTACAGAGTTAAAAATGACTTACAATCGTGTAAATATGGTAGTCATTTGAGAGATAATGCGGCCATCGGATGCAGTGTCGTGCTGAAACGTTTCCCACGTCCTTTCGACGCAGTCACGATCGACAGCGTGGAGTGGACGGGAGTCAAGTTCTTCCAGCTGAGCTCCCAGTGGCAGACGCACATCAAGTACTTCCCGGTCGGGCTGTACATGGCACCCGAGCACAGCCAGAGCCACTAGAAGGGGAGGGACCCCGGACCAGAGGACAGCCACATTCGCCGGCCCGTGCAGTGCGGACTCTCTCTTCACGGCGACCCGTGCGTGGGAGTCGATCGAAAAGACAATCGTGGGGTTGCACCCGCGTGTAGCGTTCACGAGGGCAAGAGGACCCCTATTTATTTGCGAGTTCTGGGGGCGTTGGTCTTCCAGCCAGGCACTCGATTGGGTCCTGCCGTAGTCACATGATGTGCCAGGTGTCGTTGTGTTTGTATGTACATATCCACCCACCCCCCTTTCCCTCGAGGGCGTCATCGCCCCAAGGTTGTCTCCGTAGCCGCGCGCTCCGGGTCGGGAATCGTGGCCTTGCGTTCCGACCGGAGCAGCACTGGAACGCCGGATGTCGCGAGTACCGTATTTATTTGAGTCTAACACGCCCTCGATTGTAACGCGCACCTATTTTTCGTGGTCCGAAAAAAAAACGTGATGACCTCAGTTGTTACGTGCACCAGATTTTGTAGGTTGGATAGAGAAATGAAACTTTTTCTCACTTAAACAACGAAGGTTTATTCTAAATGCTTCAATCTTGCGATGAAATGAACAGCGCTGTCTCTCTCCGGCGAGGTCGTCATCACGACGCCGGTCCGGTGCAGCACCCGTGGGGCGGTATGCATCACTCGTCATCGTTGTCGGACCACTCCTTATCGCTGTCAACGGCCCAAAGCATTTCACCTTCGGTGCCGTCCATAGCGTTAGAAATTCCGCACTTCTTGAAGGCCTTGATAACCATGGCAGACGGGATCGTGCACCAGGCACCTTTCGCCCATCCGACGAAGTCCTGCAGCGAGGCAAGAGCCTGGAAAACTAAACGCGCGTGATGCAGCCCGATTTCCACCGCTCTCCGCGCACAATATCATTTTTCTTTTGAATCCAGCATCATGGTGAATGCGGCGTATCTTTGCAGTGGGAACTTCCATGCTGATACGAATGGAGCGGCCATTTTGAAATATCGATGGCGATATGGTAGCGCAGTTTTGGTTGTGGCGCGCATAGATTTTCGGACCTATTTCCCCGTAAAAAAGGTGCGCATTAGATTCGAGTAAATACGGTAATCTTCGAGCCAGCGACCAGTGCTCCTACAAGTCTAGAGCCAGAGGAACGCTATGGTTTGTCATTTTGTACAGGTGGATCTTTTTTTTTAGGCCAACGTTGGCGGTACTGTTTATTTAAGTCATCTGCGATTCTCCGGTGTATAACGAAATGTGCGCGTATTGGTGTCTCGAAGCAGTTTCTTTCGTTGTAGATGTCTTAGCGTGAGTCAATTGTGTGGGAATTTAGGTGTCACAATGTCGTCTACACATTGTATGTGGCGTTGAGAACAGAAGTAATAAATTATTATTTGGGTTTGTCGAGCGAAGCCAGGCTCGTGGCAGTTCGTACTTACCTAATTTCTTTCAGTGTAGCTGCGGTGTTTGAGGACGGTCATTAGCCTGACAGTGCTCCAGTATCGCTGAGACAAATTAGTTACCGTGATCGCCTGAGAGATGGCCCACCCAAAATCGCGAGAAAATTGGGCGAAAATAAGGAGTGGGCTAACTTTCAGTGTACAATCGAGAGTAGTTGAAAAAATGCTATTTTTAGGTTGTGTGTCTGTCAAACTTGTTATTGCGGCGAGGGGCAATAAAGCAAAGGTGACTGTACTTCCCAGTCAGCAGTGTTCGCTTAACTAGATGCATTTACGCTAAGGTTATCATTGATCCAAACACTATGATTACTAGGAGAGTGCCACCTTGCGGCGTTTAAAAGAAAATAGCAAATCAAGCCAAAAAAGGGGGCTTTATGGGATATTTTGCTGTGTGCCGAAAGCACAGATCCAAATGAATGTCGGGTGCAAAAAGAGTGTGCACTAAGCACGATGAAATTAAATGTGGCTCGGATTCATATTTTTTTTTACATATTTCTTCTAGGTTATTGAAACTTTGGCTACTTATATAGTCATATCTTTTTTAAAGCGATCATTACTTTTAATGTTGCGTGTATAGTTTTGTGTTTAGAGGCAGAAACACTTACACGAAAAAGGCTTTGTGCACACAAATCTAGGCACGCTACTTTTTTATCAGTATGGTGCCGTAAGTCATTTTGCTTCTTATGAAATGTCGAGTGCAAGTAACTAGCCAAAAGTTGAGTAACATTTTCTGATATACCTAGAAGAGAAAAATAAAGACGACAAAAAGTCTCCTCTTTAGAAGCCCCTTAGAAGTTGGTTAAAATTAGCAACAACAGAATTAAGATATTGCAATTCCCAATAGATACCTGCACCCTACGTAGTGTTCTCAAGATAATATACCTAAAAAAATTTCACAATGACTGGAACATTCCAAGTTCCAAAAAGTCATTGCTGAAAACCAAGTTGACAACCAAAAGTTGCAAAATGAGAAAAATGCATCTGAAAGTTCAAAAGATGTATACTCTTAAAAAATTGTCTCCAATTACACGAAATTGGGACAGAACATAGGTAGGGTGTCCAGGAATCATCCAGTCACTAAAACTGTCCCTCAAGGTATGTCATGATTTTTCTCGGCCCTCGCGCCATGTGTCACCACAAACACCGTTGCAGTAGCTGCTTCTCCCACATCAGCATGTGACTCTTCACGAGATTTTTGCCTGGCACTTTTTGCGGCGGAGGCATAAACTTGCTCGTTAGCGAAGGTCTTGTGGCACATTGGTGTCGGCAGGCCGAGGATTGCGCTCAAGCGCGGAAATTTACGGCTCTCTCAAGTTTACGTATGGCAATACTCCTGTGAGCTCCCACTGTCGTAGCTTTGCTTCGCACTAAGGTGCACGTTTCGAAGTAAACGTTGAAAGAAAGAACCCACTCGAGGCATTCTCTCCCCTTCAAGTGTGCATTTATTGAAAAAAACGGCTTGAACAAGAAGCCACCCTAAAATCAAATGCCATACAAGGATGACGTGTCGCTCACGAGGCATAGATAAAATTCATCTCTTTTTTATGTAGCTAAATTGAAGACTGGCTTACGCAGTGCTTCGTTCCTGCCTTTTCTATTGCTTGTGCCTCCAGCACCTCTCTTTCCACTTTTGTGCGTACCCTGCCGACGACTGAGGTAACTTCGAAAGTGGGGTGACACAGGCAGTCTTAGTGCACGTACAAGTGATAGATTTTATCGATGCCTGGTGAGTGACTCGTCATTGTTGTTTGATTTCAGAATGGTTTCTCGTTGGAGCCGGTTTTTCAGTAAATGGTTAGTCGATAGTTCAGCGCTCGTCCTGTGTGCTTCTCCCTTTGTCCCCGTCTTTATTATTAATTTATTGAAGGAGTCTGTGCAACGATTTTATTGTTAAAAGAATTGGCACCTTCTACTTTTGATGTTGTTTATCTTGTCACAAAGGACAGAAAACACGCCTCCTTCCTTCGAAATGTTGCGGTTCCACCGCATAATCACGAGGCAAGAATTAGATTATTCCCCGACCTGCAGCCGCGAGCGGCTCTATCTGCTACCGCGAACAGAAGCCGGAGGGGGAGGGGGCAGAGCCGGACGGCGATGGCCGGATCCGGATGAGACTCCTCCTTTCACCATATTGTTTGCGCTGCGCTCCCCAGCACGTGGTCGCACGGTTGCGAGCGGATGAGTTCTCGCTGCTCACTGATGGCTCTAGAGAGAGAACTTTACCGGAACCTCGTGCTACCCCCCATTCACGTCGCAGCGCTTGTGACTCAGAAGATTGGGAAGGAGTTGAGAGGTGCCGAAAACCTCAATCTTTGTCCATTTTTTAAATAAAAACTAGGACATGCTGGCAAAAGCGGTTTTTTGTTCTTTCAAAAAAGTCGAGACACCAACTCCCAAATTATTTAAGCAAAGCACTGAAATGGTTGCGCAGCTCCTTCAAGTCGTGAACCAAGTTGCCTGCATTGCCACCTTAATCCAAGTGTAGTTTTAGGGACGATAAAAATTCCTCGCGTTTCCCAGCGGCACTAGTGACAAGCGGGGAAGATTGCGTTGCTCAAAAGTATAGTCAGCGTGTCAATGTCTCGCATCATTGAACTTTCAGGGCCATAGCCACTTGTTTTGTAAACGTTTTCGAAGAACCCAATCGTCTGTTCCGAAGCGCTGACCTGAGCGTCGAACCGAAATTTGTGTCGGTCTGGTTCGGGTTCAGTTCCGGGGAGCAAAAATAACGGTTCAAACCGGTTTGAACCACTAAATTAAGAATGCATTTTCCGCGTTTTTTTATGGAAAGACCTTTGCTAACCGATTCTGCCACCAAGGGGCATCCTGGGTTTGTATAGTTCTGTGCACTGCACATGCTGGCATCTGAAGCAATATCTTTTTGAGCAAACATCTAAAATAGATGGTACTTTGTGCATGCATTCATAATTTTGTTTTAGTCATTTAGTAATTGGATCCTTGCCTTAGTTTGAAATGTAGGACTACAGCTATTATAAAGAGTACACAATAGGCTGTAATGTCTGAATTAGCTGCGTGCATGCGTCATTTCTTTATAATTCAAAACTTGAAGCGTTTGGCAGCAAATTTGTTTTAATCCCCTAGACCCTGTACAGTTACGCTAAGCCGTAGGTTAACTTATGTGGGATCTCGTTTATTTTCCTCTTTATTTAGGCCTTCCACTGGGAGTGAAAAAGTACCATATTTCCTGGTTTATAAGTCAAACCTTTGAGTAAATTGCACCTCTTTATGAATGTTTTTTTTTTTTTTTTTTACAAAAAAGTTGATTTGTAAGCACATAGTTATTGAGTGCTGCAAGGAATAGTGCGCAATTCACTGCAGCTGTGGAGTGATGCCGTTGCGCTTAGAACTGAAAAGCAAGCTATTGGCCAGAGCTGTGCCGTTTCTCCTTTGTTGTAAATGTAGATATCTCCTACATCTTGCACAATTAGGGTCTATACCTATATATAAAGAAAAGAAAGAAAAATAAAGTTTATACATAAGTCGCATTATGCACCGCTGAAAATTTCGGGGAAGAAACCTCGACTTGCATCGGAAAATATGGTGCATTCATTAACATTTAGTGACCCTAAGTGACCTGCATTCATTAATCACGAGCTCATTTTGCATTGTAGAAGTGATCAATGCAAAATGTCTAAAGGGGAGAATTGCCAAGCTCAGATATTAATTACATAGGAGGTACATATTTTCAGTGCAACCTTTTGGAATACAAAAAACATTCCATTTGCCCATTAAAATTACGATGTTCTTGAAAGGTTCCTGTGCAATGTACAGTCGAGTTTGCCTTTGATTCCGTACCTAAATGTCCCATTCCTAGATGCTTGGGCATCAATTGGCAAGTGTTTCAGAATCGGCCGCTGCAATGAGGCATTTTAAACCAACAGGGTTGCTTTTGTCACAATCTTTGCCACGTCTGAGGGTCCAGACTCCAGAGCAAGTCTCCAAACGATTCGTCTAAGGTTCCGGATTGGGGATCTTCTGCTGTTTCAAGGGCCAGAAAACAAGTGACAATACAAATAAGGAAGTACTAAAATAGATACAGTGCTAATTGTGACATTACGCAAAAATGGGGCCCCAGAGTACTCTCCAGGTGTAAAAGCATGCGGGAAATTTATTTATATTCACAAAGGGTGGAAGACGGGGAATGGCAGATCTGATTATTACAGTATGCTGTACTTATGATACAGGACTCCAAGTCTCCAATACACATGCAGAATGCACAAGAATTTCAACGTAGTTACACATATACAAAACGGGACCACGAATTTATATACAAAAACTTAAACTAGAGTAAGAATAGTAAAAAAAAAATTGAGGGTTGATGAATACATATATTTTTAAATTCTGATGAGTTTTCTGGAGCCCAATCTTTGTAATGTTACAATTAGCAACGCACACTATGGCGAGAGAACCTGTGTTTTAATGGGAGTTTTCTCTCTATCATTCTGGTATTTTCGTTCGTGCTTTTGACTGTGCACATAGCGGTGCCGTTATGCACGCTTATTTTTGCGTCGGTAGCAACGGGCTGGACGTGACTGCAAGAACAACGGCCACCAGCACGCCGGCCGAAACGCCTCCGCGGATCGAGTTTTGGAGATCCCCGTTCTAGAGCATCGCAAAAAATTGTTACAAAAACATAACGTGGGCATGCAACAATCTCCTAGTTGGTACGCTGCCCGCCGAACGTGCGTCCCAGAGGTCCCGGGGTCGCAAGACCCAGATAGTGTTTCCAGACTTTATTTCTGCATCACATGGAGATAATCTCCTGGGCCTTGGTCTCCAGCAGTTTCTCCATGGAGGCCACGTCTGCATTCCAGGCGTCCAGGCGCTTCTTCATGCACCCAATCTGCGGGCAACGATAACCTCTTGAAACCGGGGCAGAACTCCGTCGATATGTTTTTCAGGGGGCGGGAGACTGCGGTAAGGAAACGCTCATCTCGGGAAAGCGCTGCAACCAACAATGCTTTTGGGGGCCTATAAACATCTCCACCATTTTTTAAAAGTTGCATAACTCTCTCACTTGAGAGATTGTCAGTTCCCCAGCGGTTTTCTTATGCATCCTATGCAAAAATGTTTCAATTAAACAAATTTCTGGATAGCGAATATTTCAGTTCAACAAACTTGATCGATGGACCCAGGATTCTTTTTGCAATCAGTTCAATGAAGTTTTATGCTCTGCAGTGCTCGCCAATCAATCGATTAGCCGCGACGCCACGTCCAGTCGGCAGCTGACAACGCCCTCGCTCTCACTCTCGCTTCGACCAAAACTGGAACCCTGGGGCCATATTATGGGCGAAATATCACGGAGAATGTGGCAGAACTGCAAACTGGGGAATTTTCCTTCCGCATTCTCTGCAAAGCCCTCACCTGTTCTTTGGAGAGGACCCTGGGCTGGACCCAGTTCATGTGCACCTTCGAGTCCACCTGGTCGATGGTCCCCTTCACCAGGCCGAGGCTCAGGGCCTTCATCACCAGCAGCTCCACCTGCCGATGTGCATCGGGTCAAAAGCGTTGTCCATCGCGCGGAAAGCTCGCAACACTTTCGGGACCTTGTAAAAGCCGATGATGAACGAAAAAGAAAAATTCGATAATGTTTTGGGTTTTGAAACGTAAACGAAACGGAGACCTCCAAGCTTGGGCAATGATTGAGATGGGAGCAAATTAATACATATGTCGCGTGCCCCCCCCCCCCCCCCCCCCCCCCCCCCCCCCCCCAAAATTTATGGCGCTTTTTTTACCGCAAAAATTAAGTATGCGTCGCCAAATGATCGGTCTCCACCCAAATGTAATGCTAGCAATCTGGACGAGATGCTTGAGTTTCAGAACCAACTGTTATCTTGTTCGAAAGTTACGAACGATTTTGTGAAACCTTCAATGGGGAAATGGGGCACGTTCCCAATATAGTTTGCATCATTCAGCACCACATATCTGGGGCTTCGTCAACCGTCATTTTCCCCGCAAAATTTTTTTGAAAATCGTTCGTAACTTTTGAATAAGGTAAAGGCTCGTTGATATAATTGTGACAGCTTACGACTGAGTGTCTTGCAATCTCTTAAAACGAGAGGACACACTGGCGCCAGCTGTCGGATAGCCGTGGAGCACTCGCCGTTGCCATATATTTCCTCTCCTTTTCCTGCGCATTCTTTTTTTGTTGGCTCGGAAAATTATAGACAGTTATTTCTCACGGATCATGCCTACACTTGATCTCGCAAAAACCGCAAAACCCTCGCTCTAGTGAAACGCAGTTGCAGGGCCACCTCCTAGACGGCGCCAGCATCGTAAGAGATGACAAGAACTCTGTTGTAAGCAAATGCAAGGGTGTGAACCAGCCTCAATGGTTCGTCCCGAAACTTTGGTATCTGGTTCGGACCACTAGCGATGCAGTGGGATGGAGACTAAGCGTCCGACTATCCATAGTTTAGTTTTACAAGGAAAAAAAACGCTGTACATTTCTTTTTTCAGGGCACCCCGCAGAACCTCTTTAAAACACCGTCCAGAATCGCGATCCTTTTCCTCCTCGTCGGAAAACAATTTCCAAGATATATCTTAGAAAAAGGTGCATAATGCAATGTTTGGTCACACTTCTAATACAAAAAAAAAGAAAAGCCACGCACGAATGTCATTTTAAATTTTCGAGGACGCTAGTTTGTGCTACAAAAAGACAATCCCAAAATCCAGCTCAAAACTCCTAAAAAAAGAAAAAAATCGTATGGCTATGTTGTTTAGCGAAAGGCAAGGAAAGTGCGACAGGACTCCTGACAAGGAACATGTGCAGTCATTATGTTATGCGCGCATTTGAGAACGTCCTTTCCCATAAACTGCCTTTGAACTGGCCAGTTCTGGGAGCCATGTTTCCGGCTTCTTGTCATAAGGTTGCGAGCGCGGGTAACTAATTTTTCATTAATTAGTTACGGTGTGTCTAATTTTCCCTATGTTATCTTCGTAGAACATAAGCTCATGAACTCATGAAAATGATTGGCAATCTCGTTCGAGTAAAGGTGGGTGTTGAATTTGCTGCAAATTACAATGAAGTGTCCTCTACGACTCGGTTTCTCGCCCCGCCGCCATCCCGCGTCCTTCGCCGCCGGCCAGCGTCTCGTACTGTCTGTGTGGACATCTCTGTTGGGATCGTATTCCGTGGGCCCCCATGGTTCCTACGCTTTGAGCTCAGATTGGAAGTGCTCTATGGTTTGCCCCCCCCTATAGCTTACCTCCCGCCGAAATTAATTCACGAGCTAACGACACTCTTTTCAGCGCAATTTGAAAAGCGACACATGCACGTCGCCGAAATTCGAGTGTCGCAAAATCGCGACAAAGAGAGCGTGGCATTTTTCTTTGTCGGGAAGTCCCAAATTAACATGAAGTGCAGCTCAAAAAGTTAGCGAGGACTACAGACACCTTAGAAAGAGTTTGAAAACAGCATTGCATCTATAGTCGGCGACAGGTTAAGGGCAAAGTTGAAGCTCGTCCCCAGCTGTTCCACATTGGCAGAACGAACACCAAAGAGGAGATGCCTCCTCCCCGGCGTTTGCTCCGCTAAAGTGGAAAAGGTGGAAAGAAAGAGAGAGAAAGAGGCGCTAAAGTGGAAAGAGTGAAGCTTCCACTTCACTCAACCTGTCACAGACTAATATATCGTTTCACTGGTGCAGCGACCGAAAATCTGCAGACCGCGTGCCCAATAGTGCTGTGCACCAGCAAAAGTTGATTCTGGCTTGAAGCACACTACATCGCCAAAAGATGGAGTGGGGTGCCTATGGCGCATTGGGACAAACGTCGCAAATTTGCAACAGTCGGCATCTTGGTTACGCAAATGAAGGCAACTTTTTGTAGCATGTGCGTAAGCCCCACGAAAGAATCGTCCCGCTAATGCACAGTTCTCGCTACTACGCACTGGAGGGGGGGGGAGAGGGGGACGCCATTGGTCGTGCACTCTATGACGTTAGACGATGGGAAGGAGCGTCAGAAAGACATCGTCGTCGCCCCCCCCCCCCCCCCCCCCCCCCCCCCCCCCCAACGCACTCTCCGGTAACCTCGCTCCCGAAGGTGCGACCGACGCGAGGGAGGGAAGTCTTTCCGGAGGGCTCCCGTACAAAGCGGGTCGAGGGAGAGAAAGGCCCCACCTCGTTCAGGGGCAGCTGCGTCTCCTCGGCGATGTCTTTGAAGGTGAGGACACGGTGGTTACCCGGCCGCCGGAAGGTCATCTCCATCAGGCACAGCAGGCACATCTTCTGGCGCAGGGACAGCTCCCGGGCCGCCAGGTCGGGCTGCACCAAGAGATACAATAGTAAGGGTGCAGGCGAGCTGGTGGATGTTAACCATGTTGAATATACCTGAGACTGGGGTAGAAAAACATAAAAGTCGAAGAAACAGAACGGGACAGGACGACGTCTCAATTGAGACGTCGTCCTGTCCCGTTCTGTTTCTTCGACTTTTATGTTTTTCTACCCCAGTCTCAGGTATATTCAACATGGTTTGCACCAAGAGAGCGCGTCTTTCACGGGGCACCTCGCGTCAACTTCCGAGGGGGCTCTCCCAAAGAATCTTTTCTAACACAGAGTGTGTCGTGGGACCGACATCCGAGAGATGAGTGCAACGTTACGAAAGAGCATCGCAAAAAACCGTCTCGTGGGAACTACCGTGGCAATGTAAATTAATATGTCAAAGATGATAAGTGATCATTTTTATTCATTAATAATAAATGTTGATTTAATTTATATTAACACATTCATTATCATTAGCAATTTAATAATTATTTTATAACCCTTTAATTAATAATGAACAATCATCTAACTTGTATTATTTCAATCACTAGAATTACAAATTTATTTCATGATTGCAAATTGGCATGGTAACCACAAGACAGTTTTGTGCCATGGTAACCACAAGACAGTTTTGAGAAATGCTCTTCATAATGTGACAATAATTTTGTGGAAACATGATGACTACAGGCTGGGTTCACATTCTTTTTCAAGAGGGGGCACTAACCAAAAGAGTATCTTAACCGCTCGTTAGATTTCAATAAAATTCATATGGTGTGTTTATATTCGTGCCGAGAATATTCGTGCCCAATTTCATGAAGCTGCGTTCATTATATATGTATCTGAGAAAGATGAAAGTGGGTGTGTCTTAGGAAAACTATCGTCTGCAACGAAAATCAAAACCTGACATTCTGATGCAATATGGTGCATTTAGAAAGCCCACAGCGTACAACTATAAAGCTATTTTCCTCATGTTTTTTGTTTGTTTTTTTCGTAAGAAAAACACTATATAAATACCAATACAATTTTTTCCATTTCTACTCTTGGCCTAAAACTTCCATTTTTCATAGTGAATAATGATACAAATGAAGAAACTAAGCACACACCTGCATCCCTTGCAAAACTTAACACTGGCAACGGAAGCATTGCTGGGGGTTGGGGGCAGAAGGGCAGATGTAACAGTTCAGGTATCCGGCCAAGGCCAGATACCTAAGGTTGTCCTTGGAGACGGCTCTCTAGGAGTTCTTCCACACTAATGTGCAAAAAGTCGTCCTTGGAGAGGACTCTACGAACGGTGTTAAGTGTGCGACGAGGGCTCATCACCACTTTTACTTCCAGGATGGTGTTCAGCTTGAGGAGTGCTTCATTTTGCTTTTTGCTATTTACCTCCACTAGGAGGTCTCCAGAGTAGAGTTTTTCAGCCTCGTAGGAAAACCTTACAAGGTGTTCAAGTACTTTGGCTACAATGACTGGTGATAGCTTTGACATCGAGGGAATGAACAACGAAAAATGAAAGACGTATACAAATCCATGTAATGCGAAATTAGAACGCAGCTCTTGAGGAGGAGGAGGGGAGGGTACGCCCCTCCTCCCCCAGTTTCCCCGCAAAATTTAGTAGGAAAATTGATGCCACGTGACCTCAGCACCTATTCCTCGCTAACTTTAGCGGAGAACTGGGGAATTGGAATTGAATTGGTATTGACGTCACCTGACGTCACATTTCTGCTAACTCTTGCGAAGAAACTGAATTTGTCTGCTAAATCTAACAGAAAAATTAATTTCCTCGCTAAATCTAGCGGAGAAACTGAATTTGTTCGCTAAATGTAGCAGAGAAACTGAATTTCCCCACTAAATTTAGCGGGGAATTGAACTGATGTAGAGGTCATGTGACATCAATTTTCCCACTAAATTTAGTGCAGTTACGCCGACACCACAAAACCCGGACACGGGCGCCTAAGAGCTGCGCTCTAAAGCTTCGCAAAGGTTTCTACCTCAGGTTCTTTTTCAATAGTCTCGTGTTTGGGACAGTGCCTCTTAACGGCTTGCCCCAAGTGGGGTTTGAGGGGGGCACCATAAGAGGTCAAAGAGCGGAATTCGCGGTGCACCACCCAACATGGTTAGGTAACGCACAATAACAAAAGGGGCTTTGCTGGAGACGTTACTGTAACAGTGCTGCCAGGAAACTATACCCAAGTGTGGGTCAAGACAGAGGTTCATCGCCACCCAAGGTTAGCCCTTGCCACCAAAGAAGATGAAAGTGGAAAAGGAGGAGGAGAGAAAAGACAAAGAGAGGAGGGGGCAAAGAAAGGCCTAGTAGGGTGTCCTGGCCGGGCCTAACAAGGACACCCTTCTATGAGAAGCAGGGGCCAAAGTGGCGTATTGCCTCACCCAAAAACCCCGAAGGGTCCAAACCTACCGAGGGCTCGGCTCAACCACCAGGATGCCCTTTTTTCGGGTCACGGTAAAGCCACGCACAGCCAAACATGGGTGGGCGAACCCACATGGCTCAGGGTCCGTGGCGACGTCACTCACCAAACACCTGCTTTTACAAGTGTCCCCTGCGGGGCTTCTGCCGTCACTTGAATCGCTACCATATTTGTCGTAAAAAGCAAACGGAAAAAAAGCTGCCACGATAAATGATTGGATGTGCATGCCAAATTCCATCTGTCCAGAAACAAAATGTAGGAAAAGCCGTCGTTACTGACGCCACCTCGTGTAAAGCTAAAAAATAAAGGGCATCTTTCTTACGCCTTTTGTAAATATAGTTATTGACAAGCGAGAACGTCTGGGAGGAGCTTCACTTGTCCCGTTTCCAGCATGAGCTTCCCACCTTCGACAATGCTTCAACATCTTGTCCACCTCGAGTGCCGCGCGACAATTTACCACCAATTGTCGATGCCTCACTGCAACGGCGGGTGACACCCGACACATGATTTCAAAGGTTTAAGGAGAAGCTGCGCTAAGGTCTTTCGTCGGAAGCGTGCAAAAGAGCAAGCGTAGCTCCCACCTGCTGTGCCCAGGAGGACCTGAGTAACTCGTAGCGTGCCAGGCTTCCGCTGTTGAAGGCGTAGAGGAGCTCCACCACCCACTGCTGCTCGCTGTTCTGCAGGCACTCCAGGATTGGGTGGGCCAGCTGCACGCCACGGGCAGGCACACTCAAGCTACGACGGGTGCACAGCGAGCAGCCTCTAGGATACACAAGAAGCACCCTCCAAGATGCAGAGGAAGCACCCCCTAGGGTGCACGGAGAGCACCCTTCAAGGTGCAGAAAAAGCACCATTTAAAGTGCACACAGAGCACTCTCTAGGGCAGTGGTTCTCAACCACTGATGTTTCGCGGACCTTTCGTGCATCGGTGGAGACGGTGGAGTTCCACATTTGTGGTGAGGGGAAGGGAAAGGTTAATTATGACAATGATTTAATAAATCAATACAACTAAGGGCTAGAGACTTTTTTCATTGACATAAACACAACAAAACTCCCAAAAATTTGAATGTTTCTTCTCAATCTGAAAATAATACGACATTACTGCCGAGCTTGACTGATGAGACAATGCTTAGCGGATCCCTAGAATGCCTTTGCAAACCCTCATTTGAGAACCACTGCTCTAGGGTACACAAAAAGTGCCCCCTCGGGTGCACAAGGAGCACCCTCTAAGGTGCAGAGAAAGCACCCTCTAGGGTGCACAAAGAGCACCCTATAGAACAGAAGTTCTCAAACAGGGGTTCTGACGGCTGAGGAGCCCCAGTTGGTCTTTTGCACTGATGCAACAAAAAAGAGCAGAAGCATACAGACCCTGCAACCATTATTGCATACACTAGGCTGCACTTGATTCAAAGTTATGCATCAATGGTTGGCTCAGATTTGCTGAAGTGGTGCTTAAACTGTAACAGACACTTTACTTAGGGACAGGGCAGTTGAGATAATTTGGGAGCTCGAGTACACCATGTGGGTACCCTGGGAAACCCCTGGGTACCGCCCCTCTCCCCAAGTGAAGTGTACTTTAGGTTTAAGTAGTACTTCATACTCCATTCACCCTCAAGTTGACAGTGCGGTGGAAGCCGCATGCCTGTGGGACCTGTCCTACGTCCATCTTTCGGCGTGTGATCAAGTTCCCACCCATATCCATGCGGTGAGTGGGGTAAGGTGACAAAAGGGAGACTGTTCGTTAATCCGGCAAGCGCATAGCACCCACTGTGCTTTCAGCTTAACAGTGAACAGAACATAGAAGATACGAGCCACTCACTGGTACCAAACTATGAGCCAAACACTCCGCAGTGTAGTAAAGTTGACATTTGGGCTAGTTGGTAGTCTGACATATTGAGGTATTCAGCGCAAGGAAAGAGAATTCCTTGAACAAACAATGAAGGGCCCACACGAGCCTGGACGAACGAGTCATTCACGGGGCAGGTAGTAGATGCACAAGTCTGCAGAGGATCATTTGGTTTTTTCTTTCTCTTCCTTTCTTGTCAGTAGACGTAGTTGTGAGTAGCACTCTTTTCTGTCCTGTCCTTCTCTCTGCCTTGTGCACTAAATACCTCAATATGTTAAACTCCGCATTGTGCACATTATTGTTTGCAAGGTCTTCCTCGCTGGTGTGTTGCATCAGTGCGAAGTCCAGGAGGGCTTCTCTCGTTGCCCCTCAGGGCAGATAGGTGTTCCTTGAGATCGTAAAGAGCCCCCTGCTCTAGAAAACATGTTCGCAGCTGCCTGAAGTAGAGGTACCTTCTCAATTTTAATGGGTTATAGGGACTTCCTAGCTGCAAAGTGGAAAGTTGAGCCAGTTGGTTCATGGTTCCATGGTTCATGGGTTGTGTCGTTCCACTTCTTTGTCCTTGTCTTTTTCGGCGCTTTTAATTAATTATTCCTAGCTGCATTCACGGTGGTGCTCCACTAAGTAGACTCTCACCGATTCAAACTCCAGGAATATACAAATTTCGCTTGAATTATCAGAACTTTGAATTATCAGAAATTTATCTAAATATGATGCAAGATAAAATTATGATTCGTTATATGGATGCCTACACATACAATGCAGATATTTGATGATTCCCTCTACAGAGGCCTACAAATCATAAGCAGTTATGCCACACATGAAAGATTGATGAAATGTTTGAGATAAGTTTATTCATCCCTCGAAATTGTTGTATATCATGGACTGTTTAGACAGCACACGACACCTCAAACAATACTAAATTTATTCATCCAGCAAAAGAAGTGACTTAATATCCCCGCTGAGGGCTATCCTTACCGTGCACTGACGCGCTGCGGAGAAGCAACACACTCGGAAGCGAGCCCCGCGGGTGCTGTTCCTCTGCCCTTTTCGCCCCCCCATTTAGGACCGCCACTGCAAGCAGAGTAGTTGACCCCTCGGCCAAAATGACGGTAAGGCCGCCGCCTGCCTTGGGCGCTACTACAGCGAAAGCTGAACAATATCTGTCTCGATTTAGTCCTAGGCATTTAGTTGGCTCATGCGTGTGTCTCCAATGCTGTGTTATATCTGATCGAGGAAATAAAGGGTGCATATGCATACAGGTGCGAATAAATACGCATGACAGCTGCTGCTGGCACTTCTCTACACGCTGCAGCGAAAAGCTGCCGATTTTTTGAGCCACCCAAGTTCACCACGTTTTCTTAATACCGGGGCTTTACACTTCCCAGCACCCCACTCAGCATCTCTGAATTCAGCATGGGTGGCAATAAAACGGTAAACGAAGGCAACGTGTTGTGGCAGAAGACAAGAGAAATTGTCTCACCAGTTCTCCAAAGTTGTAGACCCCCTCTCCCAGGAGAGCGGCCAGGCAGAGGGCAAAGGCTCTCGACGCCTGCTCTTCCCCTGCATGAGACGTGCGGCAGCAGAGAAGACGGTCAGAACAAAACTGTGCACAAGCCACACGACGCTGTGCGTCGTCACTGTTTGCAGCAATAAATCCGTGATTCGCATCGGTGAGCGACAGTTTCGTGTGGAGACAGGTTTTGGGTGTCCCCGGATCTTATCTGCCATTTGGGTTTCCGACGAATGAAATACCTAAAAAAATTAGGCATGTCCTAACCATGTCGTATAAACTTGGAAACGCGCAGAATGTGTTGGAGACGTCAAGGTGACAACAAGGTGATAAAACAATATAGCCGCTCATATAGCTTGACCCACATGCGGGTCGAGTGTAATGGTCGTGCGTAACGAGTCGTTTTTCTCTCGAAATCGAGCCCTATAAAACTATAACACATTGCACGTTGAAACCACAAGGTCAATTTCGATTCTGTCCTCTGTAAATTGTCCAGAAATCTTACAACCAGTAAGCGAGACTGTTGGCATATGTCTATGTTTGCTCCGATGCTACAAATTCTTTGGTTGAAGCCGGGACGTCCTACGAAACCTGTTTCTGTACAAAGCGTTTTTGGTCTGTGTAAGACATGCGTCGGTACACGGTTAATACGACGCTTCATGCCCACACTGGCGACGTGCGCCGAAGACAAGCGTCCCCTTCCGAGCACTCACGTGGGATCTTGTCGAGGGGCGTGCAGCCAAGGAAGCGCAGCGCGTCCTGGTAGTAGCCCTTGTGGTTGCCCATCACCTGGTGGTAGTCGCTGCACAGCTGGTAGTAGCGCCCGTGCACCTCCGTCACACCTTCCAGGGACTCCGTCAGCGCCTCTGTCTCCTCCAGCACCTTCTGTAATCGTAGGCCACGGTTCCACAGTCCCCACGGGGTGCTTTTGCGCAACACACTTCCCGCTTCAAATCTCGCCAGCGCCATGTTGATGAACTTTTGCCGTACGTCTTTCTGTTTGCAGAGGCAGTGCTTTCCAACTCGGCTGAGTCTTTTTGCGTCACGGTCAACCGTGTATGCCTATGTAGTCGGCGACACAGAGGAGCACCATACGGTACTCCATCTTTATACATACCAATCTTCATTCGGACTTAAAACGAGGCGGCAGTCGAGAAGTCGAACCGTCGGCGGTTTTGGTATACGCTGCCCGGTCAACTCTGAACGGAAACAAGTTGGAATAAACTTGGATTTACGCGACTCAAATACTCCCACGATCAAACTTACCAAGCTCTGTCGTCGACGGGGCCACTTGCCATGCCTCGGAATTTCACCGACACCAAAAACTATGCCAGTAACTAAGTAAACAGGTGGCAAAAGTGATGGACGCCGTTCGTCAGCACGGCGGAACGCAACATACCGGAAGAAGGAAAGCGTTTCATGGAACTTCCCTATGTTTCTGCGGTCCCTCTCCAGCTTTTCTACCCACATTTCCCCGAGCGATTTGGAAACTAGCGGCGGCCAGAACGGTGCGTGACCACGCAAATGGCATTACCACGATGGAAGAAGTGAGAGGTGTCTGAATGAGGCCAGCAAAGGCGGCAAAAATCCGCTGAAGCCTCGCGGATCTCCCGGCAGGGGCACCATCGACTTAGGGGTTTCCTTTGAGGCCATGCACAGTGCATGGAGACCTCATAAACAAGCGCGCAAATAAGGACGGTGTCTTGAGTGGCTCTCGTAGGCCTGCCGCTACACCAGATGTTTCGCGCCGTCTCGCTGCACTCGTCAAAACTGCGAGCGAACCTATGCCCGACTTGGTTTGCGGCGAGGCTGTGCCGTTCAGAGGCCTCCCTCCTTCCCTCGTGGGCACAACACACTGTCGTGAGCACCCACAAGCTCGGTGTGACAGGGTTGCCGACAACAATCGGTTTCCGAGGAGTCGTTAAGTTTTGCATCGAGTTTCTTGAAAATTAACAGCATACAGTGACGGCATCTTCAGCCTAGCGGATGTAATGAGCATAGGCGAGACACAGTGCCCGTACTGTGGAACCAATGGACTTGGACGAGTACCGTGCCGGCAAGCGATGGCGTAATCGCTGTCGCGTGGCGCACATGAAAACCCCGAGTTAGCAGTCGTACTGCACTGGCCAAATCACCTGTCCACAGTGGAGACATCAAGCTTCCCTCGAATAGGGTGGCCATAATCTACAGAGTATAAAACGGGACATTGGGGGGGTGGAAACAAAGCAAAGAGTAGGGCCGAAAAAAAAAAAAAGAAAAAGCAAGCAAGCTTTGCTTATTTTTAGTTTGACGTACAAATGCAGATTTTTCCTAAGCTCTTCGTTTTAATTCAGTACACAGACTACTTTCTAAATTTTTAAACAAAGCTGAAGGGTGCCAAATATAGTAATACAGTCTAAGCTCATTACAAAAGACCAGGTTACAACAGACATTTGGATATAGTATACCGATTTGTGAAGTTTGGTTGGTTTTCCTCTACATAGCATTGACTCAACTTCATATCTGCATACAACACACTCCTTTTACAACAGACCGAAATCTTGGTCAAAATCAAGGTCTGTTATAATGAGATTCGACTGTATGCTTTTTTTATAAGATAAATTTTAGGTTTCTTCCGCTCGCTCAGCACTTATTTCAAAACTATGCTCGCACGTTCCCACGAAAACGGGATGCAAGGCTTCATTCAGACAAAATGCTGGGACAGCAGAAAAAGCACCTCTAAAATGGGATTGTGCAGGCCAAAACGGGACATCTGGTCAGCCTGCCCTTGAACCAATGGAGAAGGGTGAGGGTGGGGGGATGATCACTCATCGAAATATCACCACCAGGCTTCGTTACACAAAGCACCGAGCTGTGCAGTCACCCTCTTCCTTTTGAGGAAATGAAAATGCTCTAAAAGAAACAAAAATTTTTTCTCATTTTGGAAAAAAAATAAAAAGTATTTTCCTATACTTCGTTTCAGCTTCGGTCCAGACGCAGCCGAAGCTACAAGCACGAGCTCCGGGCTTTCATCATCCCTGCCAAGCACGCGCGCTCGTGCAGTGCAAGCACTGTTCTGGGCCACATGCTCGCGCTTGTAGCATCGGCTGCGTCTGGACCGAAGCTGAAACGAAGTATAGCTGTGGAAGTTTATGGAAATAAATTCTTGCGCAACAATTGCATCCTGTCTTATCTCTAGCTCTTCAATAGTGGTGTTGGCTGTGGCATTTTTCCACATCGTACGCTTTTTATTGCAGTCTAAAAAAACAACATATGAATGGGATTCTACTGTACTAGAGAGAACAAATCAGTGCTTCGGACCTTTCAGTGTTTATCGAAATGAACACCTTGGTGACACAAAAACTAACCTCCAGTTTTGCGAGGAAAGGGCTTAGCAGCCACCTGGCCATAAAACAACATTGCCTCCCATTTTTATTTTGCCTTAGTGTTTTGAAACTCTGAAAAACACACACACTCCACGCAACTGCTATGCGCTGGTAAAAACTACAGGTTCTAGGGTCAAGTGACAACTCATGCAACACCCTAAACCAGCAGTGTGACAAAATAAACCAGGTTGCCTGCTCAATGTCCCGCCAGTTGCACCAGTTGTGCAACTGAGAATCTTGACTAGTTTCCTGCAAGTTATCGCAGAGAATGCACGGGTTGCGCGCCCCAAGGCTGGCTCACGCATTTGCGTTTGATTGTGATCGACTGCGGTTCGACCGCTTGTGACAGCTTACGAGAGGACACACTGGTCACTGGTGCTAACTGCTGTGTAGCCCTCTTCCGGCCTTCGTATAATTAGAGTGGAGGTCCTTCAGTATTTGCGAGGCTAAATCTACGCACTACCCACGAGAAATGGTCCCTCATAACATTATCAGTGTAGCTCGTGGCAAGGAGGACGATGCGTAAAATGTACGCACATGTGAAGCGTTCCAGAGATACCAACTAGATGGTGTGTCATCCGGTCGCAAGCAGTCACCAGCACAGTTAATCACAGTAAAATGTAACTGTGTGAACCAGCCCTTGTCAGATGAGCAAGCTGTGAAACTTTATGGATTTCCTGCACGTCGTCGCGCAAAGAGCACAACCTACGAGTGGAGAGAGTTACGCAACTTAATCGGCGTTCCTTACCTTGACGCTATCCAAGTCCTGCGCAGCCAGCTTGTGCTGTCCGTAGGTGACGTTGCACAGCACCACGGCTTCCGTGTTGCCCTTCACCTGGGAACCGCCAAAGAAGCGCTCAAACGAACTCAATGTAACGTGCAAGCGTCGGTCGTTGTTCGACCGCCATTTTAATGCAGAACCGCGTTTAACGGAAGCAAACTAAGATTTCATGATCGTGCGAGGCAGCAAAAGGTAGCAGTGGTAGCCAGATGCTAAAAACATTCAAAAACAAACTTAAAAAGGAAGACCAGCGGAGCTGTACTCGATGCACTGTGTGCCTCTTCTTCGTTGTCGTCCGTTTTTCGCGCTATTTCCTACGATAAATTCCCACCAACTTGCCCAACTATCCATTCTTCTATGATAGCTGGAAAGGTTGCCACCGTTGCTTATAGATGGCGGTAACTGTCCAGGTAGGTTTGTGTCAACACATATGGACACGATCCTGGGGAACCTAGCCCTTAACAGCTCCGCTGTAAAAAAAGAGATGGGAGAGGAGGACGAAGCGCAGCAGCACGTGCTAGAAAGGACAAAGCCGGACATGGTGTCTGCCGTGTTCCACATGAAACGCAATTCTGCTTATAATAATTTGACCGACAGACAGAAATACAGCTGCAAACCTTTTACCGCCGACTTCAAGCAGCTCGAACAAGTTTTGACCAGTTGCTTAATAATAATTTTTATCCGAAAGATTGGAACACCATGGAGCACGCCACTCGTACGAAAGATTCAAAGCAAATGGCTAAGATAAGAAAATAATGAATGCACATGCAAAGCGCCATTTCTTTTTTCGTTCTGCTTCTTTGTTGACGGCAAAGATTCCAGCATGTGCAGCTTGTTGTTCGCAGAGGAAAGAAATCTCTATTTCTAAAGTGAATAGATACTCCCAGCTAAAGATTACACCTGGTTCAACACTTGGTCTTACATGATCACATAGAAACAAGAATCCCAAGACAGATGCCCTATCATGTCGTGCATAAAGCCTATGCGGAGCACAAGTTCATCTGCTTCCTCTGCAGGGGTTGTCGTGACGTCAGAACGCCGAGCTGTGATTGGCTGTGATCGAAGGATAGTGGGTAGACTTGAGGTCTACCCACTTCTGGTCAGAGCCAATTGGAACTCGGCGTTCTGACGTCACCGCAACCCCTGCAGAGGAAGCGGATGAACTTGCGCTCCGGACTGCCTTTCATGTGCCAAGCCACGTAAGCCACAACCAAAGAGAGTCTCAAAGCTTCCGAAAGCAAGGATCCAGGAGGCATGCTAGTGTGAACGGCGATCCTACACTACCTTCTCCTTGGTCTTGGTGATGAACTCTAGGCGCTCGTTCACATCTGCAAAACAGGTTGGCTGTGTCTGTCTGGTGCCAAAACACTTCACCTCGACAACTACCGTAAAATGCCGTGGAAGCGCCCGCTATCGACGTTTCCCAAACTTGGGAATTCTGCAAATTATACATTAAGCGCCTGACTTGACCGGACAAGCGCCCATGTCTAGATTAGCCCAGTTTTCAGTGAAAATGGGGTGGGTGCTTTCCTGCTATTTTCAGTGGTTCCCCGGTGCAAACAACCAGTGCACTCAAGGACGTTTTAAGGGCTCTTCGTTGTTGTTTTTTTTCCGTCAAAACTACTAACAGCATCTAAGGATTTCAGGAGGCAATATGGACCCTTCCCCGAGACAGGTTTCTCATTTGGAAAAATGATTTCTGCTGCAAACAAGGTGCGTTGGCACAAAGATTTTTAAATATAAAATGAATGGCTGCGCCCGCCAAGAGGCTGCCCAATACCTACAATGTTAAGAGATAACACAATGCCGCCCAAGACTGAAGGCAAGGAAGGTGAATAAGGGGCTGAAATTGAGCTAGTTGGTACATTGATGCAAAAGAACAGGTCAGCTAGGACTTTTATGTCTGCTTTTTCTCCCCATGTTTTTGTCCCTAACGTTCTAGCTGACCTTTTTGTTTGTAAGGAAAGCCAACACACACCCTGAAAAGTCTTTTCCTTTTATTTTTGTTCATTTTTTAACAAGAAAGTGTATGGTTTGCAAAAGAGCTGTTTTGTTGCTATATAGAAAATACATCTTTGAGAATTAAAGCACTTACCTTTAATTTGATGTGCAATCTGTATCACAATTTCCACAAAGGATAAAGGATTCATTCTGGAAACAAGTTTTCAGGAATGGTTTTAAAAAAAAATGAGACAAAATGGGTGCACACTGCTCGATGAAAGGTAATCTAGGTGCAATTCTTTCCGCCCATAAAGCTAAGTAGTATAATTCTCCAGTCTCTAAATACAGCCCAAGTACACTCCGGTGCATTCCAGTGTGGTTTCAGTTTCAGTTTGCTCCCTGCCCTTCCCAAATGGGCAGTACCTTTTTTTTTTTTAAATGTTTTAGCGGCATGCATGAGCAAGCTATAAAGCAGTATTTTATGTAATAACGTCGCTTTGTGATGCCACAAAATTTTATTTTCCTACCTAGTTTAGGATTTCTGTTTTGTCATGCTCCTTTGCTGTTACAGGTTGGCAATTTATGTCACTCAACCTCGCACTTCATGGCGAACGCTAGGATCCAGAAATTACTCATAAACTCGGCATTCGACGACTGTGAGGGTAAGGAAGCTACAGTTCTGAATAAAAAAAAGGGCCGAGTAAGGCCCCGCCAAAGAGTGACCTCAGGGTGTGAGGTCGAGGCGCCCCTGCATAGTACCGTGTCTGGAGGAGTATAATACGAGAAATATGTCGTAGGTTAGAGGCATGTGCATCAATTAACTTTTTGCACACAAAATAGCATGTCCTTTATAAAGAAATACAGTCGAATCTCGTTAATTCAAACTTTCTTAATTCAAACTAACATGTAGGTCCCATCCTATGCATCCCTATGGGAGGAAACCCCCATTAATTCAAACTTTGCTTTATTCAAACAAATTTTCGGTCCCCCTCGAGTTTAAATTAACGAGATTTGACTGTATTCTTCATATAGCACGCTACTGCATTACTGAGACCAATATTTGCGTTCGACGTGCGGGAGAAAAAAAAACAAAAAAACCTTGCACTCAAAGGGGCTAAGGTAAGCATCACTTTTCGAGCGAAAACTAGACCATTTCCAAAAGAGGAAATCAAACGTATTGCGGCATCACGAATTGCAAAAGTTCCGCCCGACATTGCGCGGACAAAGCTGGCCACACTAGTCTGAAGAATGCCGAAAATAATCCCTGAAGAAGGGGAACAAAGGACAAACACAAATCTTTAAACACAGCTAGGTGACTGGTGCGCAACCGAAAATATCCGCCTGGTCCTAGTGTCGACCCAGGGACCTCTCCAGGGATTTTTTTTGTCATTCTTGTCCAGCTTGCTTGCACGTTTGCCTTCAATTGCATTATCACGCACGTTTGTCCTTGCAAGCCTCCTGACAAGAAACTCTTCCGCCTCTATTTACCCCGAGAACGCACGCTACCACGATTCAGCAAAAAATAAAATTGCAGCAATCATTTTCATTGCATTATAAGCATAGTTTTCGTAAGCAGAACTAAAGGTTTTGAGCCATGGAACAGTTGTCAGCACTTTCTCGATACCATCGATCCTCGATCATCTTTTTAATGCCGAATTGCATCCTTACGGAAGCTGGCTCAGACTTTGTGCGCATCCATTGCTCATTGTCTGGCATGGTGGGGGTTAGACAGCTGTGCCGCAAACAGACTTAATATTCACACTCGTCACGTGTCAGCACGTTGTCGAGTGACCCCATCCGACGCTCCTTGTCCCTGGCCTCAATCTGTGCATCGTGCTCACACTGCATGCAAGTGTTTCACAAAAAAAAAAAAAAAAAAGATGGAAAAAAGAGGCGACGCTAAAAGACAACAAAGCTGAGACTTGACGTCAGTGTCCGCTGCATTCCGACGCAATTCTGCATCAAGATCTAAAATAGAGCTGGAATTTTCTTTTTGTTCAAGTTTTTGGGGCGAACTCGTTTCAAGACAAAGACTGAGATCCTGTTTTGTGACTCAAGAATCTTTTATGTAGACGAAAAACCGATGTTCGAGACTACACGGAGCGCCATTCCATCTCCTAAAATAGGGCGCATAATGTGCAGGCATAGAACAATGCGACAGATCAGTTTTCATATAGTACTTATGACATTTACGCGCTAAACTCTCCAATGTGTAGCCTAAATCTAAAATAGTCAACCAACTCCCGCAAAAAAAACAAAAAAACTTTCAGCCTTTCCACTCTGGTGAAGAAGAGCAGCGGAGATGTAGCTTCTGTTCTCGGCGGTAACTTTCCAGGCGAGCGATTTGCTCTTCTTTCGCAAGAGACTCTAAAGCGCCCGACGCACGCGGCGGTTGCGGACCCATTTCCGCTGCTGCATACGTCACCGCTCCTTCCACACCCGGTCTTCTTTCCCCAAAAAAAGGGCACGCGGCCGACCCATCGTGAGTCCAAACAGAAACTGATAAGAGCGTAGGAAACAGCGCGCAAAACAGACGAGGACGAAGAAAGACACGTGACGTGCGCTGCGCTCGTCATGTGCATTTCTTCGTCGTCCTTGTCTGTTTTTCGCGCTGTTTCCTACGATAAATTCCCGCCAACTTGCCCAACTATTCATTCTTTTATGATAGCTGGAAAGGCTGTCGCCATCTATGAGCGACGGCCAAAGTCAAATTTGGGGGTTTTACGTGCCAAGCCAACGACGGGCATCTGGGACGCACCAGCGGAGGACTGAGGATTAATTTGGACTACCTGAGGATCTTTTGACGTGCAACCGAAAGCTCGGTTACACGGCACCTTCTCCGCAATAAGCCTCCGTCAGATTGCGGGCACCTCAGTCGGGATTCGAACCCGCCACCTGGGGATCCGTAAGCCCGCCGCTCTCGCCTCGGAGCCACCGAGGCGGCTGTTATGAGCGACAACGGCAACCAGACTGGTTGCCTGGTTGCCGCCGTCGCATTTGATGATGGTAGCTGTCCAGAGGTTTGCGTAGGTTTGTGTCGACATTTCTTTGGTACCGGACGCGATCTTGGGGAACTGAGGCCTTTGGCGCTTTTAATTTTGAGATTACCCACATCTTTACAGGTTTAGACCAATTTTTAGAGACACAACTGTGTCTGACGAATTAAATCTTACATTATAATTCAGGTCTCTGCTTTGAGGTTTGTATCATGCAAAAGCAGGTTTATTTAGCTTAATTTCTATGTATGGCATCATATTGTAAACTTAATAGTTTCCCAATTAAGAAAATATAACAAAATGGCACACAAAGCAGGCATTTTCCCAGTGGTCAGGAAAGAGTTAGGCACCATGTGTGGCCCCATTTAAGAACACCGTTTTACAGTACCAGCAGCACTTCCCTGGTGCCTCTCCAGTGCACGTCCATTAGTCATTTGTTCAGAGATAACAAAATCTACTATTAGGAATCTCATACTAGTGCCAAGGAAAGAAAAACACCACGTTTATAAGAACAGTTAGAGCCAACCGCATCTTTTAAGTAAAGAGTACAAAGGGCTCCCTTGCTTGCATACATTAGTAGAAATTCTAAAAATTTAAAAATTCTGCTGCCTACAAACTAAAGCCTCGGGCAACCTGAGCAGAGCAACATGCATGTGCACATTTTAAAGTACTAAACGTGTTTTGGGGATATGTGCGTATATAGAGATACTTACTTGTTCTCAAATTCTGCAATGAAATTCTCATACAGCTGGAAAAGACAGAGAGAAGTTTAGGTAACGGTGAAGTGTGGGACACATGGGAGAATAGAGTTAATGAAAGTTTACTATACAGTGGCCCATAGCGAAATTGATAGCATGCATAAGCATGTACGCCCTTGCGTATGGACCATGACCATTCAACCTTATGCTCAAAAATAATGTCTTAAACGATAAACAACAGAGAAATAAAAAGAAACTGACAGTACAGCACAGCTTTAATTTGTTTTACATCCCAGGGCGACTTGAGAAGATTCTAAGATCGTCATTTTATGGCACCAACAATATGCCCTCTGAATATCCTAGAAAACCCTAATCTGCCACTATGCGTGGCCTTTTTCCTCAAATAAAAATATGACCAAATATTGTGTTATGCCACTTTTTTTAGATGGTATATCTCGGAGAGAAGGCTATGTTCCAATATTTGGTGGCACTTCTAGCGCGACGTGTCTGATGGAAGCAAACATTGTACTGCAAGTCTATTGGCGTTGAAAAAGGGGTCTATTGTGTGCTTATATAAAAGCTGCTAAACTCTCCTCTCCATTTCTTTATCTTTCTGCCCATTTCTCCAGACTCCCTCAATAGAGTAACTGTGAGGTAAGCAAAAAGTCTACAGCTATCAATACTGACCACCAGAGTGTTGAGACAGAAAGCATTTATAACTTCATTGATAAAATCCACAACTAGCTTACAATTGATGGAAATTACCGGTACCTTTTATACCCACACGGGCATGACAAGCACCCGCACGGGCATGACAAGCACCCGCACGGGCATAAAGGTACCCACGCGAGCACAATAATTATTCATGTGGGTACAGCAAATACCCATATGGGTACGGTGGGAATCCACCCGGGTATGGTTAATACTCACGTGGGTACCAATATCCACGTGGTTACGGTAGGAATGCGTTTGAGTTAACGAAAGCTTCTAACGAGCAAGCATTTATTCACAAATTGTACCAAAGTCGTAATAAATTCCACACCTTGAGCAAGGCATCCCCCTTCTGCATGAGCGGCGACCGGACAAACTTGAGCAGCTTCAGCGTCAGCTGGTGCCAGAGGCTGCAAGAAAGCAAGACGCTCAGCACCCGCAAAAACAAGGCTTCAGCATTTCAGAATTCCAGAATTCCCCTACAAATGTTGAGGTCAATATATTAGATAAAGACACCATGAAATGATTTCCCTTCTTCTTTTAGTATAGTATTATGACGTAACATACAATCTGCAGTAAAGACACCACCTTCAGCACATACTCTTTGCCTTTTGTCGTGCTTTGGCTGCGCTTGTGCAAGAGTGCTGTCGAAGCTTGAAAGCAGCAGATTTTATTTAGCAACCATAAAGTTTATATAATACATCTAAAGCAAAAGATCTACCACCTTTCTGTACAATTTGGCCACCTCGGAATGGCAAAGCATAGAGGTGGACGATAGTGGTGCCGGCCCGGATCCCATCTTCATTTCGGCGTGTTAACTTTCACAGGAAAAGGTGACGATAACTTCAGCCGGCTTTTCTCCTCGTCTCACCAGCAGAATGTGCAGTAACGCGTGCCATCGCGTGTCACTGGGCAAACTACCGCAGCCAAAACATTCGTCGGGGTAATGTGCACGGAACTGCAATATGTAAAGGCAATATTACGGTCATTCCATCTCGGTCCTCGATGAATGTGAATGCAAACCCGAATATTTGCGTATGGATCAAACGTTACTGCACGGAGTTTGATTGACAGTGTTTGTATCCAATTCATGAGTTTGATTTGGCCGATGTGCCTAAGCACTGCAAAAAAAAAATGCAGTAAAAAGTCAGGAAGCTTTGCAAAGGAGCGAGGAAATAGTCCTATCCCGTCAAAACTTCCGAGGTAAAAGTCGTGTTTCTGGCACCCTGCCCTCGTGTGCCAGTTTTCGTTTCTAAGGGATGTTATTGTGCCTGGAACACGCCTCCGACCGGTCCATTTACCGCGTCCTTGTTCCCTCAATCTCTGACCGATGACATAAAATAAAACGTGTCATGCTGCAGCCTGCTGCGATTCTGCTGGCGCCACGGCGGATGCCTGTTCCGCCGTGGCCAACTCTCGGCTTGACGGTCCACAAAACCTCGCGCGGCAGCTACGACGACGCTGGCCTTCGCCACTCTTTTTTTAACAGAAATTCCACAACCGGCTGCCAGGATCACAACGCGTGACAATATGATGTGGCGGCACGTCATTCGTTGCAACTTCGGAACTGCTTTTAACGCGTGGGCTTTACAGGACGCTAAACGTAACGGTTTCCTTCGGGCTTCTTAACAAACTGGCGACTCCTTGAGACCGAACGCCTTAAAACACCTTACGACGAGAGAATGCACCGGCACGCTGGCGTTACTTGTGCTATGACCCCGGAAGTGTATTTTACTAGAGCGAAGGGCTTGCGGTATCGGCCAGGTCAAATGTACATACTACCTTTGAGAAAGGGTTATCCGTAACATTAACAAAAAATGTTCAAGCCAAAAAAAAAAAAAAAAATGAATGCGTAAAAAAACAAAAAGTAAGAAATGTTTAGACGAGTTGAGGCGCACGGTCCTAAGAAGTCGCAATTGTGTAAACAAACCTTTTCAGGCACCAAGCGATGTAAAATTAGCATAGTGAATACATTTTTTTTTTTAATGGTTCCTTTAAAGGGATACTACAACAAACTTTTAACGGTTCTTTTTTGGTCTATATGTGTTCAAAGGAGCAGTATCACATCGAACACACCAATATCTTGTTTAAAAAAATCACAAAAAAGAATTTTAAAACGAAATAAACAATTAGAAAAGAGCACCTGGTGGATGTCGCTAACCCCTCTTTTTTACTACCAGTCTAGGAACCTTGAGCAGTAGTGACGGTAAATGTCTCGCCTACGGCCATGACGAGACAAGAGGGGAAGGAGGCAATCCCCTCTTCCCGAGAATCCCTTTTGTGTGATCCAGAAGTCGCTATTGCAGTGATGTGATTGGCCTAAGCCATTTTGGAGCCCCTTTCGGAGCAGCCAAAACAGTGTTTTGGAGCAGCAAATGTGGCCTTTGGAGCAACCCATACAATGTTTTGGAGCAGCAAAAGGGGCTTTTGGAGCAGCCAAGACAGTGTTTTGGAACAGCAGAAGTGGCTTTTGGAACAAATATTCTAGAAAAAAAAAAAGAAAAAAATTTGTTTTTAGTGCTGTAAGGGCACTTTGTGATGCGTTGTGCTCTGATGTGGCGTGTTGTTACTGAATTCGCTGCTTGTATTTTTACTGCTGAGACATCCCACAAGTGTACAGTGCTGTAGGCATTGCCGAGCAATTTTGAAAAACCGCCGTTTGACTGGTTCCCGACGTGCCAGGTTTTCGTCAAAAGTAAGCAAACATAAAACAATGGATTGCAAGCGTCCCGGCTGGTGCTTCTGTCGTGCAATCATGTTCGCATGCACGTGAAGCCAACTTCGGCAGGCTTGTAATTGCGCGTGCTTCGTCGCGCGAGCTGACACAACGGCTGTTCGATCGAAACCGAAACCATGTCACTCCGCTCCGTCGACAACTGATCCCCAAAATTGTATGCAAGATGTAACTGTCGAGCATACGACAAAAAACAGTCCAGTGGCGTGTACTTGCCAGGCCGGCAAACAAGGTACAAGCTAAACATACAAAAAGAAAAGGGGAAAAAAGGTATCTGAGCTATCGATGCAAGGCATCGCGAGCCAGGGTCAAAAAGTTCTTGGAGCGCTTTGTGAAACGACTGAACTCGAGACAAACAAGCGCGCTGTGCGAGTTCAGCGTAACAGACCATTGCCTTCTTTGCTTTAGCTAACTTCTTTTCATCAACCTTCTTTCACGGCAGATTTTGATTTAATCGTATGATTTAATCAAGAACAGGAATGTTGATGAACATGCAGCGGTACTTAGTTTCATTTTAGAAAAAGCCATATCTGCAGCTTCGTGGGGATGGCAACACCCAACGTCGCGCGACCACGGTGACTGGAAGTAGCTCACTGTACTGGAAGGCAGGGACCAAATATAGTTTTCCCACAGCCGTTGCTTTCAGGAGAGAGTGCTTCAGCTCACAAAGTAACTCCCGCCGTGCGAAAACGTGGTTTTGTTTCACAGCATGACGGCATGGCTGGTACCTGGCACGCTAGAGTCGGAGCGTCTGCACACCCCCGCGTCTATCATATAATAAAAAAAAAAAAAAAAAAAAAAAAAAGGTGCGAGATGAGATTTTTGAGACGAGAGCACGAAACGCGGGATGGCGAGAAAACCATGCAAGACCGGATGGACGATTAATGCAGGGTACTTAGTGTCGGGCTCAATTGCACATGCTCAATTACGGTACTCAGTTTAGTTTCGGTTTAGAAAGGTGACCGAAATTAGTCCTTTGGCGCAGGCTTGGCGCAGATTACCCCTATTTTGGCAAAATGTAGCAGGATGTAGCAGGGTTAGCCCCTTGGCGCAGTTTGGCGCAATTGGCGCAGCAATCACATCGCTGCTATTGACCTTCCACAAGATTATAGAAGATTAACCTGTCAGTCAAAATTCCTACAAAAGCAGCCGCTTCGGTGGCTGGAACGACTAGGCCATCCTCTTGACGTCAATCTTGCCGTAGCTTTGCTCGTCCTGAGACGAACAAAGCTGCGGCAAGTCAACTGAGTCTTCATTGCTTCAACAAAAAGAAATTATTTTGAAAAATATAGAAAATCGCCTGTTTACCCTTGGTATATTTATAGATTTTAGTAAGGCGTTTGATTTGATAAACCATAAAATACTACTTGATAAACTATACTGTTATGGAATACGTGGTGTAACTCTGTCCCTTTTACATTCCTATTTGGAGCACCATAAGGACCGTAAGCAATGTGTTGTGATCGATGGTCATACATCGCCTTTTCTTAACATACGATGTGGGGTTCCCCAGGGTAGTATACTAGGGCCAATGTTATTTAATGTGTATATTAATGATATTGTAAATATAAACAAACAAATAAAATACATAATATACGCTGATGATACCAGCCTATTTCTTGCCGAAACGAGTGTTGAAAAATTAATCGTAGACGCAAATGATGTTCTTAGCCAGTTCCTTATATGGTCCAACAACAATGGCCTTAAAATTAACATTCAGAAAACGAAAGCTATAGTTTTTCGACCAAAGAGCAGGGCTCTGCCTATTAATCATAATATTACAATAGGCAGCGTACCAATCGAGTTAGTGAAACAACATAAAACGCTTGGAATAATTTTTTCCGAACACCTTTTGTGGAATGATCATGTCAATTATCTTGTTACGAAGCTGTCTAGGGTGGTTGGAGTTATGTCACACTGCCGCAATATTTTCCCAGTTAACGTGAAATCACAAATCTACTATTCACTATTTCAGTCTTACATTAATTATTGCCGTCTTGTTTGGGGGACAACTACACAAACAAACATAGAAAAACTTACTTTACTTCAAAAAAAGATGCTTCGTTATATTGCCAATGAGCACTATCTCGCTCACACCAAATTTTTGTTTGCCAAATATAAAATAATTAATCTTGATAAGATGTATGACTATAGATTACTGCACAGCTTTCGTTTTCCATCTCCTGAGCATGCTTCGCTTTTATGCAAGATGTCAGAGCTCTCCGAACATCCTCGTAGTTTCAACACCCGTCTTTTTGAAAAATGGATAGTACCACGAGCTCATACTAACTATACTTACCAGTCAATTACATATCGTCTACCTTTATTACTTAATCATATTCTTAATAATAATACTAATATATATCAAATGGGAAGGAAATCATTACTATTGCATTTCTTGTGAATTGTTCCGTGAAATTCCTTGAGCATACCCATACCTTTGTATAAATTTTGCATTTTGTACAGTGCTGTTAGAAGTTATGCGTTTGTGCGCCTTGTGTTGTTTTGCGTAATTTTCTTCTATATGTAGCTGTATATGTTCTCAATCTGTCACAAGTTCTGCGAATAATTTTTTTTTTCTTTTTGTATAATGCTGTTAGAAGTTGAATGCATGAAGTGATTACTCAGCGTATCTTTGCATGTAATATCCTTTTGTGTTCTGAATGGAAGTCCTGCTGACAAATTTTAGACGGGCCCCAGACCTCGTCAAGCTGCCACTGGCAGCTTTTTGTCTAGGGTCTTCGTTGGCTTAAAGGCCATAAATAAAACGATTGATTCATTGATTGATTCATTGAACTACGTCACGATTGCGTTGGATGTCACATGGTCTCCGCTGGCTGTTCTTTGAGAGCTTGCCAGAGTGTGCCGTTTATAACGAAAAATACAGCCACCAGGCTCAAAATACAAACGTGCAAATGTCATTTTTGGATATTGTGAGTCATATTCAACCAATTTCTGAGGAAGACAAGTATATTTCAAATTTCGTTCAAGTATCACTTTAAAGGGGTTATGACACGAAAATTAAACGGATAGATTATTCTTGAAATGGAATGCTCATAGGCAACTTAGTATATGCACCAAGTTAAGCAATTTTTAGATCTCTGGTAATTGCAATATCCAATTTACGAATTTTTATTATTTTCATCCGGCGACCAGGCAACACTCTCCAAGTTAGCCACACCATGGTGTCCATAAACCATGTGACCATGAAAGCTCCTTCATTCTAGGCGCCCCCATCTTCGCCCGAGCTCTCCTCACCGCGGTACGATCAAAACCGCTCACGCAACTCGGTAACCCGAAAGCTATTCTCGCTCTCGCCCCCGGCCCGTCGACCTTCCACCCTGCATGTGCCTGCGAGATATTCCCGGGCAACGGTGACCACGGCGAGTTCGTCCTTACTGCAGCTGGTCGCCAGCGGGTTGCTGTCGAAATGAACAGCTTCCAATATCTCTTGATAGCAATCACTCTCATCGCTGCTGCGATCAATGTCCAACACTTTGACAAGGCGAGCAATGCCGTATGCGTAATCATCACGGACCGCATGCTCTCAACAAGGAAGGTAAACCAGAAAACTGAGGCTCGAGACACCAAGAAAGCCAAGTCTGTGAGTGCGTGCAAGGGGACGCCGCGCTGGCGGCTGGCTACGTAGACAGCCTCCAGCTCTGCTCGAATCCGCCCCTCCGAAAGACCCACATATAAATAGATTTATCCACGAAACTGTAGCGCCATTTTTAAAACAAATTGAGGAGGATTATAGGAACATACAATGGGTCCTAGCAGTATAGTTATCTCATATTTTATTTTTGGCGTGTCATCACCCCTTTAAGGATTTTTGCTCAAATTCCCAAACGATGCAGTGATCCAATGAAAGGAGTGATTCTCTCTTTTTATTGAGGAAAAAAAATACTATTTTTTATCTTTTTGTTTGTTCTCAATTCGGGGTTTAAGTTTTTACATTTTTTAGGTTGAAGCAAATAGTTGAAGCAACTCAGTACACCCAGCCAGCAGAAAGCAGGAGTGCTTTCAAACCCGCGGCGCCGTGCTCCTTGTCAACAAGTTTTCATTTTCTAGTGATTTACAAAGATGCTCACTCAGGTTCCTTACAATCCTTGAATCGAGCGCACTAAAATTGTCATTCTTGTCTGTTTGCTATGTCAGGGTCCCTGCAAAACACTGCAAACGGCTTTCTTTTTTTTTTTTTTCTTTTTTCCAGACACTTAACAGGAACACTGAAGCAAACACATTTGTTGTATCCAGCCACTGTACAAGTGATTAGCTGATATTTATTTAGCTCGGGAAATCAAAGGCGCCGCAGAAAGGCAAGTCGCCCATACCGTGAAGGCCTGCGGCGCCGCGTCTAATGATAATAAAATGGTACTGTACAGATGAAACAAAAAAATGTGATGATGGTTTAAACCGAGCTCGTTGACGAGGGTGGGGGGTTGATGTTAAGGGTGTATCCGTCCCTGATCACTGTTGCAGCTGGCATTGGAGGGGTCATGAAGAGTAACCAGTGGTTTGGAGTACTGATGGTTATCACTGTGCTCCGTGTCACTAGTTGTGCGCAATGCAGGTGCAGGCAACACCAGGCAAAGAGAGATAGGGCGAGCGCAAAAAGGGCGGGGTGGCAGAGGATGGCAATGGAAAGTGAGGTGAGAAAGGGAGAGCACTAAGAACGTTAGAAGTGTCTCTCCTCCCCAGCCTTCGTAGTGTTTGCCCTTTCTCCCGTTCCCTGGTGTTGCCTTCGCCTGTACTGCACACATCTAGGGACACGGAGTATACATGCCTTGCACCAACGTCACATGATGACGTCGAACACCAGTATCTACCATGCTGGTGGTTGACTCGACAGCCCTTCGCAGCGAGAGCAATGGTAAACTGCGCCGTGCTCGGCTGTAGCAATTATCCCGTATCCCGATGATTGTCCCATCGTTTGGTCGGCATGCCCCGCGAGACAGAGTAGCCGTCAAGTTAGAGAAAGTACAAGCGGCAGGAAAGGGATGCGGCCGCAGATTATCGAGTTCGCAGGACGCATTTCATAGCGGCGAACAACGGCACTTTTCTATTGTTGTTCACGTTTGCACACGCCTGTGCATCGGCTTTTGCTCGTTCGTGGCGTATATGGCCTTTGACCTTCGTTGCATAACGCCGTTTTCACGCTCCAAGCGCACCTTCGGGGCTCCCGGCTGAATCTGGGCGGGTGTTGCGCCGCAAGCCCAGCCCGACAGCGATCGGTCGGCGGCTCCCGGGCATGGAAGCTCGCCGAGCCGCTGCTGCCGGGTCATCGGTTTGTGCTGTCCACGATATGATAACCTTTGCAAGGAGCGAAAGTATGCAGGCGAGCCGGTTAGAAAATATCATAATATAAAACCTGAGACAATGAGTTTCTTGTCCGTAATTTGATTTATCCTTGTTTTAGGGTTAAGATTATGACGGTAACATTGCGTTGTTTACCAGTATTTCGCAAAATCGTAAAAATATTTCTACAAGTGATTCCTAGAGCCCCTTGTCAAATTATGAAGCGCGCAATTAAGCTTTTTCTTTTTTTGGCGACACGGCATCCCTTTGCGTCAAAACTTCGTCGGCGGCATTTCGAAACTTTCTGCTCGTAGCGCAATCGCACCAATGCCGAAAAATTCCGCATGTACTGGATAAACGTCATCATCGTAAGCTCAGTATGTTTTTCTAAGTTCACGGTACCTTTGTTGAAAATATGGTGCATGTTAGCGCATGTCCAGGCCGTTAGCGGCATCCTACGCCTTGGTAAGCGCATCCGCGGTCGTGTGAAGTCAACTATCAGTATGGTGTGGGGCCCCGTCCTTCCCTACATGTTCCCTAGCATGACATCACTTGCAAGGCATGTATTGCGACCGTGACGCCCCAAGCGGTTAACTTTAGAGCTACACGGATGGGGAAAACAAATACATTGACTCGGCACTCCGCCGACATAACCGAACGTGGCGTCAGCGTTCGGCTGGAGTTTGTGTTCTCCGGTGAGGGGGAGGGGGGGGCTCTTTTGCTACCACCCTGGCTTGCATGAACAAAGCAGCATGCACGGTGCCCAGCTCAGCACAAAAGCCTAAGTGGGTCAAGCTCACAATCTCTGACGACTGCTTTCGGGATATACCCGGCACTTAACGTTACTTTGTCGATTGTTAGTATTTTTTACATTACACTTTGCCCCGCGCTCTATTATAGAGGATAGGATGGACATGCCCATAAGGCCTGTCGGCATGTGCACAGGCCTTGTTTTGAGTAAACACCGAACTGTGGGGAAACAAACGGGTCAGAGCGCCCCCTACAGTTCGATCTCCGGCCCAATAGCTTGCCTCATCTCCGGTTGGGCGGGGGAAGGATCTGCAGATGTGAAGGCTGCTCATCACTGCACCATGGAGTATGAGGGTCATTATGGGATGACATAATATATAATATACTAGAAGCCCAGGGTTTTGGGATGATTTAATATTGGGACAAGAGTGCCGTGGGTTTTACTGTCTCTGGATTCTTGACAACAGCAATCACGTGAAAAGACTGAGAGCCCAGGCAAGTGGGTGGTAGCTAATCATGTTGTTTAACACTTGAGACTGTGGTGCATGAAGGACAACTTTTAGTCGAAGGAACAGACACAGAAGGGAACGTCTCCTGAGTCTGCCCCTCCGACTAAAAGTTGTAATTACGAAAACCCTAAAGGCCATCCACTAAGGGAACTGATCAGACCGTTAGTGTGATCTTAAGACAGGGACCGTCATATTTGTAAGGCTCGTCGCCGAGAGAGGCGGCGGAGATTGAACTCACCGCTTGTTGTAGAGCTCTTCGAATTCGGCCCACTCCTTGGACAACTCCGGCGTGCTGGCCGCCTGCTGAGCGGTCAGATACGCACCCACGTCTCTCGTCATATTCTCTGTCTCTCGATAAATCAAGGCAGGCAAAAAAGCTCACTACTTGCGAGCGTTTTGGCAAGTCACGCTCAGACACAGACGCCCGCAGCGCTTGCAGAATGCAATGGCACCGGGCACAATGTTGACGAGTGAAGCTTTGTAACTGTCCATAAATGGACAAACAGATGACTGCTGGGTGCTATTCCAGCGAGAGCTTGCACTTAGAAATTATTAAAAAGTAACCAAGTACCTTATTATATAAACCGTTTAAAAGTTTCAGGTGTTAGATGAGGAGTACACGGTAGCAAGTTGAAACCGACAAGACACAGGATAGCCCCATTGACAACAGCATCGCCTGTAACTCGAACAACATGGCCGCCACCGAGAGCCGGCCGTCTGCTCCGGCGCCCACGGAACCCGTTATGAATGCCTCTTGGGCTTCCAACTTCTAGAATTCGGCCGACAATGCTAGTGCTAAATCATGTGGCGGCGGAAAGCGTGGATCGTCGTGCGTCGCACGCTGCTTTCACTCCCTGTGGCCGTCGCGTTCGTGGACTGCGTGGCGTACGTCGCCAAGGTCGAGGGGGTCTCCATGCAACCCGAACTGAACCCGGAGCCGGACTCCTCTACCGACTACGTGCTGCTCAACCGTTGGGCTTCGCGGCACTGCCAGGTTCAGCGCGGGGACGTGATCGCTATCACGTCGCCGCGGGACCCGGGCCAGAAGCTCATCAAGCGCGTCGTGGCCCTCGAAGGAGACACGGTCCGCACGCTCACCTACCGCGACCGCTTCGTCACCGTGCCGCGGGGCCACTGCTGGGTCGAAGGGGACAACCACGGCAAGAGTCTGGACAGTAACAGCTTCGGCCCCGTCGCCCTCGGGCTGCTGGTGGCGAGGACGTCCCACCGTGTGTGGCCGCCGTCGCGCTGGGGACGCCTCGAACCCCGAGAACCGGACGGGGAGAGGCTGCTGCCGCACAAGCCGCGGAGCTGGCTGATCACGTACGACGAGGCCGAATGAGCCTCCGCATCCTCAGGATCCGGCTTCCGTCCCTAGGACGCGTTGCAGCGATGAAGCCGTTCAACATGATCGCTCGCTTGTACCGAGGTATACAAGGTTTTAGGAATCGGGAGGCTCGCTCTAAAATGGACCGGACAAATCGGCGCCTCCTCGTAAGGAGCTCAAACGTTATCCGAAAGTGTGTTTTAGCGACTCACTTTGCCTCGTAAAATTACGAAACCTACCTTCCTCCCTGTGAAAAGTTAGGTCAGTATTAGTGGCATTCTCAAAGGTGGATACTGACACAAACGACCGCGCTATCCGAAGGTTGTGGCGCCATCTCCTGAGGGGCGCAGCGAGGAGACGTGAGCAGTCGGTTCAAAGCAGACGGCGCCGTCGTATGCTTGCTGCAGCTGTCGGGAGGTGGCACCACAAGCCATAACTCTCGGCCATCTCAGTCACCCGCCTTTCAAAGTGTCACAAATGTTAGTATAATCTTCTACATCTTGAAATTTCGCGAGGTAAAATACACCACTAAGATGCACCTTTGGTGGATGTTTGAGTTTGTTATGTGCACACACCGATTTTTCCGGTCGAAATAAGACCGAGCTTGGGATTTGTAACACCCTATACATTGTGCTCACCTGCGTACACTTTGTGCAACAACCTGGGAGGGTTGTGGCTTCGTCTTGTGGTGGCTGGGCAGCGACCGCGTCGACCTGCTCCAAGAAATTGTTGTACAGTCGAGATGACGGCTAAACAGCTTCATCCCCGCAGTGTTGAGCTTTGAATGGACATTCCAGCGTCGGGACACCTCAATGGCAGACACACGGACCCAAAACTGGAGCAGGGACATGACTGCGCCTGCCGTGTACTGAGTGGACTACCTGGGGATTCCACTTTCGGCATTGTCGAATTGCCTCTTTCTGTTCCTCGAAGAGTTTGCAAGCACGCAAAATTTGATGAAATTGTAGGTGCTTTTCTCATGAACTGCTTTAGAGTGGAGAATTAAACCCGAGTGTTTAATTAAATAATAAAACTGAAAGACCAACATGCATTTGAAGATTGTAGTCTTAAAAGACATGTGGGAGTTCGCTATTTAGAAGACCAGTCACCTTTGATGGGCAGCAAGCGGGTAAGCGCAGGAACAGTAGGGTGCACTTGTTTGATTTTCCGAGATGGTCGACGTGAAGAAGGAAAGAAATTTGGTTTTCGTGTCTTATTTTGGGCTGGCATCACCTGGTGAAACAGGGATGCAGTATTTATTGGATAGTATGTTGTTTTCCCATTAAGAAACTAACCGAATTGTACGAAGTTTGTAAGTTTTCTTTTACATTCTATAAATATTGGCAACCATTTTGAAAAGTTTAAAAGAAACTTCTGTATACTGTAAATGGCTATTTTTGAAGCTCCATATTTTGCGAATTCAGCAAAGTGTGGTTTTCCAGAATATTTCTTCTCGGGCACAAAATTTTGTGAATTGCAGTGGCAGGATATGTATTTGTTACCATAGCAAAACATATTTGTGGGATCTACATTTTGCTATATGATACGAGTCGTGAAATTCGCGAAAATTATTTCCTCGCACGAACTAAGTCCTTTAGAGTACATTATTTTTTTTCCAGAAATTAGACAACACTTTAGAGTTTAAACTTGAGCTTTGTAGAATTTTATCAAAATGTGGAAGGTTCACCGAAGCTGTGGAACCTTGAAATTTGGTGTCAAACCACAGGTTGGACATTGGTTTGTGACCCAAGAAAGATATGTGGCTGCCACCATAAGTCGAAGGAGGAATAGATATTGTCTTTTTCTTTTCCTATGGATACGTTGGGCTAAGGGTGCATGCATTAGTAATGCAAAACTATCGATAGTAGTATCGATAGTTGCCAAAAATCCGACTATCGATAGTCGACTATTGAAAAACTATTGATAGTACTATCGATAGTTGCCAAAAATCCGACTATCGATAGTCGACTATTGAAAAACTATTGATAGTACTATCAATAGTCGGCTATCGAAAGGCTATGGATAGTACTATCGATAGTCGACTATCGGAAAATTATTGTTAATCGAATATAGGTTAACTATCGATATTTGGCCATTGTAAACTTATCAATAGTACTGTGGACGGTTTACTATCGATAGTTTTGCGAAACTAGTAGTTTGTGTTATTTCCTCTTTTCTTTTTCTCGCTTTATTTTTTCAAATGGGACACCAACTAGCCCAAGCACTTACCACCCCAACTTTGGTTCAGCTTTCAGGGATGACGAAGAGGAGAATTTGGGCGAAGAGAGGAGGAAGGCAGGCGAGCGGCGGTGCGGCAGCTGTGTTCGCTCTAGTGGTGCAAAACTGTCGATAGTACTATCAATAGTATCGATAGTCTCCAGATGTCTGATCATCGATAGTACTATCGATAGTCGGCTATCAAAAAACTATCAATAGTACTATTGATAGTCGACTATCAATAGTTATGCGGCACTATCGATAGTTTGGGAAAACTATTGATAGTATAGATAGTCAATTTATCAATAGTTTTGCATCACTAGCACACATCCACTTGCAAAAAGGCATGCCGGTCCCTCTCATCATAATTCACCATGGATGCTTGGATAGAAACAACTCATGGCCAACTTTCTGGGACATTCTGCGGAATAAAATGTTTTCATGAAATATCAAAATTCTAGTTTATTTGCATTCTATGATACCCAGGCAATTACAGCCCTGGGGTACATATTACAATCCTTTGTCAAGAGAAGCAGAAGTTATAATTTTGTAAATGTGGCCTATGGGGTCAATGCAAAAAAAAAAAAAAAAAAAATGTTTAGAGCCGTGGAATACACGGGTCCAGAAGTTAAATGGCCTATTGATATTTCATGAGTGTCATATAAAATATTCTGGGTGAACATTGCAATGTTTGTTGTTCATTTGAAATTCTCATTTTAGTGCATGTGCTGAGGCGTTCATGTCCGAGTAAGTTCGGGATGGAGCTCTTTCAATCGGACGGCATTTGCCGTTTCACCTTATGTTGTACCGCAGCAAAGGCTAGAAGCGCGAGCTCATAGCAAATAACGCACGAGAGCTTGTGCCGCCGAGATGTGCCCTAGAGCAAGGAGCTCGCGCTCGTAGCCTTTCCTGCGGTACATCATAAAGTGAAACAGTATAGCAAAACGTTTTTCTTTTTTTAATTTTATTAATGCGCTTATCTCCAAACAAAACAAAAAACAAACAAAATAAGATTAAGCTTTTTAACACTGTATATATCAACAACATTATTGGAGCCTGGTAAAGAATATCTTATCACTGCTAAGCACAAGCATTTCTTTAACAAAACCGAAAATTACAATCCGTGTGACTTTGGTGCCTTTTTGCAACCTGCTATGTGCACCATGTGCACTTCCCGCTGTTCAGAGCTTGTGTGCTCTGGGCGCGACGCGCCAGCCGGGCAGACGAAGCAGACGAGGGTAGACGAAGCAGACCCACAACGTTTATTACCCTAGCATCAAGTGGCGAAAAGTCCCCCGCGTCTCGCGGCGCACGCGCTTATCTAGATCATGATGCGCTCCTGGCGCCATCTCTTGGTCTCCCCTACATCTCCCCCCGGAGCTCGTTACTGCACTCTAGTTACACAGTTCGAAAGAAAGCGATGTTTACAAGTCCAACCGTCTTGGTGGCTTGATGCAATACCACCTAGAACACAAGGCCTGCGCGTTTCCTCCTCTAAACGTCATCACTAGTAGATCCCCCGAGCGCCCCCTAGGTAGCCCGGATGAGCGCCGTCGTCTGCTACATCGTCTGCTAGAGCGGTTGACAGCACTGCCGCTGTATCGTCAGACGCTCGACCCGCGAAGGTCGAAAAAATCGGATGAAATGCCGTTCCACTGCTGCGTGAAAAATTGCCAAGGAAATAAGCACAAGTCTTATAGTTCAGTGCCAGTTTTTTCGTTCCCGACCGATGAAACCCGAAGGCAGCAGTGGCTGCAAGCACTGCCGAAGGAGAGTGTAGTGTCCGAACGCTCAAAGGTGCGCACGTAGTACATTCAAGCATTGGCTCTTGTGCCTCTTTAGTTGAAGAACTACGAGGTTACACTGATAGAAACTTCTTTTCGTATTCGACACGAGATGGGATCTCGATAAGGACGGGCGAGGAAATGCACGTAGTGCAGTTTGTTTTATTGAAGTTTTTTTTTTTTTTTTTCCCCTCTTGTTTATCGACGTAAGAGCGCACTCGCAAACTCGGCAGGTACATCTGCAAACTGACGTTCTGTCGCAATTTGGGCTTACTATACCCACCGTTCACGAAGAAAGTGTAGCTTCCGCAGTGCTGCAGCGCCGAGTTACTGACGACATCGTCGGCGTGATGCCGATCATACAGTCGAGCTGCGAGCCGATCAGAAAGTTTCAACGTCGCGCAGAAAAATTGACGCGGGGTACGATATGTAATTTCGCAACCTTTTCAGAGCACCACGGTACAGGAATTGCATATTCAGTGCTTAATGGCGCATATGACAACCGGTTCAGTGTAACTTCGCGCACGGCACATATGCAGCACGAATGTCGAAGTCGAGGAGACTTGCATTCGTAACGTAGCGTAAGAAAACGCTGCCCTGTGAATGGGTCCTACCGGGCAGCTGTTTCGATGTTGCGTGCCGGCAACGTTCGAAATACGGACTCCACTAAATCGAAGCGTAGTCCTCATGTTTTGATCGTGTTTTTCTTGTTTTGAACGGTGTCCCGTGCGAGCGAATTAAGAAAAAGCTAGAGACGCGTGCCCAACCAGCCCAACGCTCTGCGCATTCCGGTCTCGCACGTGCGTTCATACAGTGCAGGCACTTTTCTACGCTACAGGCTCATTCCTCAGGGGTAGTCCCAACAGTGCACAATCACTGGAGAACACCTTCACCTCTTTTATAGTTCCTTTGTAGTCATGCACTCCTCTCTACCCCAAGAAAAACACTGAAGTATTATATTCCACGTGACTTTAGTAATCTGTGAAATTAAAAGCTGAATATTTGATGAGAGAGAATATCAAAACAACTGCTAGTTAGAGTTGTCGCTGCCCGAGGAGTCCAACTGGAACCCCAACTAAGGTGCCAGGTTCGGCCAGGTTCGATTGACGCATGGTTAGATGAACTTATGGAACAAGAAAAAAAAAAGAGGAAAAAAATGGGAGAAAAGGGGACAGACTTACATTAATTTATTATTAGGCATATATTATTTATAATTATAGTATAATTCACCAATAAGCTCAACTCAAGCCCGTAATTTACGGTGGACGGGATATGCTGAATGATGTGGGCCACCAGCAATATAAACTTCTCTGCTTAACTAACATACAGTGCACAGAGCATTCACAGAGCACTCCAGTACAGTAAAAACAAATGTAGCTTTGATACACCAGCATTCAAAATGGAAATAATATATATAAGCACCTCGATTACTTAGTTTTGTTTTATATGTACAACTCTCCTTATTCACTCTTTCTTGCACTACTTGAAATGTAGTGCAAATATATGGCACTCATCTATGCTTTTACATCATTTGAAGGACAATCTACTAGCTTCCTTCGCTAAAGGGTCAGTTTGGATTGAGGAAATATATTCATGCCTTCAGTGGCGAACATGCGTTATAAAAAGCTAACCGTAAATCAAGAACAACTATCTAAAATTCAATAATGCCAGAAATTTTATTGTCAAAAAAGAAAAGAAGTGGAGACATTTTTTTTCGTAACAGGCAATGAAACAGTCAAATGCCTCACTACAATCACTACAAAATTATTTCACATTCTTCACCAAATTCTACAGCTGCTTTGGCTACCACATAACAGCAGTCACATGAAACAGTCATACTTTCTTTATTGTAGGTGTGTGCAGCACACTTTGAAGACAGATTCGTGATCACGTCAACACAGTACACAGACCCCAGAACCGGAGCAGTCCTCCAAGCCCGTCTCGATAGACCGAGACTTTCCAACAATGCTGTGCCGACAATATTTGCCTGCAGCACCTCTTCACTGCCCCAAGAACCACCACTGGCAGAGCAACCTGAAAAGAG